AATCTCGACCCGCTTTTTTGATATCAAAACAGTAGCACACTCGAAATGTCTTTGAATTTCGCCGCCACAGGGCAATAACTCCATTTATAATAAATTCGGCGAAATCCCCCATCGACCAGTAAATCAAGTTGTCGCTGCGTTTCTAATAACTTTTCGAATAACTTTTTCATATAGTGCCTGGGGGTACTGTAACGTTGACTTAAAGTGTCAGCGCAAAGCGTCATGGATTTCTTTTTACGTACCCTACCCTACCCTCAGCAGTAGAAGCGAGAAGCGGCCCGGGCCGGCCTGAGGTAAAAATGAAAAAAAGCCGAGTCTAACTTAGGCCTCGGGCCTGGGCCAGGCTTCAAAAGTGGACCTGGCCCGGTTTTCACCCCTACCCTACCTTAAGTTGAACAGATCAGACCTTCAAAATAAGCAGACCGGGCCTGAAAAAAAGCCACCCGCACAGTCGAGGCAGAACATTGTCTTACCCTACCCTTCCCTACCCTGCCTTGCCTACGCCCCCCCCCCTTCCACTCTTAACACTTCAAAAGATTTAATTTAGCGCCAAAAAATCAAAAAAAAAATTAAAAATCTACCCCGCTCAAAAATATTTTACGCCCCCCCCCCCTTCTTTCTTCCCTACTGCTACGCAACCGAATAGAAAATAGCCACTCCAACATTGATGACACCTATTTTGAAGGTGTATATGACCGGCTGTGTTTGATTGGATTAATCGCCACTTGGATGACGAATTGTTGTGGCGGCACTTTCAAGCCCAGCTTAAGATGATCGAAACGTAACGGATCCTTAAAAAGTGGGAATAAGTGTCGGTGCACTTGGTTATATGTTGTCATAAGTAGGTATATAAACTAGTGTAGCCTCCCTGCGCTACCGTACATTACTTTAGCCTATCCTAACCTACCTTATACTACCTTACCCTACCCTAGTCTAACTTACCCTACCCTACATTACCCTATGTCATCCTTATACAAGTAAGCCTGAAATGAGTAAAATGTAAGCCTAAGCCTAACATAACGTCAATATAAACCTGACATTACGATGGTCTAAGCTTAAAATGTGAAGCCAAAACTGTGTAAGCCTAAGCAATAAGCCTCTGAGCTTAAGCCTAAATGTATACCTAAAATTGCGTCACCCTAAGCCAATGTAAGCCTAAGCCTAATTCAACGTAAGCCTAAATGTTTACTCAAGATGGTGCGTAAACCTAAAACTGTGTACTGAACCTAAAAGTTTTATACCTAAAGTTGCGTAAGTCTAAGCCTAAAACTAGGTAAGCCTAAAACTGTTTACTAAGCCTATACAGATATTATATATACCTATCTTATTAAAACTCAGACAATATGTTAATTTTACCCCTAATTCCCAGTATCCCCCCAAATTCCCGATCCAATAAAATGCCAGCGGGTCAACGAATTCGAAAAGTCGGAAATTGTGACATAAGTGGCCACTAAAACCCCGCCACGACAAAACAAAATGAGATCCGAAATTAAAAACAATAAAAAGATGACAAACAATGTTTGTGGGAACATACGGCAATTTTAAAAGGGGGGGGGAGGAGGGGTGACAAGTTTTTTAAATCTACCTTACCCTACAATACCCTACTCTACCCTACCCTACCCTACCCTACCCTACCTTATCCTACCCTACCCTACCCTACCGTACCCTTCCCTTCCCTACTCTACGCGCCTCAACTCAAAAACAACTTGCTCTCAAAAAAATATTTTTTGGTTACCCTGCCCATCCGATTTCACGCTTTTTTGCCCTACCCAACCTTCAAAAATATTTTTTTACCCCGCCTCCCCCTTAAAAATTTTTATGTTTTTCCTTCACCCTCAATCTCACCCCCTCCTCCCGTTTTTTACCCCGCTTAATCGTACCCTGCCCTATCCTACCTTGCAATACATTACCCTACCATACCTTACATTACCTTACCCTACGCTACCCTACCCTCCTTTCCTCTACCTTGTCTTATTCCAACCTATCCTACTCTACCGTACCACACCCTAAAGAACCCAGTACCGTACCCACAGATCCCAGTTTCAGATTCCCAAGAAGATAAGACCAGCCAAACAATGCCAAAACAAAACGCACCGATGCATATCGTACTTTCCGTACGCACATCTGGAGCAATATATAAAGGAAGATAATCCAATTATAAGTGCCAAGGTGGTTATACGATGCGTCTTTGTTGTCTCCAATTACCGAAACATCAAGTGCAACAAAAGGTTTGGCATAGTGGTTTGGAAAGCGATACCTATGTTACTATCAAGCTTAAAGAAGGGGGGGGAGATAGTGTAGAGAAGGATAAAGCAGAGTAAAGTAGGGTATGGTAGGGTAGAGTAGGTAAAGTAGGATAGGGTATGATAAGACAATGTAAAGCTAGGTAGAACTAAGTTAGGACTAGAGTATGGCTATGATAAGGCCAGGACACAATAGAAAGAGTAAGGCCGGGGTAGATTAGGTAGAATAGAGTAAAAAACTTCAGCAACGCACCTTTCCCTACACAGGAGAACAGGCCGGGCCTAACATTCAGCCCCGGCCCGCTACGAGTTTTTTCCAAGCCCGGTCCTGGACATAAGGAACGGGCCGGGCCAAGCCTGAATATTAAGCCCATCTCAATCAAAATTAGAGCCAAGCTCAGCCCCGCCCGATGGTAGGCCCGGGGCGGGCCGCTTTTTTTACGTGTAAACGGGCCGGACTTTTCGGGCCGGACCAGTCTTTTTTGGGGTTCCAGTCTCGCCCGAATATTGCTCAGTCAGGCCCGACCCGTTTCCCATGTTTACTGTTCTCCACCCAGCCCAGGGTAGGGTAGGGTAGGGTAGGGTAGGGTAGGGTAGGGTAGGGTAGGGTAGGGTAGGGTAGGGTAGGGTAGGGTAGGGTAGGGTAGGGTAGGGTAGGGTAGGGTAGGGTAGGGTAGGGTAAAGTAGGGTAGGGTAGATGAAAACAAATCCATGACGCTTTGTGATGACACTTCCTTGGATAGGTAATATCATCGCGGTGGGTAATAAATTGGCACAATAAAAGGAAATGGTCGGAATCGGCTTTGAACACCTCGTTTCATGCCTTTTTAATCCAAGTTTAGGTGCGGTAAAAGTGTTTGCTAATTGGTTTTTCGAAGTAGACAAGTTCTGACAAATTTTGGAGAAAACTTTCTTTACAAAACATAATATAGCAAGAACTTTCTTTACAAAACAAAAAATAGCAAGAACTTTCTTTACGAACCCCAAAATTTCAAATACTCTCGACTCTGACGCAACGTCGAGACTTCTGGTTACCGTACCCAACAAAAACGACTGGTGTCCTCGACGCCAAATCTCAAAGCCTAATCGCTTAATTAACGCATTATATCAAGTGTCACAATCTTCGGTCAATAAAGCGGTAAATGAAAAGAAAAAAAAATCGACCAATTCGTCTTACCACCATGCGACAAATAGCAACGGATTTATGATTTATACTCAAAATATTGTGATAGACTCCTTGAAAGAAATAGGTGAAGAAAAATGGCAAGAACTTTGTTTACAGGTAAAAAATGCAAGAACTTTCCTTACAAAACAAAAAATGGCAAGAACTTTCTTTACAAAACTATAAATTACAAAAACTTTCTTTACAAAGCAAAAAATAGCCAGAACTTTGTTTACAAAACAAATTTTTTCAAGCTAAGTATGACACTTTCAACCAACAAGTTCAAGGTAAAATACCTCACCGTATCTAAAGTTCAAATCGAACTTTTTTTTGCAAAAAACATTCATGGAAAAGTTGCGCTTTTTAAAAAAAATCAAAAAGCGTGCCGCTTAACGAAAAAAGTGAGGAAAAATGAGAGTTGCTAATGATAATTAGTAGGTAATACATACATCTTGTTGTAATTACTACAGAAAGTTTTCAAATTTAAAAATACCTACCCTACCCTACCCTACCATACCCTGCCCTACTACCCTATTCTGCTCTACTCTATCTTTCTCTACTGTACCTTCCCATAGCAAGTATAAGTCTTGACTTTGCCCCGAAACATGATTCTAAATCAGAATTTCGTAATGAATCCAAATTTGAAACCCTCAGACGCTTAAAAACACGGAAAACGAGAGATAATGAGAAAAAACGGATTCACACAGTGAGTATACAATAATCATATTACAACTACTTTTCAAACATAAAAATAAAAAAAAGAGCAAAATCAAACCTTTTCTACTGTCATTTCACATCTGTAGTTGAAGAGATGGGCCGAATTGATCAAGCATGGGCTGAGAAAAAGCCATTTTTGTCTGCGCTAGCATCAAAATAGAGGTATCAACGCTGACAACGTGAACCTGCCTGCCTTGTCGCGTTCGGGTTTAGACCTGTATCAATATCGGTCTAAAAGTTGTGATATTATAACAGAATTCAAAGAGAAATTTGAATTTTAAAACGGCAAGCGTTAAAAATTTAAAATTAAAAAGTTATGGTCAAAACAAATTTTAACAATGTTATAATAGCAATTACAATGTGTATTGCAATATAACTACTTTTAAGGCGTAAAAATCAAAAAATCAGCTCACGCAGGTTTTTTCTATTGACATTTTACATCTGTAGTTGAAGAGGTGGGCCGATTTGGTCGAGAATTGGCATAGATACCTTGATTTTAATTTTTTTGTTATTCCGAATTTTTCGAGGAAAAATTAGGATTTTTTTAAATTTTTAATCTTTTTGCATTTTGAAAATCAATTTTAAAAGCTTTTTTAAAAACTTTAAAGTGTTTCCAAAGGCTTATCAAAAGGTCGTCGAACTGATTGATAAGTTTTTGGAAAAGAATTTTGATTTTTTAATAGTTTTTTGCTATCATTTTGTTCTAAATCAATGTTTTAGAGTGAGGACCACACAAAGTTGCCTTCATTTCAAAGATATTTAGTCTTTTTAAGCTTGTAAAAATATAAATTAACAACTTTCAGTTAATAATTGTTTGAATTTGGGCTTTTTTGTTAGTTTTGACATTTTTATTTCAGTTTTGAATTTGTGTTTTCAGGATGACAGCCTCCGGACTGGTCGAAAAGCTAAAATCTCGAGCCATACAATGGCTGGAAGACAATCGAGGTCTTGTTATTGTGTTGTTCTGCCTTCCTGCTAGTTTTGTAAGTTTGTTTTTAATTTTTTGGATGTTTTTAGGTAATAAGCTGATGCCGAAGCCTTGAAGAAGATATCTGAATCGTATATCTCTGTTGTAGTTAGATGAATCGTTTTATTCTAGATTTCTAATGTGTTTCGGTAACAAACTGGACCAATCTGTGAAAAACAAGGACCATTTTGTTGTGTTTTTGGTTTTTGAACTATTTTAGGTAACAAACTGAAGCTAAGGCACTAAAAAGAACACAAAACTGGTTCTTTTTCAATTTCTGAAGAGTTTTAGGTAACAAACCACAAAAAACAATATAATTCATTTCAGATCTTCGACATGGGAATGCAATTGCGATGCTGGATTCAAAGGACCTTCTTCTCAGCTCCACAAGATCATATTAAACGTGTCAGACAAATCCAGCAAGCCGTCCGTCGATGGAATGAGTTGCCTGAACAAGATCGTAAGCCAATGTGCACGGCCAAGCCGGCTTGGCTCAGTTTATCAACTACTTTCTTTCAAAAGGTATGGTTGTTTCCTAGAAATGAATTTTGTTACCTAAAAATGAATTTGTTACCTAAAAATGAATTTTGTTACCTAAAAATAACTTTTGTTACCTAAACCTTAAAATTCAAATTTTCAGGACAAATGTCATCAAATTCCAATTCCATTATATGACATTTTGGAGCTGAATGAGGATAAAATGACAATAAAAGTGGAGCCAAACGTGACAGTCAGAGATTTGACACGATTTTTGACTCCGAAAGGCTACACACTGGCAGTGACGTTAGAGATCGGAGATGCTACAGCTGGCGGACTGGCTTTCGGTGTGGGTATGACAACATATTCTCATAAAGTGAGTGACTTATGATTGGTTTTTGATTTTAGGTATCAATTTGGATTTTTGCTGTGTTTTAAGCCTAAGGCAGGGACGCGGGGGAGAGAGGGGATGATCCACATCCATTGACCTCTTTGCCTAGCCACGTCTCTGGCCTAAAGTATCATGGCCTTAGGCTTCAATTTGAAAAATTTGAAAACCCCATTTCCAGGCAGGACTATACCAAGAAACGATAGTATCATACGATGTAGTGACAGCTGATGGACAGCTAATTCACGTTACAAAGGACGAGAACTCGGACTTGTTTTATACGTTACCATGGTCTCACGGTACACTGGGTTTCTTGGTGGCTTTGGAGGTTCAAATAATCAAAATCAAGCCTTATATTCATATGAAGTACATTCCAGTAGGTTTATTTATTTTTATATATGGTTCCGGGATCCACCCCCCCCCCAGAGCGAAAAATCGAAAAAAAATTTGAAAAATCGGTCCACAGATAGCGCTACCTGGATTATATAAATTATAAATGATTTGTGTATGTGAATCAGTCCGGTAAATAATTTATGAATTTGTGAATCAGTCCGTACGATGGCAAAAACTTCTTTTACAAATCAAAAAATGGCAAGAACTTTCTTTACAAAAGGAAAAATGGCAAGAACTTTCTTTACAAAACAAAAAATTTTGTATTTCAAAATGTATTCTAGGTCCACAGTCAAGAAGAATATTGTAACCAGATGATGAAGTTGTCAGGAGCTGTGGATAAGAACGATTCGGTGCCAGATTACCTAGAAGCCACGATTTATTCCAAAAATGACGCTGTCATCATGGTTGGCAACTTTGCTGACGTTGATGCGAAGGAGAAGAGGAGGAAGGTATGGGTAATACTAGGTGCCGACATAAAGAACCCGCCATTTTTCAGAGGGATTTACAAGAAAAGTATGGCGGGTTCTTTATGTCGGTCTAAATGTTTTTTTATTTTAAAAATTTTTTAATTTAAGGTGAATGCAGTAAGTGCATGGTACAAGCCCTGGTTCTACAAGCACACGGAGAAGTTTTTGAAGCATGAAGGTGAAGAATACATTCCAATTCAAGACTATTTACTACGTCATAATCGTGCCATCTTTTGGGTTGTGGAATCTATGATTCCGTTCGGCAATCACCCAGTTTTTAGGTAGGTTTTGATGAGTTTTGTTACCTAAAAATGAATTTTGTTACCTAAAAATGACTTTTGTTATCTAAAAATGGATTTTGATAACTAAAAATGAATTTTGTTACCTAAAATGAATGTTGAGTATGAACATTTTTATCATTTTGCATAAGGATTTGTTAAAAATATTTCAAACTTTTATTTCTAGGCTGCTTTTGGGCTGGCTATGCCCACCAAAACCGGCTTTCCTCAAGTTCACCACAACCAAAATGGTCCGAGAGATGACATTTGCCAAGCAAGTCTTCCAAGACATTGTTATGCCCTTATCAACCCTAAAAGAACAAGTAGACACCGCCGTTGACCTTTTCGATACGTACCCACTACTAGTATATCCATGTCGTATCTACGATCATCAACGTGGACCACAAGGCCAATTGCGACCACCCCCTGATGAGTTGAAAACCCCAGGCACCAACTATGCCATGTTCAATGACTTGGGAGTGTATGGTACTCCAGGACCGGTGAAACGAAAGGAAGCCTACAACCCGACGTATGCCATGCGGGCCATGGAGAAGTTCACGAGAGATGTGGGCGGATACTCGTTCTTGTATGCCGACATATTTATGACCGAAGAAGAGTTTGAAGTCATGTTTGATCTGAAGTTGTATAGAGAGGTAAGTTAACATGTTTTTTGAGAAAAAAGGTATAGGATGTGAAGAAAATGACAAGAACTTTCTTTACAAAACTCGAAATGGCAAGAACTTTCTTTACAAAACAAAAAATGGCAAGAACTTTCTTTACAAGACAAAAAATGGCAAGAACTTTCTTTACAAAACATCAAATGGCAAGAACTTTCTTTACAAAACAAAAAATGGCAAGAACTTTCTTTACAAGACAAAAAATAGCAAGAACTTTCTTTACAAGACAAAAAATGGCAAGAACTTTCTTTACAAAGATTTTTTTCCAAAATAAAGCTATTGTTCTTTTAGGTCCGTGAAAAATACCATTGTAATGGAGCTTTTCCCTCTCTGTACGACAAGGTAAAGCCTGAAATCGATGTGATTTCCATTGGAAATGAGTATGCCAAGCAATAGTTTTATATTATTCTAGTCAATTCTTTTATTTTTTAATAATAAATCTGTTATTTTGCTTATTATCTGTAAAGTTTAGATTTAAAATGGCAATTATTTTTATAATTTTACTATTATATTATCGTTATTACCTAAAACAATATATTGGATGCCGACATAAAGAACCCGCCATACTTCGCCTGTAATTCCCTGTAAAAAATGGCGGGCTCTTTATGTCGGCACCTAATACTTTACAAGCCAAAACAAAAATTATCACAATATTTATCTAAAATACGAAAATAAGACACAAAAAAACGAAAAGTGAACCAATAGTTAGGGTTGGGACCTGTGACGGGGGGAATTATGCTTTTAAAGCTGTATCACCGTTTTGTAAAGTTTTATAAAGTGGACTTGGCGCCGCGGGTGCGGCTGAGAGATTCTTGGCTGGCAGAGAGGATCAAACGGCCATCCCGGGTCCATAAGCGGCCTTCGGAGAAAGCTCGGCCGTTTTCTGAAAAATACAAGGGTTATTTTGATATTATTCATCATAAAAGCTATATTGTTCATGATAATAGTAAAACAACTGAATTAAAATTATATTATTCATGATAAATTGGCCAAAAAACGTAAAAAAGCCAATTAATTTTTGAAAATTGAATTTTAAATTGAAAGTAATATAACAACCAATTTAATATCATCATATAAACCTACTCGACCAAGGACTCCAATTCTCGTACAAAAGCCACTCATCAGCCCGGAACTCATCCTCATGGAACCGTACCGTATGATCCAAGGAGTATAACATGGAAGGCACATACCCGTTACTAACATGCGGCTTGTTAGCCACATTAACCAAAGTTGCATCGGTGATGTAGGCGACCAAAAATCGATGTAAATCCTTGCAATTGTCCAACGGTACCGCACACCGAAGCCATACACACAACGGTTCGGCTCCGAACTTCTCCAACGCAAAGTATTTCGAAGGTTCGCATGCCCTGAACTCGAAAACATTGTCTTCGGCACCATCTACACGATGAGTCATGTCTATTTCGACTATCTTGGGTAGACGAATCTCTCCGGCACGATGTTTCGTCAGGTGTTCTCGACAAAAGTCAATATTATCGACCAGTTCCTCCGGCATTGGCACCTTTGGCATGGCAGTTTGGTGTTCAATAGAAGTAGGCTCCTTCTGAAAACAAAAAAGTTTAAACTTTAACCAATATCAGCCATTCTTCACTCCATTTTTCATATTATCCATCAACAATAACATCTTGGACAATTTATTTTTAAAGCTTAAAAGCCAAGGCTTCAATATCTTTACCTAAAATCAAAAGAACAAAAATTAAAATACTTACCACACAAAATGACACTTGACTAACAAACACGGCTTTACCGTCTTGTTCAGCTTGAACCGATCTTGTGCTGTAGCTGCGACCATCTCGTACTCGTGTTATCTTGTAGTGTACCGGCTTTTTGACGGAAACACTCAGAATAAAGAAGGAATGAATGGCATGAGGTAAGAACTTTTCCGAATCGACAGTTTGGACCGCTGCTTGCAAGGATTGAGCAAAAAGAAGGCCGCCATAGGCATTATCACCCCGACCAGTCGGACTAATCAGAAAGTTTGATCTAAAATAAGGTGAATTAGAAGTTGCAAAACGTATTTGTGTTCATGTTTATCTTTGCAATACAAAATAACTTCATTGGTCCAAAAACCCAGCGCTTAATTTGTCATTTTTACATCTTAACCTATCTAAACCTACTATAATATCGGTAAATCATTTAAAACGTCTTTTCTCACGCCATATTTGAATTAAACCAAAAAATATTGTTCTTTTTTAAAATTCTTTACAATAAAAAGCCTGTCATTATAAATGTAATGCCCAAAAATATAAATCTAGCTTATGTTATCCTTCAGGTAAACAAAAGCTTTGAAATTCAATATGTTTATGTGTTGCTGCAGAAGTTAGTTTGTAAAAGTTGCGTTAAACTTTTCTCTATCGACCAAGCTCAAAACCAGGTCAATATCACCTGTTTCCTTTTGTCTACATTCATTTTCCCAATTCATACCTAAAACAAGAAGAAAAAATCGAAAGAACATACCGAAACACATCGTCTCCAATCTTCTCCAAGTGCTGGAGTTTGTGTACATAGTCTGGACTGGCCCGAGAGGATGCCATTCGACCCTCTGAAACGAAAAACCCACTCAATCTAGCACAACGACGTGTTAGAATAACAATGTTCTTGTTCATTTCATAAAGAAGAAGTGTAAAAACAACTAAAAGTTGGCCTAATAAGTTGATAAAAACAAAATGATGTAAATGATAAGCAAAAGAAGAGTAATCTGAGGAGACTGGGGTAAATAAGAAGGTCTGAAAATATTTGGCAATCCAAAAAATTGGAATTTTACGAGAAAACGTCCAATACGAAAAGAGAGAGCGCCAAAAAAGAAGAGAGCGTGCGAGAATAAGGTTTCGGTCAGACAAAATTGAAGAAAAAACAAAAGAGAGAAGAGAGAGCGTGACGAAAGAAGAGAGTGTGGTTAGAGAACGGTCTGAAGCTAGACAAAATTCGACAAAATTCAAAGTTTTAGCTAAAAAACGGCTAAAATGGTTGAGAATAAATGTTTGGAATGCAGTGGGGTGGTCGTCCGTTCTTTGTAAACGTATGAGTTGTAGTTTGCGATCGAAAAGTGTCCGAATAACTAGACTTTTTCGTGAAATTTTAGGCGGAACTCCAAATTTCGGTAGGATAAATAAAGTCTGATGCTAAAACAAGATAAGCTTTAGTGAAAAATTTGTTAAAACAGGGCTTAACGCGACGTTATTTACCATTCTAAATTGGTTTTATCAATTTTTAGGTCGAATAAGCTATTTTAAATATAAGCCTAAAGGTTAGAAGTGAAAATAAGCCTAAAGACAATATATGCTTAAAATTAAGCCTAAAAGCAGTAAAACTAAAACTTTTATGGCATCCTTACCAATAGGTAATAATGGAGAATCAAGAATTGGGTATAGGTTATCTTTTAGTATCACCATAGTATCAATGTAATGAGTTTACTATAGGATACTATCAAGTTGACCTAGTGCAATATAGCCGAAGAACAATAAAAGTTTAAAATAAGTCAAAAATAAGTTAGAATGACTATTGTTAGTTTGTTTTTTCAAAGTTCGTAGTCTGGTAAACCAATCAAAGTAAATTTTTACAATGTAAAGTGACGGACTTAGTTGGTATACTACAAAAGTAATGGTCATATTGTTATAAGGTCACAAGCTACACTAAAGCTGTTTTAAGCAATATTTTACTTGCCACAGTACTTTACAGGGAGCGCCAAAAGTTCTGTTACAAAACTTTACCGTATTTGCTACAGAAACCTATAGGTTCTGTAGCAAATACGTACTTTGAAGCTCAGTAAGTTACAGTAACCTATGAGGATTTTAAATTCCCGCATCTAAAGTTACAGTATCTTGAAAAAAAAATTCAAAATCCAAAAAAATTGAAACGACTTGCTATGCTAGCTTATATATGCTACAGTACCCCGAAGAAAGTTACAGTACCCCGAAGAAAGTTACAGTATCCCGAAGAAAGTTACAGTACCCTGAAGAAAAGTTTAAGCTTAAGTTCGAAAAACGAAACAACTTGCTATGCTAGCTAACATATCAATGAAAACTCATTTATATATCACTAAAATGATTATAAATCGACTACAAAACATGAAGTATAGACACAATGATATTGACTACAAAACACAGACCGAGCATTGGATGTTTTGTGACCTGACATCAGCTGATGGATGTTCTTTCATCTTTCAAAAAGGTAATGAAAACAAGACAAAATGAGGTTTTGAATGTTCTGTGAACTTTTAGACCTACAGACACGTTTTTAAGCCTAAAAATTAGTTCTGAAGTCAAAAATTATGCCTAAATGTCATATCTTAAGCCTAAAATGCATCTGACCTAACAAGCATCACTTAAGCCTAAAAGAAACTTATGAGCCTTAAAAATCAAGCTTAATGCTCGTATTTTAATACGAGCATTCGGCTTAATAATAAACTTTTAAAAAATTAAGCCTAAATAAAATTTTTTAAGCCTAAAAAGCACCTATAAGCCCAGTCGCTACAAATGCAAAGTAAAACTTTAAAATGAAGCCTAATAATCATACCTTAAGCCTAAAAATTGTCCTTTAAGCCTAAAACTCAATCTGTCTCTTTGGAGACCTCGCCAACAGTCATAGTTAATTATAATATATATCCATTTTATTACCACTTTTATGTTGTTGACGCCGAATAAATAAATAAATAACTCTTCTCTTAAGCCTAAAAACCAACTTAAAAAATAATAAGCCTAATAATAAAAAATTCAAATTAAAACCTTAAAACTAAAGCCCAATAGTCATTTTATCTTAAGGACGTTTCTAAACTATATCACTTAAGCCTAAAAAGCACTTATGAACCCAGTAACTAACTCTTCAAAGTAAAGCTTTAAAATTAAGCATAATGGTCATATCTTAAGCTTGAAAACGTTTAATGTAAGCCTAAGAGTCATATTTTATGAAACAAAAACAAGCCTAACTCACCATCATAATCCGACCAAGAATCGACCGTAACCTCAGCCTCTTCCAAAACATGTTGAGGGAACGGTATGTCACCCTCGCTTTTCAAAAAAAAGTTTGGCCTTGTTATGACAAACTGATTGTCATCATCTTGGTTATTGGTCGATAACAACGGTTGATAATGTTGCATTTCTTTTTTCAGCACAACTGCACTTTCGTCTGACATCTAAAGACAGTTTATTAAAAATTGCAACAACTTTCTTTAAAAAAACAGAAAATTGCAAGAACTTTCTTTACAAGACGTAAAATGGCAAGAACTTTATTTACAAAACATAAAATGGCAAGAAATTTCTTTACGAATCAATAAATGACAATTACTTGCTTTACAAATCAATAAATAGCAAGAACTTTCTTTACAAATCAAAAAATCATAAATGTAAGTCAAGTGGAAGATTTGTAATGTAATTTGCACTGGAAATCTTCCACCAATCTTTCATTTTCTAAAGTTTTCAAACACATTTAAAAACCGTAAAAACAAGTAAATTACTAGCTACGCCGTTCCAATAACGACTTATTATGTTATCTTCCATCTAGAATTAACCAAAATCAACGCCGTTCCAATTCCGCTAGCCTGTTTTGATTCGATATTAGGGTAGTTTAATAGGTCAGGCTTGCATAATTAGTATAGAAAATAGTGAAAACAAGCTTAAAATTGATGAAAACTTGTTGTAAAGAAAGTTATTGCCATTTTATGATTTGTAAAGAAAGTTCTTGCCATTTTATGTTCTGTAAAGAAAGTTCTTGCCATTTTTTCTCTTATAAAGAAAATTTTTGCCGTTTTTAGTTTTGTAAACAAAGTTCTTGCCATTTTATGTTCTGTAAAGAAAGTTCTTGCGATTTTATGCTCTGTAAACAAAGGTTTTGCTAATAAAAGTCCTCTTACCTCCTCCACCGGATCCTCTTCTTCATACCCATTAACCATGCTATTCACCAACTCCATGACGTTGAAATTACTGTCGCCTTCGTGCAAATACGTTACATGCCCAAGATCTTGTTCATCATAATACTCTTCTTGTAGTAGGCTGTCAGTGAACTCGTGTGGCAGCACTTCGTGCCCAAAATGAGTACCACAACCGGTAATGTCGTAGCTGTCGTTGGTACGTTTGATGTGCAAGTAGAACGTGCACGGTGACTTTCTTGATGCTTTCGAGTCGTCTTGGTTGTTGATGGGAGTAATGTGATTACACTTGAATGTCCAATGTTCTTCCTCGCCGTTCTCTTCCTTCGGCCGACGTTGCAGTGTGCCGGAGAAGCGGGCTCGGAGGTTAGTTATCAAGGCCTAAAAATGGGCATTAGGCTTAAATTAAAACACGATTTTTAAGCTTACAAAGTCATCTTTAAGCCTAAAAACAGGTTTAGGCTTAAAATATGAACTTTAGGCTTAGCTTCCAAGGTAAACGTTAAGATCCAACTTTTAGGCTTACAACGTAAATTTTAGGCTTAGAAGTTAACTCTTAGACATAAAAACGTTTTTAAGCTTAAGGTATGACCTTTAGGCTTAACTTGTAAAACTTTCGTTCAAAACTAAGCTTTAGGCGTAAAATGTGATATTCAAGTTTGGAACGTGATTTTGAGGTTTAAAAAGTTATTTTTGGTTCTAAAAATGATTTTAGGCTTAAGATATGACTTATAAGCTTAACTTATAAAATTTTGATCCAAGTTCATTATTTAGCCTTAAAACGTTATTTTTAGGCTTAGCTTCCAAAGTTAACTTAAAGGTCCAGGTTTTTGACTTAAACTTTGATTTTTAGGCTTATAACTTAATTTTTAGGCTTAACTTTCAAGGTTCACTTTAAAATCCTGATTTTAGGCTTAAGACGTAACTTTAGGCTTAACCTCACCTGAAACTGCTCCACTCCAACCACTCTTCCAACAACCGGATCCATTCTGACATTATGCACAACCTCAACATGTTTACTCAATTGTGCCAGTCGATAACAGTAGAATGAGCATAAATAACAGTACATACTTCGTCGTTCACGTTCCGAATTCGAATGCGATTTCTCCGGATGAATACGATCAATATGACGATTGAGGTTGAAGCGGGTAACACAAAACTCAGGGCAATATTCACATTGGAAGCGCTTTTTGATTACTGGTATTGAAAAAATTAGGATCGCAAGAACTTTCTTTACAAAACAAAAAACGGCAAGAACTTTCTTTACAAAACAAAAATGGCAAGAACTTTCTTTACAAAACAAGAAATGGCATGAACTTTTTTTACAAAACCAAAATGGCAAGAACTTTCTTTCAATAGAAGGCCGGGCCCAAAGTCTTGCCTTCTTTCAAAGCATCAGCCCAGCCCGGTCCTAGTTGTCCCTCTTTCAGATTTAGATAAGCCTAAAACTTCAACCATAATTAAAGATTCACCTTGTGAAGTCGACTGTAGATCGAAAGGTGAATTCTCCATGAGGCCGAGTTGTTCATCAAACTGTTCCAGAATGCGTGTAGTCCGCGAATCCTCACTGTGTCGGCGCTTCTTGTGCCGTTCTAGATTGAATTTGCTTCCGAACGACTGGTCGCAAATCTCACAAATATGCCTGCGGGGTTTTGGGGCAGCCGGTTCGAAAGTTAGCTCTATGGCGTCTGAAATTGTCCTTTCTAGTCACTGGTACTGAAGAACAAATTTTTTGGTTTGGTACTCTTTTTTAGCACCAAAAAAGTAGTTTGGTACTAAAAAAGTTGTTCTACAGTACTAAGAGTACTATTTTAATTTAAAATATAAATAATAGTGCCAATTAGCTTAAAATAGCACTAAATTTACAAATAGTACTAAATAACTTAAAACAGCACTACTTTTGTAAAAATAGTACCAATTGGCTTAAAATAGCGCCAAATTTATAAATAGTACCAAATAACTTAAAATAGCACTAAATTTTAAAATAGTACCGATTAGGTTAAAACTGCACTAGTTTGATAATAAATAGCACCAGTAGCACCAAAACATCATTTTTCAGACTAGCACGAAGACCTCATGCCTAAAACCATAAAACAACAAAAATATATTAACATACCATCAAAACCATCAATATTCTCACTGGTACTCGGCTGAAGCGCACCAATCGACTGTGGCAGCACGAAACTCAGGGGCACGTTGGAAGCTCGCCGTTTCTTCCTTATCACTTCCGGAAGCTTATCAGGATGCCGTCGAGCTATATGTCGATCCAAATTGTAGTTGGAGCTACACACTTCACTGCAATGTAAACAAGGATACCTCTTACGGGCATTTGATGGTTCCATTACCTAAAACAATTTTATTGTAGTGAATGAAGTTATGTAATTTTAATAAAACCTATTTTACATTGAAAAACAGATGTTTTAGATGTAAAAACAGATATTTTAGATGCAAAAGCACATATTTTAGGTATAAAAACGCATATTTTAGGTATAAAAACACATATTTTACATGTAAAAGCACATATTGTACATGTAAAAAAAGCCGGAAAAATTGTTTTTCTTCAATTTTATTTCAAAATATTTTTAAAAATTAAAAGTTACAGTAATCTAATTAAAAATTCAAACCCAAAAATAAAAAAAAATTAAATTTTCAAAAAAAACACAAAGTAACATCAGAAACAAACAAAATTTGACTGGTAAAAACATAATTTTGCAAGTCTCCAACGGAGACAAATGCGCCTCCGACTTGCTCCCCCAAAACAAAAAAGAGCGTTGGAGCGGCGGAGAGCGCGGAGGACGGGGCAGAGATAATATCCATGCGAATAGCAATTCGGCTATCTTCATTTGACTTGGAAATTAAACTGTTTCAGCGTTTTAAAAACAAAATGTCATGTATTTTATAGCTAGACATAAGGAACGGGCCGGGCCTGACCCAAAGAGGCCGGGCCTGACCCAAAGTTACAGCCGTTGTCAACAAATAGTAAACCATTTGTTTCAAGCATAACTTTTTTTAAAAAAGACGGTAGAAACAAAAATTTTTTTTGTGATTTTAGATTAGTCTTTTATACAACAAGCGCACCAACAATATTTTTCAAATTTGTTAATTTCGGAAAGTTACAGTAATTCTACCGTACCCCTATTTTTCAGCTATGTGTACAATTTTTTTTTCGAAAATTGAAAATCTACGTCTTGTAGAGCATACAAAGTTGTACATATTCTGTAAGTTTCATTGCTTCATCTTATCTAGTCAACGAGTTACGAATTTTTAAAAAAAGATTGAAAAACAAAGAAAGTTCGATTCCGCTTGAAAAATGTTTCTTTGGATTTTTAAAAAATTGTTACTCGTTTAGTAAAAGAGATTAAGTAATGAAACTTACAGAATATGTACAACTTTTTATGCTCTACAAAAACTTATATCTTCGATTTTTTTAAAAAAAAAGTATACACAGTTAAAAAATAGGAGTACGGTAGAATTACTGTAACTTTTCAAAATTAACAAATTTAAAAATTATTGTTTGTGCGTTTGTTGTATAAAAGGCCAATCTAAAATCACAAAAAAATTTTTGTTTCTAACGGCTTTTTAAAAAAAGCTATGCTTGAAACAAATAGGTTTACGATTTTTTGAGAACGGCTGTATACCAACACTCCCCCCTTAGAATGTTAGATCATGTTACGGCTATTTTAATGAAATTTTTCATTGAATTGGAACTAAATTGTAATTGTGGCCAGAATAATTCATTTTATATAAAATTTGAACCGGTTTCGATAACATAAGGATACATGAATCAATACAATCAGTTGGTTTTTAAATCAGCCTAAAACACAATATTATAGTTATGAAATATCTCAAAATTTAATAAAAAGTAAATTCTTTATAAAATAAGTTTAATCATCTAAAAATCGCAAAAAGTCTTCAAATGTTTATATCAATCTTAACATGCATATACCATATTAGAACCACCACGAAAACAAACCTTTGCTAATTCTTTCTTGGCATTCCGCAATTTTGAATGTTCTGTGAACAAAATTTTGTCTCATGGCATAAAAAGCGAGAAGATGAACCGAAGAAAATTAAAACGCACATTATTTAAGCTCTACACATCCTAATCGGTCGTTAAAACAATTGGAGACAATCGAAAATTGACAAAACTTGTGGAGGAATGATGCGAACCCGGCTTTCGTTGATTCAACACTGTCGACAGGCTTCTGGACAAGGTAATGATGAATATTATGATGAGATAAGCAACTTTGTTGTTGTTTATATTGTTGTTGTCATATAGTTTTGAGTTGGATTGTAGTTTTATCGTGTTGAGAATGTCTTTGAAGGTTTGTGCATCTATGATAATATTGAGGTACAGCTTGTTAGTAAAGGGCTTTTTTGCCAATGTTTTGATAGGAAAAGTTGAGGAAAACATTGTTTTTTGTTATTTTTTTTGAATATTGTTGTTTTGGTTTGTTTTTTCTATTTTTTAGAATTTTCTATATTGTAGGTGCACCTATGTTAATATTGAATCACACCTTATCGGTTACGGATTTTTAGCTAAATTTTTGTATGAAAAATATAAATATAATATAATTTCAGCCAACGGCACAAAGATTCGACGAGTACTCATCGCGAATCGAGGTGAAATCGCTTGTCGAGTTATGAAAACAGCCAGGAAACTTGGAATCGAGTCAGTAGCCGTCTACTCTTCGGCCGATCTTCATTCACAGCACACAAAAATGGCTGACAAAGCCTTTAGGATTGGTGATCCACCTCCGCTTCAAAGTTACTTGTGTGGTGACAAGATTATCGATGTTGCACTAAAGTCAGGAGCTCAAGCCATTCATCCTGGCTACGGATTCTTGAGTGAAAATGCTGGATTTGCTGAGAAGTGTGCTGAAAATGGCATTATTTTTATGGGACCACCACCGAATGCTATTAGAGATATGGGAATGAAGAATACGGCCAAGAAAATCATGATTGAGGCCAACGTTCCGGTGATTGAAGGCTATAATGGTGATGATCAGAGTCCGGAATTGTTGTTTGAGGAGGCGAGGAAGATTGGTAAGGGATTGAAATGGTAAATAACATCCATGAATTCTCAATTTAAGTTTGGGAGGTCATGAAAGTTATTATAAGCCTAAAACATGCTTTATAAATAATGTTTTCCAGGCTTCCCAGTAATGATCAAGGCTGTATGTGGAGGTGGTGGAAAAGGAATGAGAATCGCCAGAACAGAAGCCGATTTCCATCAAGCCCTGGAAAGTGCCAAGACCGAGTCAGAGAAAGGATTTGGCAACTCAGACATGATTATCGAGAAGTTCGTGGAACGGCCGCGGCACGTCGAAGTTCAGGTGTTTGGCGACACACATCAAAACTACGTATACCTGTGGGAACGAGACTGTAGCATCCAACGAAGACATCAAAAAGTCATTGAAGAGGCGCCGGCTCCAGGACTATCGATGGATGTGCGACGAAGCATCGGCCAAGCCGGTGCCAACGCGGCCAAAGCTGTGAATTACACTGGCGCCGGGACGGTGGAGTTCATAATGGACCCATTGACTCAGAAGTTTTACTTTATGGAAATGAACACTCGGCTACAGGTTGAACATCCAGTTACTGAAGCGATTACTGGCGTGGATTTGGTCGAATGGCAATTTGCCATAGCTGAAGGAGGGGAAATCCCGTTAAAACAAGAGGAAATCGGTCTAAATGGACATGCCCTGGAGGCGAGAGTCTATGCTGAGGATTCTAATGCTGGTTTCATGCCTACAGCTGGTTAGTTTGATATTTTAAACTAATAAGTGGCATAGAATGTTTATTTTGGCAATTTTTTAAGAAATATGGACATGTTATACGAGGGCGCAGCTCAAAAATCCTGATTTTCTATTTTGGCCCAAAATTTTAATTTTTAAAAACTAAAAATGAAATTTCAGGAAAATTGGAGCACCTTCAGTTCCCAACCAACGCTCGTATCGATTCAGGAGTCGTAGAAGGTGACGATGTAACTGTCCATTACGATCCAATGATCGCCAAGGTTATCGTGTGGGGAAGAGATCGACAAGAAGCGATTGGAAATCTGGACAAAGCCTTGAATGACACTCACATTGGTGGCCTAGCTAATAATGTAGACTTTGTCAGGACATGTTTGAACCACGAAAAGTTTGTTTCCGGCCAAGTTTACACGGATTTCATCGCTGATCACGAAAAGGAGCTGTTGAAGACGGAAAAAATAGAAAATCCGGCCAAAGAATCAGTGCTAGAAGGCTTAGCATCAAGATTACTGTTGGCTGGAGGCGTCGGAAATGGAAGCTTAGGACCTTTTGCTACGAAAGGCATGTTCAGGCTGAATTATCAACCGGAAATCAACGTGGAATTGAGTGATAAAGTGAAAATCAACGCGAAAGTTAGCGGATCAGGCGAAATTGAACGAATTGTGGTCGATAATCAGGAAGTTAAGATTACGGATGTGGTCAGAAGTGTTACGGAGACTACACAGCTACCTGTTGTTGAGTTTAGAATAGAGGTAGATGGAAAAATGTGGCCAGTGAAGGCGGTTCAGCTCAAAGAGGGGTTGCAGGTAAGGGTTTTGGCTATTGCTTTAGTTTCTTAGATGTTTAGGTATGAAAAGGTTAGTTAATTGGACTGTTTTAGTACTTGAAAGATAGCTTAAGACCTTGGTTATCTTTTCATTTATAAATAAGAGGACTTGCAGTTATATTTCGAGACTTATGATATTATCCATGATCAAACTACAGCTTTTTTGTTAAAACTCACAATTTTTTACAAATATTTTTAGGTTTTTGGGTCAGAAGCTCGAGAATGGCCGATTTCTTCAGAAGCACCAGAGTTTGATGAACAATTGGCAGCTGGCGGAGACCTTCAAGCTCGATCACCAATGCCAGGCGTCATTGATAAGGTCTTTGTCAAAGCAGGGGATGCGGTGAAAGCCGGACAAGCTGTGGTTGTTATGATAGCTATGAAGATGGAATATGTTTTGAAGTAAGAGTTTAGTATATATACTAGTATAATATTGAGTTAGAAGGTAATATTTGGTATATTGAAGTAGAATATTGGATATTTCAGGATTGGATGCATATTATAGTAGTTTAAGGTTACTGTGAACGTTTTTGATGAAGGGTATGAGATTTGACAGATTTTTTTTGAGATTTCAATTTGATTTCAAAATTTCAGAGCACCATTCGACTGCACAGTAGAGACCGTGTCATGTGCACCAGGCAAGAATGTTGGCAAAAACGCAGTGCTAGTCAAGTACCACAAGGAGGACGCATAATTTTTGAAGTTTGATGTATAAATGCGTATAAAGTATTGAAATTTGTTTGGATTTTGAAGGTTAGTACGATGTAATGATCTAAATTAATACATTTTTAAATAATTTTTATATTTTATATTATGGTAAGTAGGTAACAGTAATGTAAGTGTTTATCATTTGTTTTATTACAGAAATAGAGTTAGTATGTACAATCTTATTATAATTGATGGTTATTATCATATATTTGATACGGATATTATTGTTTAATTTTTTTATAAGTTGATCAGGCAGCTGGGACTGATATTGTAGTAGCATGATGAACTTGGCTAGTCTAATGAAATTGATGGTTCTGAAAAAACTTGTTTAATAAAAGGTATTTTAAGCTAATATGAACTATCATTTTCATTGGTAACGCTTTATTCTTTATTCGAACTTAAAATCGTTAAGCCTAAGGCATTTAGGCCTAATTTTTGCTAATATTAGGTGCCGACATAAAGAAACCGCCATACTTTTCCTGTAATTTTGTGTAAAAATGGCGGGTTCTTTATGTCGGCATCTAATACATCCTAACTTGAATGATCGAAGTGATAACTTAAGTCCCAAGAACTTCTAAGAATATCTTACAAACCATAACTTACCCAATTGCCTATTTGCGCTGTAATGGTCAACGAACGCCCTAAGTTCCCACAATGTTTCCGTATGCAGGTGCATGAAGTTGATCATAACATCATAATTGTTGACCAAATCGTGTCTTTTGGCTATAATGTCAATGGCTATAGCCATGTGGCTGCTGGGAACCTTGCTGGTGTCATGTACCAGCTGGCAGATTTCATCGTCCGTCATTCGGACCGAAACTCTCTTGTCGTTTGGGTCGAACTCGTAGTTGCATACGTACTTGGCGGTTGGGTTTCTTGGCATTTTGCTGTTGGCCACCATTTTTAATATCTAAAATAATTTTAAGCTGATTTTTTGAGTATAGAGTGTTATCTCTTTTGGCATAGACAATACTATCGAGTACGGTTGAGTATAACAGTGCCCGGTAGGGTGTAACAGAGTACGAATGGGTATAACAGCATACGGTTGGGTATAACAATGTACGGTTAGGTATAACTGTGTACAGTTTGGTATAACAAAGTACAGTAGGGTATAGTAGAGTAAAGAAGGGTAGAGTAGGATAGAGTACGATATAAGAGGCTATGTTAGAGTAACAAAGACTAATTTAGTTTGTAACAAAGCGTGGTAGGATAGAAGATAACAATAAGATGTAACAGACCGTGGTCTGATAGAATACAGTACGGTGAAGTATAACAGGATACGTTTTGGTATGATAGGGTAAAATACGGTAAGAAACGTGGATAGGACGTTACAGACTATGGCAGGATAGAATACAGTACGCTGAAGTATAGCAAGATACGGTTGAGTATGGTAAAGTACAGTACGGTAAAAAAGAGAACGATATGGTAGACTAGAGTAAGACAAGATATAAAAGCCCAGGGTAGTGTATGATAGAGTACAGTAGGGTTAGTTACAGTACGTAATTTAATTTGAGTACGATACAATGTCATAAAGTTTGTGAGAGTAGGGTAGTGTACGAAAGTAGAGTACAACAAGTACGGAAGGGTACAATGGAGCACGATAAGATTGTAGTACAGTACTCAAGATTGCTTTATCTTTTTTGTCTTATTAGCTTTATTTACTGTACTTTAATGGCTTGTACGTCTAGTATAGTACTCTTTCGTACTATGTCGTACTTTATCTTTCGTACTCTGTCGTACCTTATCTTTCGTACTCTTTCATACCTTACCGTACTTCAGCAGAGACTTCTTGCATGCTGACTAATGCTGAGACTGAGACACGTTTTTTTAAACAATTAATTTAAATATATAATATCATTATTAAAATGTTGACTTACCTCGAACAACTAACACGACCTTGAATGTAAACGAACAGAATATGATTAGGATTAGGATTTGGCCCTCCTTATATAGTCACTTTATTTGTGCTGATTCCTCGCGCAAGCAGGTTGACATTTTTGTCTGCCGACTTTTGTATTCTTTACTTACCTCGGGGGTCGATTGAAAATTTAAAAAACCCTTTATTATAAGATAAGAGAAGGCTTGCATAACCTTAGTTGGGCAGTAAAACCTTTTATATCTATGATTATTCTTTTATGATTTATCATTGATATACGATTTGTCGTGTTATAGTGCGGTTTTAATTCTAAGATATGTATGTAAAGTAAAATGTGTATTACTGTTGTGAGGTATGCGACTGTAATATACTGTAATGTATGTATTGTGAGCAGGACCGGGCACGTACTTTTCGTCTGGGGGGGGCGGGGGTCGAAAAAAAACCACAGGGGGACCGCGTTCAACTTTTTTCTGTTTTTTTTCGAAATTTTTTTTCTTGTGTATCTCCCCCCTCTCCCCCTCACGCTCGGCTTTAAATGTATGCATTGTGAACGGGCCGGGCGAGTCATTTTGGTCTGGGGACGAGGGTCGAAAATTTTTTTTCCAAAAGTCCACGGTCACGTTCAACTTTTTTGAATTTTTTTTGTTGGTAGGGGGGGGACCCCTTGTTCCCCCTTCTCCCCCCTCCCCCCCCCCTCCCTCCTCTCGGGCTCAGCCTTGATTGTGAGGTATGCTACTGTAATGTATGTATCGTGAACACTACCTTACCATACCCTATCCTACCTTGCTTTACTCTATCTTACCCTACCCTACCGTACCCTATTCTACCTTACTTTACTGTATCTTACCCTACCTTATCCTACCCCCACTTTACCCTACCCTTTTTTTGTTTTTAATACCCAAGGGTTTATGTCGTATATTGTTGGGTTGAGCCAAAAGTAGCGGGACAATTTTGATTTATTTTTAATTAAGAAGTGTCCCACTACTTTTGGTTCAACCCAATAATATACGGCATAAACCCTTGGATATTAAAAACAAAAGAAGGGTAGGGTATAGTGGGGTAGGGTAAGGTAGAGTAAAGTAAGGTAGGATAGGATGCCTAGTATATTATATATTAGTAAGTATTGTACCTGTTTTAATCAGTGAACTGTTTATTAAATGTCCAATAAGTATAAACTTTAGGTACAATAACACATACAATTCTAATAAAAACTAACGAAAAACAATACAAAATCAAGAACTTTGAGGATTTATATTATTATCACTGCCGTGGGATGGGTTTATGATGTTATAAATAGAAATAATTTTCATAATTGTGACTTTCTTCTACGCTTTGTTCTGAAGAAGTGTCAGACATTGGAGAATCTGAAAAAAAGTTATTAGACTGTTTTAGGTATCATTTCGAAAATTGTAGTGTGTTTTAAATTATTGTTTTAATTATTAGGTCATTCACTTAATTCTGCGCCCCATAAATCCAGAAATTTGTTTAAAAGGGGGTGCAGGATTAAGTGAACGACCTAATATTGGGTGCCGACATGAAGAACCCGCCATTTTTTACAGGAAATTACAGGCAAAGTATGGCGGGTTCTTTATGTCGGCACTTAATAGAATATATTTTGATAAGAGAAAAATCATAGCGACGTTCCTGATTAGAATGTTATAATCAATTAACATATGTTTTGAAATTACCTGCTACACAACTTTCTGAATCCAATTCCTGAAGAGCTTTATGAAGATCTTGTTCTACACTTTTAAACTCAACATTAAGTCTGTCAACACCGTCAATTAGGTTAGAAAGCCTTGAAAGTACTGTTTTGATCCCCCTTGTGTCAATTGGAGCTCTTTCTTTCTTGTTCTGAATCTTCTGTTGTTTTGCAGAAGAGATTCTGAAGTTTTGAATTTCCTGTACTAATGTAGCTTCAGATTCGGTACGTTGACGTGGGGTAGTAGATGATTTTCTGGATTCCATCGATTTCTCTGAAGACAGTGTAGCTTCTGGTGAATGTAGATAGTCATTCAAAGGTTCTCTGGTCTCTTCAACTTGACGCTGGGCTTCAGAAGGCTGGGCTGCGGCTAGCTTTTCTTCAGAATCCAAATATTCTTGATATTCTCGTTGGAACCAAAACTCGGAAAGGGCCATTACTGTGCCAATAACGTTAAGAATGTCACGGTCTTTTCGGTTTTCGTTTTCCAAGACTCGCTTCATAGCTTTTATCATGAATTGTTCCAGTTCGCCACGTCGATAAGCGCTGACAGTAACAATAAAAGATTCCTCAAAATCGTTTTCAGTTCCTATGTCGTTTGGCTTCTCTATTAAAAATTGTCTACCAAGTAGGAAGAAGTGCTTCAGAATTTTTATTTCGTTTTTTTTCCAGATCGTACCCTTCTGTCTCGTCTATGGAATCCTCCCCAAACACGTATTTTAGAGCCTTTTTCTCGGCTTTTTTTTTCTTTTTCATTAGTTTTGTTACACTGGCTACTGCTTCATGGTGGTTGGCTTGATTATCAAGAAGTATTTGATGTTCTGCTGGGCTAAAAACGGTGTAGGAGTTGTCTTCTGGACTAGTATTATGACTGGGTCCATGATTAAAATCAAATGCAGGTTTAGGATGCACGAAAGGGCAGTCAGGATCCTTGCAACCAAATTGGCCTCCTTTGGAAGTTCCGTACTCTTTACTACCACGGTCATCACTAGTTCTGGGAAGGTCGTTGGTGATACGAATACCATTGAAATTAACCATTTTAGTTGTTTGTAATCTATAATGTATTGTACCGTAGAAAGTAACAACAAACTCGATATACAGTGTAAAACCGCTTCTTACTGTAAGGTTAAGTACAGGGTGCGCCGAAAGTTCTGTTACACTTTTAAGTACAGGTGTGCCAAAAGTTCTGTTACACGATTTTTTAATCAAGTATTTATTTTAACAACAAATATAACTAAAAGTATACTACACAGTGTAAAAAAGATATCGACAATATAAACTAAAAAATTAGCGTACACCTCCTATGTTAATGTAAAATATAAAAATGAGAGCAAAAAGTTTGTAACGAAAGGAAAAGACGCTTGACGTCAAGTAATAGTTGTCCCCGCCGTTTGCCAAGCGTCTACAAAGTTATTTCAACGCCGAACTGAGACCATACGGCATTACTAGCTGACCTTAACCATCACGGCTCTGGAAAAAATGTTACGTAAAATTACTGTAGTGAAACACCTGTATAACGAGCGCCCTTAAGAAGCCTAACATGGCAAGTTTGAATTTCAACCTTAACTTACAAGGAAAGTACCATACCTGCCCCGCTCAGAATCAGCTCAATATTTTTATATGAATTCTTTGTAAAACCAATAGTACCCATAAAAAATTTTAGCTTGCGCTTTTGAGTTTTAAAGTTAAATTATTTGGGTTTCCCGCCAATTAGGCAAATTTGGCATTGTGTTTCAAACACTTTTTTCGACTTTCCAGACAAGCTACGCTTACAAATTTAAAAATGTAGGTTCATTTAAAGGTTTTCCACTAAAGAAAAATTATTAAAAGTCAAAAAATGACAAAGTTACAAGCTTGAAACACAATGCCAATTTGGCGGGAAATTCAAAATTTAAATTTTTAATCTCGATTTTCTCGAGATTTTCTGAAAAGCGCGATTTAGTACTTTGCTGAACATCTTATATTTACATTATCTTTCTTTATAAAAAGTTCGAAGTCAATCAGAGCGGGGCAGGTCGGGCACTTTCCGTGTTAGAAGCCTCTTATGAATAAAATGACATTGATGTGGATTTAAAAATTATTTATGTTAAATATAAATGTATATACAGCATTACAAATTGTAAAAAATTATTAATAACAAAGAAAAAATTAAAATCAAATTTGATCATCATCTCTTTCGAACGAAGAGTTGATTTTGCAATACGAAAGACTATCATCTGAGTTGACGGTCTCCTCCGTATTGCCTACGGCTTGGTTGATTGAAGTTGGTAAATCTAAAAAAAATCTTTTAAAAAAACGAGAATTTAAAAAATCATAAATTTAAAAAAAACTAAAAATTTTGAAAAAAAATTTTGTCATTAAAAATAAAAATTTTACCTTGAACACAACCCTCAGCATCAAATCTACAAAGACCTTGTGAGACATCAGTCAGTTTGGCCTTGAACTTCTCAATTTCATTAACAAATTCCGAAATTGTTGCACGTACTGCCTTTGTCTTCTTTTCGTCCACGACCTTCTTATCCTTTGGCTTTTGAATTTTGTTCGAATTCTGAAGATGAATTTTGTCGACTTGAGTACGATTTGGCACAGTACGCTCATTCTGTTGATGTTGAGATTCTGGCGGGCTTTCAGCTTCTGTTGATGGATTACGGGATTTAGAAGCGTTTGCAGCTTGTGTTAATTGGCAGAGGACTTCATAGGCTCTTTTAAACTTCTTGATTTCATTTTGTAGTTCTTGAGATTGTGTAGCTTCTTGAGGTTGTGTAGCATCTTGAGGTTGTGTAGTTTTTTGAGGTTGTGCAGCTTCTTGAGGTTGTGCAGCTCCTTGAGGTTGTGTAGCTTCTTGAGGTTGTGTACCTTCTTGAGGTTGTGCAGCTTCTTGAAGTTGTGTAGCTTCTTGAGATTGTGTAGCTTCTTGAGGTTGTGTAGCTTCTTCTTCTTGAAAAACGGTTTCAGACTGCCTTGTAGCTTCTTGTCGCTTAGCTTCAGAAGACTGTAACGCCTTTTCTACCTCATAAATTTCATTTGTGATCTGTAAGGCAAAAATAGCGTAGGCGGTTTCAATTACTATCATAATATCTTTGTCGGTTCGTTTTGTATTCTCCAGAACTCGTTTCATCCCTTCTACAATATACTTCTCAACCTTACCACGTCGAGAAGCTTTGACAAGAGTTCTAGTACATTCATCATAGTCGTGTATTGTAAAATTTGGACTTTCTTTCACCGACAGCAAACGGCGGCTGAGCTTGTAGAAGTGCCGTAGAATTTTTATTTCGTCTTTTTCCAAATCGTACTGGACAGTATCATCTGTAGCATCATCTCCAAAAACGTATTTGAAAGCTTTTTTTTCTGCTTCTACTTGTTCTTTGTGTCCGGGGATACTGTAGTTAGGTCTGGGGATACTGTAGTTAGGCTGAGCAACACCGCAGCTGGGTCCAGGAGTACTGTAGTTAGGTGTGGGGATACTGTAGGCAAGTCCGGGAACACTGTAGTTAGGTAGTGGAATACTGTAGTTAAGTCCGGGGATACCGTAGTAGTATGGTGGAATACTGTAGTGATATGATGGAATACTGTAGTTAGGTGGTGGAAGACCTTGGCTTGGCCCACTGATACTATAGCTAGGTAATGGGATGCCGTAGCCGAGGTTGATGTAGCCAACTCCAGGAGGTCTGTAGTTAGGACCAAAAACGGTTGGATGAGTAACATGGCCGCGTCTTGGCATGTTATCGCCAGATTGAGGAATACCATGGCCAGTTCCAGGTAGTTGAGGACGATTAGCTACAGATGGATTAGCACTACCATCATTACATTCAATACTTGAGTTCGTCATTTTGTTACCTAAAATACAGTATCAAGTAAGTAACAGCGATTGAAATAAATAATAACAAAAATACGTTTTAACTACAATCAAATGTAGGGTATACTGTAATTTACGTTATAAAAAGAAAAAAATATAAATAAAATTTAGGTGCCACTGCGATTTGAAGCAAGGTGCATATACGAATGTAAAACAATCATGTATTCGTAAGAAAAAGACGCTTGGCGTTAAGGCTTGTTATCCTCTTTCCCGCCCCCTTATCCTCTCCCGCCTCTTTCGCCTCCCCCTCCCCCCCCTCTCCCCCCCCCCTCCAACTTTTATACTTTCAAAAAAATCAATATTACAAAAAATAGCAGTAAAATATGTTTTTATTGCCATTTTCCATGTGTAGCTGAAGAGATGGGTCGATTTGGTCAAGATATTGAGGATTTCTCTCCATACGCCGATATCATCTTCTAGAAGGTGCCATAGCATGCTCTAGCCAAAATATATATTTTAGCCTAAAAACCATGGTTGTTTTCGAAATGGACTATATTATATTATTAGCGTTTTCAATTAATTCTGTGCCTCTTACCTTGAAAACCTGTTTTGAAAAAGGACACAGAATTATTTGAACAATCGAACACAAAAATTTTTTTTTAAAAAGTTACTTTAATATGAGCTTATATGCTATTTTAAAGACAATATTTTGATATAAAACAGAAGTGATTTTGTTAGTTGTTTATTAAAATAAATTTTCACATGCAATTAAATATTTTTTAAAATTTTACAATCGTTTTTAGTACATAATGTATTATTGCCGTGGTATTAGGAGGTACTGTCACCACAACTAGAAGTTTTCCTTTGTTGACTTTTTTTAGCACTATGGTTTGAATTGATGATTCCTATAACAATAAACATAAAAAAAAAATAATCTGTCATAAAAAATTTTTAAAAAAATTTTAAATTTCCGAAAAAAAATTGAAAAATTTTTTTTAAATTTTTTGACTTTTTTTTAAATTTAATTTTGTTTTAATTTAAATTTTTTTTAAAAATAAAATTACCTTCAACGAAAAAAAAGCTTCCACATCAAAATCATGAAGAATTTTTGAAAAAAGAGCCATTGTATCTTTGAAGCTTTCAACTTCATGAACCAGTCGAGGAAGAAGTGAAATTGCTTCTTTCATCTTCTTCTTATGAATTGGCTTTATGAGCATTGGCTTCTGAAATCTTCTCGTAGGTTGAAGATGAATTTGATCAAGTCGAATACGTTTTGGCCTAGGGCTATATTCTCCTGTGGCTTGAATTTGAGAATCTGTAACTTGAAGTTGAGGATCTGCATCTTGAATTAGAGAATCTGTGTCTTGAAGTTGAGAATCTGAATCTTGAAGTCGAGAATCTGTATCTTTAAGTAGCAAAGCTGTATCGTGAAGTTGAGAATCTGTAACTTGAAGTTGAGAATCTGTAGCTTGAAGTTGAAAATCTGTACCTTGAAGTTGAGGATCTGCATCTTGAATTAGAGAATCTGTGTCTTGAAGTTGAGAATCTGTAGCTTGAAGTAGAGAATCTGTGTCTTGAAGTCGAGAATCTGCATCTTGAAGTTGCAAATCTGTAACTTCAACCTGAGCATCTGATAAGCTTGGAGGTTCTTCTGATTGGGTTTGAGGTAACTCGTAGGCTTCAGAAGATTCTGTGGTTTCTAGCCTTTGACTATAAGTTTCAGAAGTCTGTGTAGATTTTGCTTCTCGACGATGGGCTTGAAAAAAAACTGGTTTTTTTCTTGTGATTGAAACATGGCTTCAGAAGTCTGTGTAGCTTTCACTCTTTGATGAAAGGTTTCAAAAGTCTGTGTAGCTTTTGCTTCTCTATGGACTTGAAGAGAACTGGGTTCTTTTTTTGATTGAAACTTGGCTTCAGAAGACTCTGTAGCTTCTAGTCGTCCACGGTAAACTTCAGAAGGTCTGATTGATTCTTGTGTTTTAAGATTAGCTTCAAAAGGCTCTGGAGTTTCTAGTTCTTGACAGTAATCTTCAAAAGACTTAGCTGCTTCTTGTCCTTCAAGATTAGCTTTAAAAGGTTCCGGAGGTTCTTGTTCTTGCCTGTAAAGTTCAGAAAACTCTGGAGGCCCTTGCTCTTGACGGTGGAGTTCAGAAGGTTCTGGTAGTCCTTGTTCTTGACCGTGAAGTTCAGAAAACTCTGGGGGCACTTGCTCTTGACCGTGGAGTTCAGAAGGTCTTGTACTTTCTTGTTCATGAATGTTAAGTTCAGAAAATTCAGCAGCTTGTTGTTTTTGCCATTCATCTTCAGCAGGACCTTCAAGTCCTTGATCTTGATCACTAACTTCAAAAGATTTACCAGCTTCTTTTTCTGGACCGTGGACTTCAGAAAGCTCTGTAGTTCTTTTTCCTTGCCATTCGTCTTCAGCAGGCCCTTCAAGTTGATCACTAACTTTAGAAGTTGTAATACCTTCTTGTACTTGGCATTTATCTTCAGTAAGCTGTTCAACTTCTTGTTCTTGAGTATTAACTTCATAAGCTCCAATAGCTTCCTGCTCAACCCATTCACCTTCAACATGCTTTTCCAGCTCTTGTTCTTGATGACTAACTCCACAAGCTACACCAGTTTTTTGATTTTGCCAGTCATCATCTGTATGCTCTTCAAGTTGTTGTGTCATAACTTCACAACGTTCACTATCTTCGGGTTCATGCCATTCATCTCCAGTAGCACCTTCTGCTTCTTGTTCTTGAATATAAGCTTCAGAATATTTACCAGCTTCTTCTTCTTCTCCTTGAGTAATAAATTTACATGGTTCAACAGCTTCTTGTTCAACCCCCTCATCTTCAAAAAGCTCTTCAACTTCTTGTCTTTCATTACAAACTTCATAAACCTCTCCAGCTTCTTGCTCAATCCCTTCATCATCAGCAAGCTCTTCAAGTTCATGTTCTTGAGTATCAACCTCAGAATCTGGATCCATATTCTGTTTTTTCAAAGAATCCTCGGTCACACGTTGCTGTAAAAACCAAAAAGTTAAAAATTCATCCACCAAGTTCATTACTGTAGCAATATCAACATCTGTTCGCATATCATTCTCCAAAACCGCCACTACAGCATTGATAACACTTGGGTGTAGTTCACCACGTCGACAGATTTTAATGAGGGATGTGGCAGTTTTGTCAAGCCTAGCCTTAAGGTCTTGGTTTGCTTGTTTCTTTGTCAACAGTGTCTCACCAATCGTGTAGAACATTTGTAGCAGTTGAGCTTCTTCTTCGATAGCCAAAGGGGTGGGCTTGGCTCGGATAGCAACTGGTCCAGAAATATTGTGGCTAGACGTTGAGTTTGAGTGGAGAGAGTGGAAGGTACTGTAGTTTGAAGCAGGATTACTGTAACTTGCAGAACGAGCACTTACTGATCCAGGGTTACTGTAGTTGAGGTCGAGATTACTGTGGCTATGGCCAGGAATACTGAAGCGAGGTCTAGGTGCACCATAACTATGTCTAAGATTACGGTAGACAGGCACAAGGGCTCTTTGACTTGCTCCAGGATTACTGTAACTGGTTCCAGGATTGCAGTAGTTAGGTTCAGGTCTAGGTGTACCATTCATGGATCTAGGTGTACCATTAACAGATCTAGGTGCAAAATTAACAACTCTAGGAGTACCATTCGTAGATCCAGGAGTACCATTGACAGATCGAGGAGCCGCATTGGCAGAGCGAGGGGTACCATTCACAGATCTAGGAGTACCATTGGCAGATCTAGGAGTACCATTCGTAGACCCCGGAATACCATATTGAGGCAGACCGCGCCTTGGAGATCCATGAACAACAGGTGGACGTACCAAAAAATTGCCAGCCACGGAGTTACCGTAACCAGCTCTCGAAGTACCATATGATGGATCAGGACCACCAGGTGTAGGGCTAGCATATCGAGTTCTGGAATTAGCATTGATAGCTCCAGGACGAGCATTACCAACTGGAAATGCGTTATGATGAGCCATTTTTGTTACCTAAAATGTTACAGTATCAATTAATATTATAGTATCATATCAAGGAAGATGGGTAGAAGAATATGAAAGTTAAATACACGGTCATACTAGGTAGCTTTACAAAAACCAGTGGGTAAAAATGGCAAAATTTTTTTAAAAAAAATTTTTACCCCCCCCCCTCTAAAAAAATGAAAATTTAAAAAAACTAAAAAAAATTTTTACCTCCCCCTCCTCTAAAAAATTGAAAAACCAAAAAAAAGTAAAAAAAAAATTTTATCCCCCCCCCCCTTCCCACCTCTAAAACCTTGAAAATCGAAAAATCAAAATAAAAGTTTAACCATATTCGTAAAAATCAACCTTCTACTACAATATCAGCCTATGCAAATGTAAACGAAAAACTTTTTCTCGCAAAAAGAAAGACGCTTGACCCAAAAGTATTGTCGCTAAGTTTTGTGCAATCTTCATATTATTATAGCGTCACTACATTATACGTCATTAGGACTCTGAACTTGGCTTATATTGCGAAATTTTTAAACTTTGTTTAACTAATTCCTTTATAATGAAAATTCCGTTTAACAAACAGATTTTGAATGTTTGGCTGACATTACATAGTAAATTTGAAACAACTGTATAACGATTGGCTAACATTACATAGTGAATTTAAAACTAGTGTAAAACGAAATTTCTTTATAAAGGTCAAATTTAATATTATTGAAGAGTTTTGTTATACAGAAGTTCACTATGAAAAAAAATAATAAAAAATTGAAAAGAATAAAGAAAATATGCTTAGCCTAGACTAGACTAGTAATTAACAAAAATGTGAATTTTAAAGCAGCAGTTGTTAAAAGGTCTAAATTTAAATGCTAAAATAATCAAAATTCAAAAAGTAATGACAAAATAACACGTTTTCATCGCATATTCACAGTAAAGGCTACATAACTTCTTTTTATCAAAAATTTTTGCTGTCTCTACTTTATTGGCTCATACCAAACATACAGAAGATCTTCTACCTAACGTTTGTCAAGCGTTTTGTACCGGTAGCACGAAATTCAGAACTTCTAGAGCCAAAAAAAGTTTTCATGGCTTATCTTCATTTTCAGTGGTTTTTCGCTCACACATATATGCACCCAATATACAATCTAGTAATCAGGGCCGGGCGGGGACTTTTGGTCTGGGAGCAGGGTCCAAAAAATCCACAGGGGGGGACCACGTTCAAATTTTTTCGAAAATTTTTTCTCTTGGCCCGGCCCTGCTAATAATATTAAGAAAAGTTTTATTTTAAAGTTCAGTTTACCTTACTTATTATATTAATGATCAAAATACCTTAATGACACTTTTACAAAACTATTTATTTAAACTTAAAAAGTACCAATTGAGATACATATAATATTATAAGCAAAAGGTAGTAAACAATGACCAAAAAGCCGTAAATTAGGAAGGTAGGGGAGGAGAAAACACTTAAAATTCCATGGCATCTTCTGAAATGTCATCTTCTGGGTAATCAACTAGCGAGTAGTCCGACGAAGCGTTACTGACATTTAACGCGGGTTCTGGAGGGCTTGTTTCTTGTAGCCGCTTGCTTAAAGATGCGTCAGGTTCACCTGGAAATTGTATTCGATAAGCATGAGTTTAGGTTTAGTAAGAATTGGGGGGGAGGTAAAATTTTAAAAAAAAAGTAAAAAAATTTAAAAATAATTTAAAATTTACCTTTCAAATTCAATTTATCGACCATATTTGCGACTTCCTCCCCCATTTCCATCGCCAGATATCTCATTTTTTCGATATCACTTAGTACAGTCCTGAGAGTCGCAATTGTCTCCAATATTTGCTCTTTTCCATCTGCTTCTTCAGACAGATTCTGAATTTTATTTGATAGTTCAATAGCTTTTTTCGCCTTTAGAGAGAGTTGAAGTACAGAAGCACGTTGATAAGCAATTTGATTTAATAGTGCAACGTTTTGTAGATTCTGTGCTTCACGATGAGATCCAGAACGCTGTGTAGCTTGTCCTGAAGCTTCATTCAATTGCGCAACTCTCGGTGGATTCTGAGCTCTACGGTGAGATTGTACATTTCTTGGTGGATTCTGAGGTTCACGATGAGATCCAGAAAGCCGTACAATACCTTCTGATTGAAGCTGAACTGCATTTGCTTTCACAACCTTTTTCGATTGACACCGAGCATCCGTTGATCCTATAACACTTTCTGGCTGAACTGGCTTTGGACGTCCAAGTACATAGCGTTCACGGCGAGTCACAGTGCCGCTTGGCTGAGCCCTTTCTTCTTCTGTTTTACTTAGCCAACCTGCGAAATGCTGCTCCATGTTTGCCGCTGTCACACCCATATCTGTACATGTACATTCTAGTTCATGGTAACGGAAGTTGTGATACATTCCTTGCAAGTTATCTACAATATATATATATATATCTATATATATATATATGTATGTATATATGTATGTATATATATCTATAATGTAAAGCAAAACGATTAAAACAGATAATTAGCGAATACGTAGCAAGTAAAAATTACAAAAAAAAATTTAAATTTAAAAAAGAAGCTTGATTGCTAGTACAGTACGTCTTTTTAAAGTTACCCCCCTTCCTTCCCCAATGTAAAGAACAGAGCTATAAAAAGCAATTAGAGCTATAACAAGCAGCAAGAGCTGTAACAAGCAGTCAGAGCTATACCAAGAAGCAAGAGCTATAACAAGCAGCCAGAGCTATAACAAGAAGCAAGAGCTATTCCAAGCAGTAAGGGCTATAACAAGCACCAATAGCTTATAACAAGAACAAGAGCTATAACAAACAGTTAAAGCTATAACAAGTACCAAGGGCTATAACAAGCAACTAAAGCTATAACAAGAACTAAGAGCTTCTAACAAGCAGCAAGAGCTTATATCAAGAAGCAAGAGCTATAACAAGCACCAACAGCTTATAACAAGCAGCATAAGGTATTAACAAGCTGTAAAAGGTATATGAGAAATGTGCAGTGCGAGATTAACGCTTTTCTCGCACATAACCAACGCACACGCAGTAATAGGCCTGCTCTTTGCCATAGCGTCAAGATAGCTCTCGTCGCGCCATATTTTGTGTTACGTATGGCTCTGTAAACAAGCTAGAGATATTGCAGTTTAAAGAAGCTTAACATCAAAAATTTACTTAAGTAAAATAACGGTATAACATGCAAGTCTAGGCTAAAACAAACTTAGCCTACGTACTAGACTAAGGCAAAACCACACAGACCGCTTTGCTAGATCCAGCCACATTTGTAAAATACAATTGAATATGTAGTGCTAAGTGCACAAGGACTATAGAAAATTGGTTGCTAAGCCTACAAAGGCTTTTAACTACGGGCCAAAGCCTTGAGGAGCACCTCATCACGACTCGGTAGCTTGAGGAACAGAATCACCTGCATGATGCCCAATTGAAAACTGCTACAACGGTTTCCTCTGACAGTCCTCAAATTCTCATCAACACTCAGTTTGAGCCTTAGTCTAAACTACAGCTTAAGCCCTAGCTTCAACTGTATCCTAAGCCCTAGTGTAAGCCTAAATGTTAGCCTCAGCATTAAAAAAGGCAAGGATAAGAGCATTGCAAAACAAATTAATCAATTTTATTTTTCAAACAACAGTTTAAGTAATCTTGCATTGTGTACTGATTAAACATGATGGTATCACAACTTAAGTCATATTTTGGTTGGCTTCGCTCTGGTAAGGTGTTGGGTGGGGTTGGCTAATCTGAAAATAAATTTGGTTAAAAATATGTTACTTAAAAAAAGGGGGAGGGGAGAAGTTAAAAAAAATTTCTTAAAAAAAGAGGGGGTGTTAAAAAATAGTTTTTTTAAAAAAAGGGAGGGGGTAGTAAAGATGTTTTTCTTAAAAAAGAGAGCTGGGGGGCGGTTAAAAATAGATTATTATTAAAAAAAGCGGAGGGGAAGTTAAAAATTATATTTTTTCAAGTTGCAAACTGATAAGAAAACCTTACCTTGTTCACTCAGTCCCTTAACAATGTTCAGCACCTCTTCCTTAATCTCTATAGCTTCATCCCTCAACCCGTTGATATCTTCCATGATAAGTTTGAGAGTAGAAAGCTTTTTCGTCACTTCTTCTTTTAATGATTCTGAATCTCTTGTAGCTGAATCTTGCCCTTCACTTGGTTCTTGTTGTACTTCACAATTTTTTTGCGAAGCTTTCGCTGTTTGTTGAGCTTTCAACAAACACCGTGTGATCCAACGCTGTGTTGGATCACAAAGTTGAGAATCATGTACTATCGAGAATCCGGACGAGCCATTGAATTCTTGTTGGCTATGATGATTAACAAACTCGCCTTCGCACTCTTCAGAACACTCAAATGATAGTGCTTCGGGGTCTTTAGATAAAGTTTCACAATCTTTAAATAAATCTTCAGAAGCTTCAGCTAAATCATCAGTATCTTCAGATGAACCTTCAGATAAACCATCACATTCTTCAGATGAGTCTTCAGAATCTTCAGATGAGCCTTGAGGATCTTTCAATAACTCTTCAGAATCTTCAGATAAGTCTTCGGAATCTTCACACATTAGTTTTGTAGCAGACTCGGCAGCTTCGTGGAATTGTTGAGTAAAACGTTGCAGACGCTCGGATTCAGAAGTATGTTGTTGACAGTTAAGAGCAGAAGCTAGTCCTTCTGTATTTTGGTTTGTTTCAGAAGATGGTGCAGCTCCTTGATGGCGTTGTGCAGTTTCTTGCTGACATTGTGCAGCTTCTTTATTATATGGCGCAGTTTCTTCAAATTCGTTATTTGACTCCTGATCTTCTTCTGGGTCTTTAAGAATACAGTACGCATACAATGTAAAGAAAGCTTCCAAAATCTTGGTATCATTTCTGTCATCCAAAACCCTCTGCAAGGCTTTTACCACATAGTTTTCAAATTTGCCGTCTTTGGCATGCTCCATAGCTAATCCCGTAATCATGTCCAAGACGTACAGCACTTCATCTGGTATTTGTCCCACTAGACCTATTCTACCGGCTTTGTAGAAACGTAGCAGGATTTTTACTTGGCTTTTGTATACCTCCAAGTGTTCGGGTTTGCACTCGTCTTCAATTTCTACTGCCCATTTAAACACTTTATTGTCGAGTCGATGGTCTCGACCGCCTATTGCAAAGGTTGATTCATCTTGTTGAGTTACATTAGAAGCATTGTTATCAGGGATGTTAGTTGCATAAACAAGGTCATTAGAGTCGTCAGCTTCAGAAACAATGTCATCAGAGTCGTCCGCTTCGTCTCTAAGCCAGCGTCGGTCAGTGTAGAACTGTAGCACTTTGCAGAATTCGAGAATACTAAATAATTCATTGTGATTTTGCTCTAGAAATTTCTGCATATCTTTCACAATGTAGTCGTCAAGTTTGCCTTCTCGGGAAATCATTTTCAAATTGAAAAAAATTTCATGAAATACGTGGTCTGGTAGAGTTTTATATGCACCACCTTTTAAACTGGACTGGGCTTTTTTGTAGACACATTTGATTAATTCCACCTGGTTCTGGTACAATTTGTAGCGATCTTTCTTGCATAATGCTTGAAAGTGGGATTCGTCTCCAAACAGTAGATTAAAGCGGTCGTTTTCCAAGCCAACTCTACATTTGTTTTCAAAGCCGCATCCGTTAGTCGACATACCATTAGGTTCGGGGAAATGATTTGGTGGAATACGACTGTCGTAGCCATGAGGAACGTTGATTCTTGATGGAACGAGTACTGGATTACCGTAACGCGCTTGATCATTAAATCCAGGAGGTGGTTGTAGTGGCTTACCGTAGCAATGTTCACAGTTCAATGCAGGTCGAGTTAGAAATGGGTTACCGTGACTTGATGGACCGTTCAATCCAGGTGGAGGTAATATTGGGTTACCGTAACCGCATGCGCCATTCGATTCCGGTGGCGGTAGTAATGGCTTACCATTGCCGGGCGCATAGTTCATGCCAGGTAGAGGTTGTATTGGGGTAGGTGCATTAATACCATATTGAAGAGGTGGGCGGGTACCGTAAACACTAGGAACGTTAGTTGGACAAGCTGTACCATTACCGTATCTTTGTTGTCCATAAACTTCAGGATTAGTGTAGCCAGCTACAGCATCAGCGTAAAACATCTTTTACTGTTTGTTGCCTAAAATAACATTCGAATGAAAAAAGATGTTAAAGTAAAAGCAAAGTGCTAACTAACTCGCAGTAGATACGCTTGTAGACGCAAAATCCCCCACCCTTTATTTGAAAAAAGTTTTAATTATAAGCAACCGAAAGGGAAGTACGCTCTGACAAGCAGCAACAAGGTAAATGACAAATGTCACTGTAAACCCCAGCCTTTTATAGCGCAAACCCAACGCCTAACACAAGGAATTGTCTCCGCCTTTTGCCATAGCGTCAAGCTGATTTTTGTCGCGTCAACCCTCTTTTTACATACTTCGAGGTCAATATATAGAGGTAACTCAACATCAATTATTTAAAATTGGCTTATAAGCAGCGTTTTGCCGATCGTTTTCTTCTGCGGACGGGTCTGCCCCGGACCAAAACAAAAATTTTCGGACCGGACCAAGTCCAAAAATTTGAAGTTTGGATCGAACTGGACCCGAAAATTGCCGGACCGGACCGGTGAAAAACGCTGCGGACCGGTCCGGGCAAAACACTGTTTATAAGCCTTAAAAAATGCTTTTAAGCCTTACAATACTTTAAAAAACAAGAATAGGCAAGAGGCTTAGCACAACAAGGTAAAAAATATATTTTTTATTAAAAAAAGAGGGAGGTGTAAAAATATTTTTGTAAAAAAAGGGGGGGGGGGAGTAAAAAAATATATTTTTTTTAAAAAAAGGAGGGGTAAGGGTTAAAAAATTTTTTCTTAAAAAAAGGGGGGGGGTAAAAATATTTTTCTTAAAAAAGTGGGGGGTTAAAAAATATTTTCTTAAAAAAAGAGGGGTGGGGAGATTAAAAATGAAATTTTTCTCAATTTACAAATTTCTCAAAAAATTATCGTTTACCTAATTTCTTAACAATGTTCAACACCTCTTCCTTGATGGCCATAGCTTCGTCCCTCAACCCGTTGATACCTTCCATGATAAGTTTCAGGGTAGAAAGCTTTTTCATTACTTCTTCCTTCAATGATTCTGAATTTCTTGTAGCTGAATCCTGCACTATGATGATTAACAAGCTCAGGTTTTTCAGAACACTCAAATGCTTTGAGGTCTTTGGATAAAGCTTCATAAGCTTCAGATACGCCTTTATAATCTTCCTGCCTTAGTTTTGTCATGACAGCTTCGTAGAATTGTTTCAGACGTTCGAATTCAGAAGTATGTTGTTGACCGTTAAGAGCAGAAGCTAGTCCTGTATTTTGGTTTGTTTCAAAAGATGGTGCAGTATCTTGATGACACTGTGCGGTTTCTTGATGACACTGTGCAGTTTCTTGATGATATTGTGCAGTATCTTGATGAGCTTCTTCATGGTCTCGTGGAACTGTTACATTAGATCGTGATGTTTTTTCCAGGTATTTTAGCGAATTGTAAGCCTCCAATGCATAGCAAGCTTCCAAAAGTTTGGCATCGTTTCTGCATTTGTCATTCAAAACTCTCTTCAAGGCTTTTACCATATAGTTGTCAAGATCGCCGGATTTGGCATAGTCTATAGCTGCCCATATAGTTACGTCAAATTCATGCAATTCTATATTACAAACCTTTTTCACTAACGCTATTCTACACAGTTTGTAGAAAAGCCGCAGAATCCCCACTTGCCTTCTGTATACCTCCAAATGCTCTGGTTCGCACTCAGCTTCCCATTTTACTGCATCTTTAAACGTCGAATTGTAGCGTTCATCGTCTGGACCGTACATTGAAAAGGTTGATTCATCTTGGTAATTTAGATTAGAAAAACTGTCATCAGAATCTTCAGTTTCGTCTTCAAGAAACCGTTGGTCAGTGTAGGCTTGCAGCAATTTACAAAATCCGAAGATATCGTTGGCATAGTAAAATGTTCTCGTTTTTACTTCTTTCATGCGTTTCAAAATGTAGTTGTCAAGTTTGCCTTCTCGTGAAATCATTTTCAAATTGAAAAAAATCTCATCAAACTCTGGACTTGTAAATTGATTGCCTTTTAAATTGGACAGAGCTTTTTTTGTAGAAACTTTTGATCACTTCCATCTGGCTTTGGTACACCTGGTAATGGTCCTTGTTGCATAATGCTTGGAAGCGTGATTCGTCTCCAAACAGTAAGTTGAAGCGGTCGTCTGCCTTATTATCTTTTTGACTATCTTCACCACTGACACGATTATTAGTTTCAGTACTGTTAAGATTAAATTGCTTATCATTACCAGTGTTGGGATTTGTCATGACAGCTTCGTAGAATTGTTGCAGACGCTCGAATTCAGAAGTATGTTGTGGACAATCAAGAGCAGAAGCTAGTCCTTCTGTATATTGGTTTGTTTCAAAAGATGGTGCAGTTTCTTGACGACACTGTGCAGCTTCTTGATGACATTGTGCAGTATCTTGATGAGCTTTTTCATGGTCTCGTGGAACTCTTACATTAGGTCGTGAATCTTCTCCCTGGTATTTTAGCAACCTGTAAGCCACCAATGCATAGTATGCTTCCAAAAGTTTGTCATTGTTTCTGCATTTGTCATTCAAAACTCTCTTTAAGGCGTTTACCATATAGTTGTCAAGGTTGCCGAATGTGGCATCCTCTATACAGTCCATTATAGTTTCGTCAAATTCATGCAATTCCATACCAAGATCCTTTTTCATTAACGCTATTCTACACACTTTGTAGAAACGCCGGAGAATTTCTACTTGGCTTTTGTATACCTCCAAATGTTCTGGTTTGCACACGGCTTCCCATTTTACTGCATTTTTAAACGTCGAATTGTAGCGTTCATCGTCTAGACCGTACATTAAAGAGGTTGGTTCATCTTGGTGAATTAGATTAGAAACAATTTCATCAGAATCTTCAGTTTCGTCTTCAAGCCAGCGTTGGTCAGTGTAGGCTTGCAGCAATTTACAAAACCCGAAGATACCGTCGACATTGTCATCTGTTTCTACGTGTTTCTTCATGCCTTTCACAATGTAGCTGTCAAGTTTGCCTTCTCGTGAAATCATTTTCAAATTGAAAAAAGTTTCATCAATGTCTGGTAGGCTTGTAAGTTGATTGTCTTTTAAATTGGACAGAGCTTTTTTGTAGAAACTTTTGATCACTTCCATCTGGCTTTGGTACACTTGGTAATGGTCCTTGTTGCATAATGCTTGAAAGCGTGATTCGTCTCCAAACAGTAAGTTGAAGCGGTCGTCTGCCTTCTTATCTTTTTGACTATCCTCAGCATTAAAATTTTGTCTGCTATCTTCACCATTGAAACAATTATCAGTTTCAGTACTGTTAAGATTAAATTGTTTATCATTACCAGTGTTGAGATTGTCGAAGCCAGCTCTACCGTGGTTCACAAATCCACCTCCGTTAGTTTGTTGAAAGAGAGTACCATTGTGTCCTACTTGGCTCGTACCATAAGTACACGAAGCAATTTCGTTATTGTTGATTGACGGTACACCAGCTTCAATTCCATCGTAGGAACGGTTGTTTACTGTAGCTGGAACGTTGTTTACTGTAGCTGAACCGTTGTTTACTGTAGCTGCACAGTTGTTTCCAAATGGTGGTGGGGCTTGGCCGTTGAATACTGGAGGGACATTACCTTTCGGTGGAATAGGTACGGTACGATCATAACCATGAGGAGCGTTGATTCTTGGTGGCATGAGAACTGGATTACCGTAACGTGCTTGCTCACTAAATCCAGGAGGTGGTTGTAGTGGCTTACCGTAGCCTGATACACCATTCAATTCAGCTGGCGGTAGTAGTGGTTTACCGTAACCATGAGATGCATTAATGCCATCTTCAAGAAGTGGTCGGTAAACCATAGGGCCATTAACACCAGTTGGATAAGATGTACCATTACCGTACCTTTGTTGTTCATCAGCTCCAGAACTCGTGTAGCCAGCACCACCGTACGACATCTTTACTGTTTGTTACCTACAATAACGTTCAAATGAGAAAAAATTTTACAGTACTAGCAAACTACTAGCTAACTCGCAGTACATACAATTGTAGACACATACATCAACACCCCCCCCCCTTTTTTTTTAAAAAAACTAATTATTAGATGGCAAAACGAAAGAAAGCATACTCCGGCAAGCAGTAACAAGATAAATGACCAATGTCACTGTAAACCCCAGCCTTTTATAGCGCAAACCCAACGCCTAACACAAGGAATTGTCTCCGCCTTTTGCCAAAGCGTCAAGCAGGTTTTTGTCGCGCCAAACCTCTTTTTACATACGTCTAGGTCAAAATATAGAGGTAACTCAACATCAATTGTAGTCTGGATTACCTCGGGTGTAGCCAGTGCTAGTTTGACTACAAAAATTTATTCAAAGCTGGCTTATAAGCAGCCAGCTTTGAATAAATTTTTTTGCCGGATCGGTCTGGTCCGCGGACGGGCCTGGATCGGACCGAAACAAAAATTTTTGCTGACCGGATCGGGTCCAAAAACCTGCGAACCCGGACTGAAGAAAATGCCCCCGGAACGGTCCAAAACTTTTTTTTATTTTAATAAAATTGTTTTTAAAAAAGCAGTTTTAGCGTTTCTAGCTTTTTTAAAAATAAAAAAATTGAAAATAACTTCTTAGCTTATGGGTTGAAGTTTTGAAAAATAAATAAATTTTGTAAAGGTCCGTCTTTGGCAATCAATGTATTACCGAAATGGACCGCCCGGATCGGCAAGACCGATTCGAATGTTTAGCGAGGAACTTGTATGTGACGGACCTTCACAAAAGTTATTTATTTTTTAAAACTTCAAACCATAAGCTCAAAAGTTATTTTCAATTTTGCAATTTTTGAAAATCCGTACCGGACCGGTCCTGCAAAACACTGATTGTAACAAACTTTTGGTTTTTTTAGTTGTAGATAAGTTTGTTATACAGGAGTTTTACTGTAACATGCAAGTCTACGCTAACCGGGAAAGTACTACACCGCTCTCATAGATTTAAAAATTTTAATAAAAATATCATAAATACCTTTCAAAGTACTAAATTGCGTTTTTATATCGGTCTTGAGGGAATCGGAATCAAAAAATTATGTTTTGAATTTCCCGCCAAATTGGCATTTTGTTTCAAGCTTATAACTTTCTCATTTTTTATATATACTAGTAAGAACATGTCATTTAAACTAGATTTTTTAGTTTGTAAATTTACATTACTTAAATTATTAAAACAGAGCTTGCATCATAGTGACAAAGTTGCCAATTTGGCGGGAATTTCAAATGTTTTAATTTTAAAACTCAAAAAAGTAAGCTAAATGTTTTTATGGGTACTATATGTAATACAGGTTCATTTAAAAATTTCGAGCTATTTCTGAGCAGGGCAGACTGTGTAGTTTCCGTGTAAGCCAGCATTAACATTCCTTAGCTTAAAATCTAGCCTAATACCTAAATTATGCCTCACAAGAAACGCGGCCGACCTGCCCCTCTCTGATTGATTTTAAACTTTTTATATTGAAAGATCATGTAAATATAAAACCTTCACCAAAGTATTAAATTGTGCTTTCCAGGAAAGCTCGAGTAAATTCAGATCAAAAAATGACGTTTTGAATTTCCCGCCAAGTTGGCATTGTGTTTCAAGCTTATAACTTTGCCATTTTTTCGCTTTTAATTATTTTTCTGGAATATATTAGTAGAATACGTTGAAACAAACTTACAGTTTTAAATTAGTCAGCGCAGCTTGTCTGGAATTTCTAAAAAAGTGCTTGAAACACAATGCCAAATTTGCCAAAATTGGCGGGAAACCAAAATAATTTAAATTTAAAACTTAAAAGCGCGGGTTAAAATTTTTGATAAATACTATTGGTGGTGCAAGGAATTCATATAAAAATTTTGAGCTGATTCTGAGCGGGGCAGGTAGGGTACTCTCCTTGTCAGTTTAAGCCTTAGTATAAACTGCAGGTTATGCCTTAGCTTCAATTTTGTTCCAACTCCTGGTTTAAGCATAAATTAGCCTTAGAACTAAATTTAATTACAAAACATTTTATTCATCAATCAGTTTAAGCATTATGTGTATTTTAAATATGATGATATCACAAATTATGCCGCGTTTTGGTTGAGTTGGCTCTGAGAACGTGTTGGTTGAAGTTAGCTAATCTAAAAATTAAATATTTTAAAAAATATTCTTTGAAGAAAGGGGGGGGGTTAAAAAATATTGTTCTTAAAAAAAGGGAGGGGTGGTGAAAAAATATATTTTCCTTTAAAAAAAAGGGGGGGGGTAGAAAATTATATTTTTTTTAAAAAAAAGGGGGGGGGAGTTAAACAATATTTTTCTTAAAAAAGGAGGGGGGGGGGGTTAAATTTTTTTTTCAGTTAGCAAAACTGCTCAAAAAATTACCTTATTTACTCAGTCCCTTAACAATGTTCAACACCTCTTCCTTGATGGCCATAGCTTCGTCCCTCAACCCGTTGATACCTTCCATGATACGTTTGAGAGTAGAAAGCTTTTTTATCACTTCTTCCTTTAAAGATTCTGTATTTCTTGTAGATGTATTCTGAATTTCATTTGCTTCGTTTACTATCGAGAATCCGGATTCTTCATTGAATTCTTGTTGGTTATGAGGATCAACAAACTTGGCTTCAGGTTCTTCAGAGCACTCAATTGATAGTGCTTTGAGGTCTTTGGATAAGCCTTCAGAATCTTCACACATTAGTTTTGTAGCAGAATTGACAGCTTCGTGGAATTGTTGAGTAAGACGTTGCGGACGCTCGGATTCAGAAGTATGTTGTTGACAGTTAATGGCAGAAACTAGTCCTTCTGTATTTTGGTTTGTTTCAAAAGATGGTGCAGCTTCTTCATGGTACTGTGAAACTCTTACATTAGGTCGTGATTCTTCTTCCAGGTATTTTAGCGAATTGTAAGCCACCAATGCATAGCAAGCTTCCAAAAGTTTGGCATCGTTTCTGCATTTGTCATTCAAAACTCTCTTCAAGGCTTTTACCATATAGTTGTCAAGATCGCCGGATTTGGCATAGCCTATAGCTGCCCATACAGTTAAGTCAAATTCCTCCAATTCCATAGCATATTCCTTTTTTACTAACGCTATTCTACACAGTTTGTAGAAACGCCGCAGAATCTCCACTTGCCTTCTGTATACCTCCAAATGCTCTGGATCGCACTCAGCTTCCCATTTTACTGCATCTTCAAACGTCGAATTGTAGCGTTCATCGTCTGGACCGTACATTGAAAAGGTTGATTCATCTTGGTGATTTAGATTAGAAAAACTGTCATCAGAATCTTCAGTTTCGTCTTCAAGAAACCGTTGGTCAGTGTAGGCTTGCAGCAATTTACAAAATCCGAAGATATCGTTGGCATAGTAAAATGTTCTCGTTTTTACTTCTTTCATGCGTTTCAAAATGTAGTTGTCAAGTTTGCCATCTCGTGAAATCATTTTCAAATTGAAAAAAATCTCATCAAACTCTGGACTTGTAAATTGATTGTCTTTTAAATTGGACAGAGCTTTTTTGTAGAAACTTTTGATCACTTCCATCTGGCTTTGGTACACTTGGTAATGGTCCTTGCTGCATAATGCTTGAAAGCGTGATTCGTCTCCAAACAGTAGGTTGAAGCGGTCGTCTGCCTTATTATCTTTTTGACTATCCTCAGCATTAACATTTTGTCTACCACCTTCACCATTGAAACGATTATCAGGTTCAGTACTGTTAAGATTAAGTTGTTTTTGATTACCAGCGTTGAGATTGTCTAAGCCAGCTCTACAGTGGTTTACAAATTCACTTCCGTTAGTCTGTCGAAGAGGGGCACCATTGTGTCCCATTTGGCTGGTACCATAAGTACACGAAGCAATTCTACATTCGTTATTGTTGACTTGAAACGCATTAAGTGCTGTTGGCGGAGGCATATAAGCATTGTAAATTGAAGGTACACAAGCTCCACCTCTACCGTAGGAAGGGTTGTTTACCGTATCTGAACCGTTTTTTACTGTAGCTGAACCGTTGTTTACAGAAGCTGAACCGTTGTTTACCGTAGCCGGGGCGTTGTTTCCAAATGGCGGTGGGGCATGGCCGTTGAATCCTGGAGGGGCATTACCTCTTGATGGGATAGATGCGGTCAAATTGTAAACATAAGGAGCGCTGATTCTTGGTGACATGAGTACTGAATTACCGTAACGTGATTGATCACTAAATCCAGGAGGTGATTGTAGTGGCTTACCGTAGCCATGTGCACAGTTCGATCCAGGTTGAGGTAGAAATGGATTACCGCGGCCTGACGTACAATTGAATCCAGGTGGAGGTGGGTTACCGTACTCAGATGCGGCGTTCATTCTAGGTGGAGGTGGGTTACCGTACCCAGATGCAGCGTTTATTCCTGGTGGAAATGGGTTACCGTAGCCGGAAGCACCATTCAATTCAGGTGGCGGTAGTAGTGGCTTACCGTAACCAATAGGTGTATTAATGCCATATTCAAGAGGTGGTCGGTTATCGTAAACACTAGGTACTTTAACACCAGTTGAATAAGTTGTACCATTTCCGTATCTTTGTTTTTCATCTGCTCCAGAATTCCTATAACCAGCTACAGAACCACCGTACGACATCTTTATTGTTTGTTACCTAAAATAGCGTTCGAATAAAGAAAAATATTACAGTACAATTTATATCGCGGAACATACCATTGTAGACACAAAATTCAACACCCCCCTTTTTTTCCTAAAAAACCTAATTATTAGATGGCAAAACGAAAGACAGACCACTCTGTCAAGCAGTAACAAGATAAATGACCAATGTCACTGTTAACTCCAGCCTTTTATAGCGCAAACCCAACGCCTAGAACAAGGAATTGTCTCCGCCTTTTGCCAAAGCGTGAAGCAGGTTTTTGTCGCGCCAAACATCTTTTTACATACGTCTAGGTCAAAATATAGAGGTAACTCAACATACATTGTAGTATGGATTACCTCGGGTGTAGTCAGTGCTAAGCTGACTGCAAAAATATATTCAAAAGTTAGCTTGTAGATCTTAAGAAACACGGTACAGGCTTTCAAGTAACATTCATAAACCAAGAATAAGTGGCATAGCAGAACACTTACCTTGGCCTAGCCCAGCTTTCAATGAGGCTTAACATCATTCCCAATTTTAAAATTTAAAACGATTGTAGGGTAAGGTAAAGCAAAGTAGTGTAAGGTAAATAACACCAAGGCGAGTAAGGCATGATAAGCTATAGTGAGTAGCGTAGGTTAAGGTAGGATAGTGTATGTCAAAGTGGGGTCGGGAAAAGGGTAAGTCAAGGTAGGGTTGAGCAGAATCCAGTAGGAGCAAGTACGGTCGGTCCGGGCAGGCTCGAAAACCAGGGCGAGCATAGTGGGAGAAGGTATGGTAAGATAGAGTGAATAGGGTAGGGTAAGGAAGGGGACAGAGCAAAGTAGAAAAATATAACTTAAAAAAAATTTTTTTTAACCAAGCCAGTAAATAATTTTAAAAAATTTATTTACAATCAAAAAAAGGTTAGTCATGAAAATATAAACAATTATAACAAACAAAAATATAAAAATGAAAGAAAAAGACATTAAAACGATATTTTTTGATTTCAGCGCGGTGAATTTTTGAAAAATATTTTGGAAGAAACAATATGAATATTGATTGAATAATATGAATAAGAAGATAAACAAACACAAATTATGATATTATTCTGGAAAATAAAACAAAAGACATCAAATGGTTTTTAAAGTTATTTTTAGACATTTCCTTATAAAAAAATAGAACTGAGACATCTTTAGGTAATATACAATATGTAAAACATAAAAAAATGGAACGAAAAAAATGGAAAAAAAAAATAAAAAATGTTGCAAAAAATCAATTGTCAGCTTATAAAAATGGTTTTTAGTACCGATGATACATTGTTATTAATAGTATTAGGTGCCGACATAAAGAACCCACCATACTTTTCTTGTAATTTCCTGTAAAAAATAGCGGGTTCTTTATGCCGGCACCTAAATCATCACTTTTGTGCAAAACAACGAAATATACAGCACTATTCATAGCAAAGGTCAATACCAATAGTCAGAGCCGGGCGCAGGGGGGGGGTACTCCCCTCTAGAAAAAAAATTCAAAAAAAAGTTGAACGTGGAACTACCTGTGCCTATTTTTTCGACCCCCACCCCAAGAGTCCCCGCCCGGTTGTGCCAATAGTACCATACTACTACAAACATTACTTTACATACCGTTAATATCAATTAGAAAACGCATTAATAAAATGATGATAATCATCAATCAATAAGAATAACCGTTAATATCAATGATCATAAGCGAAGATTTGAAAAAATACCAAACGCACCACTAGTACTACTTTTCCAACCAATACCATAAATCAATCGCGCTTCTTGTTCTTCTCCTTTTCATCGTGTAGCCATTTGTCGTAATCCTCTTTCGTAGCCAAACTAGGTGGTCCACGGTATTCGGAATCGTTGGCCAAATCTTCGTACGACGTAGTGTCTTCTGAATCCTTATCAATCTTCGTGAATTCGGACGATCGACCGCTTTCTGAAGACGACGAAGATTGACTTCTAGATTCTGAAGTTGATGCAAACGGGTTTCTGTCTTCTGATGTTGATTTAGGTTGACCTTTGGCTCCGGAAGTCGATGGAGCAGCCTTCCCTGTACCAGTAGTACCACTAGTAGAATCATGACCAATTCTTTCATTGTCACTATCTACTGAGAGTCCTAGATCCGTCAAAACGCCTTCAACTTCATCGGTTTCATATACATCAACGTGAGCATCACCATTTTCAACAGTTTTTCCATCTTCTTGTTCACCATGTTGATCAACCTCAGAGATCACGTCAAAATCGTTTGGTGAACCAGTACTGATGCTTTGGCCCGAGATTGTTGGTCGTTCAGTATTATTAGAAGCTGATGGTGCTGAAAATAAAATTTTTTAGAAAAAATAGTATTTTAGGTAACAAATTTCAGCAAAATCGAGTTTTTAAGTATGAAACTTTAAAAAATAAGATTTTAGGTAACAAATCTACAAAAACTTGTCTCTTCTGGTCATTATAGTCCATCATTATTACCTAAACTTCAAAAAAATCAAAGAAAAACAACTTACCTTCCATTTCCAATTCCTGCACAACACCATAAATTTGCTGTTTTACATCGTTCAGCTGGTGTGACAAGTTGTCGACCTTCGAAAATAAGCTCTTCAAGGTTTCCAGTGTAATTTTTGATGTCTTTGGCTTCTGAATCTTCATCTTCTCAACTTCATTCGGCTTCCGAACGGATTGAATTTGAGCTGTAGTTGGCTTCTGAACTTGATACTGATCGTCATTTCGCGTCTGAACTTGATACTGATCGTCAATTCGCTTCTTATCTTCATTCTTCTTCTGAATCTCACTTCCACCTGCCACAGGTTTCTGTTTTTGAGCACGATAAAGCTTCTTTGATAAACGTGCGGCTTCACATTGAATTTGAAGTAGATCCTTCATCGTTTTGTAGATTTCGTCTTCAGCAGACGCACGATGATGACTTTTTGATGATCTTAGAGGATTACTAGATTCTGAAGGCGGCTTTCGTGCTTCTGATTGACGTTTTGATTCTGAAGATCGTTTTTTGACTTCAAACTTCTCTTCAGATCGTCTTTTAGCTTCATCAAATTTCGCTAATCTTCTAGATGCATCAGCAGCTCGCAAAGCTTCTGAAAATCGTTGATGAGAAATGTTTGGCTGACGGTTATGTTCAGCAGGCTGTAGATCGAAAGTGGCCTTCAGAAGCCGTTTAACACTTTCTTGATTCATCATTCTCTGTCGATATTCGTCCTCATAACAGTCTAAAACATCGCCAGAAGATCGTTTAGCTTTCTGTGACGTCTGCTTGGATTCAGGAGGTCGTCGATTGTAGGTTGGAACCATGTTGATTCTTTCTGAATCGTTTTTGGCCTTCTGTTTTTCTGCACGCTGACTTTGGGTCGAAGCCGGCTTGACTTCAGCTGTCATCTTTGGTTCTTTCCGAACTTCAGAATTGAATTTAAATCCACTTGGACCTGGTTGATCGTCAAAATCAGTATAATCTCCAGGTTTATCATAGTACGAATCCTCGTAATCGTCCCAGGTAATCGTTGGTTGAGGTTGGTGGTATGCTTCATCGTCTTTTGCAAACAATTCTTCAACTTTGGCCGACGCTGAAGCTTTTGTTCTTTGAACATCTTGACGATGATGTTCGTCTACTTGATCACGTTCAGCGTCACGACAAAAAATGTCATCTTGATCATATCTATCGTTGTCATAATAATCGTCATCATCATGACATCCCAAAGCTTTGCATTGGTCTAAACCGTGCCATTGTCCTTCTTCTTCATCAACATAACCTTTATATTCATCTACTTGACCTTTTTCAACATCGTTACCGCCCTCTTCTTCATCATGACGAGTATGATCATCAACTTGTTCATGTACAACACCATTAATGTCAACTACAATAGTCGGTCGACGATTGTTAGAAGGGTAGAATCGCGGAAGTTCGTATTCTTGTGAATCCACTTCGAAGCCAACGTCATCAAGGTCAATATCGTCCGAATATTCGTCATTAACAATGTTATCGTCTTCGAATCCATCATCAATATCAACGTCATCGTTGTTGATGAATAAGTCTTCATTACCATTGCCGAAACCGTCTTCTGCGGAAAATGTTGAAGCTTCTGAGTCGATTAAGCCATTTTCAGCGTCAAAAAGGTTTCCTACTCGGGCGTTTTGGAAAACATGTTCATCCTCACCTTCAGATTCATAAATATTATCATGTTCAGTTCTAGCGCCAAAAATGATATTATCTCTATTGAGTACATGTTCACCATCATCTTGGTTGCTAACAAAGTAATCAACGAATGCATTTTGACGATCAAATCCAGCATGACCGTCGGAATCAGCATCATAAAAGTCTCCAGAAGCCTCTTCGTAGTAACCAGAGTTGAAGGGATTCTCACGATATTCCAGATTTTCCAATTTGATAACTTTCTGAAATTCTGGCTTCGATTTGGCTTCAGTTTTAGATTCTGGCTTCGGTTTAGCTTCATTTTTAGATTCTGACTTCAATTTAGCTTCATTTTTAGTTCCTCTGACTTCTAGCTTCACATTTACTTCTGGCTTTCTTCTACCTTCATTTTCTGAATTTTTGGCTTCAGAAGCACGGCTAGCTTCAACCTTTGGCTTCTTGGTAGCTCCATAGACTAAAATTTGAAAATTAGAATCATGAATAACTTGTCTCAACTTACCTTTACTTCCAAAACTGAGCCTCAAATCACAATCATCTGATTTCTGAGCTTCGGTCTTCTCTGTAGCCTTCTTCAGACCTTCGACTTTGGCTTCATTTCTCGATTCTGCTCGTTTCTGTGCTTCAGGTCTTGACGTCGCGACTTCTGGCTGACTTCCAGATCCATTATTTCGTCCAAAACCACTTGGACCTGGTCGGTCTTCATCATCCCGGATTCTGACGTCATCATTAGGTATTCCACGATTTTCCAGTTTTCCCGAAGCTGGCTTTTTATGTCTTTGATAATCAAATGGCCATTCATAATCAGTTTCTCGGTTTACAGTAGATGTTCTAGCTTCACGAACTCCTTTGAATCCACCAGTAGCCAGTTTTTTAGCCGAAGGTGACGTTTTATGCTTCTTGCAGTCGATTGGACATCCGAATACGCATTTTTCATCTTTTCTTAAACCATCGTTAGCTGCTCTACGAGATGGATCAGTTCCGAAGCCACCTCTGGCTCCACCAAAGCTACCTCTAGCTCCACCATAACCACCTCTGAATCCACCACAGTCAAATCTTGTGTCTCTGTCTCCAAATCCGCCTTGGCCAAATCCAGATTCAGTTCTTCTTGCTTCAGAAGCCGTTATACCTCCACGGCCAAATCCAGATGCACTTCTAGAGCCACTAGGTCTTTCGACAACGGTCCCAAAGCCTCCGCCAGAGAATCCTTCTCCGCCAAACCCAGATTCATTTGTTCTTGCTTCAGAAGCCGTTATACCTTCAAATCGACTTCTTCGGCCTCTAAGTCCTTCATCAACGGTACCAAAGCCTCCGCCAGAGGATCCTCCTCGGCCAAATCCACCTCTAGATCCTCCAAATCTTCCTTCGTTAACAGCACCAAAGCCTCTGTCAAGAGATCCTCCTCGGCCAAATCCAGATTCAGTTCTTCTTGCTTCAGAAGCCGTTATACCTCCACGGCCAAATCCACCTCTAGATCCTCCAAATCCACCTCCGTTAGCACCAAAGCCTCCGCCGGAGAATCCTCCTCTGCCATATCCAGATCCACCTCTAGAGCCTCTAAGTCCTTCGTTGTCAGCACCAAAGCCTCCGCCCAAGAATCCTCCTCGACCGCCAAAAAAGCCTTCAAGTCTTTCGGTAGATTCGCGGCCAAAACCTCCTAATCCTCCGCTTACATTAAGCTCATCTCTCTTGCCTGAATTAGATCCAAAACCTCCGCCGATAAAACCTCCTCGACTGCCTCCAAAGCCTGAGTCATCGGCCTCATTCCTATTTCTATCGGTTTTTAAATCTTTAATCCTCGTAGGGTTTGCTCCAAAGCCATCGTAATCAAATCCGAAGCCGCCTCGACCGCGGGCAAATCCTCCACGGCTATACGTCCTTTTAGGAGGGCTAGATCCAAATCCACCTCTTCCAGTGGCTTCATATCCAAATCCACCTCTTCTAGTGGGTTCATATCCAAATCCACCTCTTCTAGTGGGTTCAGGTCGAAATCCATCTCTTCTACCGGCTTCAGATCCAAATCCATCATTTATAGCTGGCTTATATCCAAATTCATCACTTCTAGACGGTTTATATCCAAGTCCATAATGTTCATCTTCAGAGCAAGAATTAAATGGATCGTCTGTTCTTGATCTTCGTGTAGATCCTGGTTTTTTGTCTGTGCTCTGACCTGCTTCTGCTTTTTTGACGGTGTTTTGACTGGCTTCTGGTCTTCCAAATGCAGCACGGTCAGCTTCAGATCTTCTCACAGCACTTCGCGTAGCTTCTGGCCTTCTGAATCCGCCGTAATCATCAGCAAACTCATCATTTCTTCTTTTACTACTACCCGGCGGATAATACTGATATAATACAGGACCTTCATTACGAATATCGACACGTAAGAAATGTCCTCCATCAACGCAGTCTATGATAAGAGCATGTCGTCTACCAGACTCAATTTCACTTATAGAAGCAAAATATTCATACAAAGAGCTGCCTCCAAACGCTTTCTCGTAAAATTGAAAATATCCACCATTGACAGAATAACGGCGTCCAGAAGTCGATGTAAGATGAGCTTCTTGATCACGACGGCCTTCTGATCTCCTGTTCTGTGAAGTTCCGCCAAAAGAATTGAATTCTGAAGTCCCCTCATCTTCGTTCTCTTTTTTAGGCTTTTTGTTCGGTTTATCATTCATAATTTGTTAGTTGTTACCTAAAATAATATTGATATTAAAAGGGTTAACAAGAAATGTCTAAAACACGACAAAATCAATAAAAAGACAAAGAAAAACAGTCCGAAACGAAGTAAAATTAATTAAAACAATCAAAGAAGTATCTAAAAAACAAAAAGCTCGAAAGTTAACATCACAAGCTATCTAAAACAATATAAAATCGATTAAAAGACAAAGAGTATATTAGAACAAAATCAAATCTATAAAATAAACTAAAACTGCCAAAACTAAACCAATATTAACCAAAACCAAGTCGAATCAATCGTAAACAAAACCTCGCTTTAGTCTTTAAGATCGAAAAAAGCCAATATTATCTATGTGCATAATCACGAGAAATACAAAAAAACCTTGCGAAGTGATAAATATCTTCAAAAAATTAATATTCACAAAGAAATTCCATTAAAATCGCATGAAAAACTAGTAAAGGCAACAATAAACAACATTGTTTCAACATTTCTCCGCCCCGAAAAAGATTTTTGCGAAAAAAGACATATTATACGATGAAAAAAATTGTGATGAAATTACAGTGGAACTCCTGTATAACGAATCGCTCGAGGACTTGAAATTTGTTCGTTATAAAGGAGTTTCGTTATACAGGAGTTTTAAATGCACTGTGTAGTGGTAGACGGGGATTCAAAAATTGTTCGTTATACGGGAGTTTGGTTATAGAGGAGTTCGTTATACAGGAGTTCCACTGTATGCGTGAGAAATAGGGGTGAGAAACGGAACAAGCCAGGCCCACTTTTGTGGTCGGGTCTACTTTGAGGCCGGGCCCACTTTTTAGGCCGGGCCCACTTTTGAGGCCGTGCCCACTTTTGAGGTCGGGCCCACTTTTGAGGCCGGACCCACTTTTGAGGCCGGACCCACTTTTGAGGCCGGACCCACTTTTCAGGCCGAGCCCACTTTTGAAACCGGGCCCATTTAGCTTAAGCCCGGCACGCTTTTCACCCTTAGCGAGAAAGGGCCACCTCAGTTATGAGCCGGGCGCCACTTTTGGGGCACATGCCCAGGGCCCAACGTTTAGGCCCGGTCCATCTTCATTTTTTTTTCAGGCTGGACCAGCCTGGCCAAAAAAATTGTAGGCCCGGCTCTCGGGCTGTGGGCTAGGGCTCTGGGGCTAGGGCTCTGGGGCTAGGGCTCTGGGGCTAGGGCTCTGGGGCTAGGGCTCTGGGGCTAGGGCTCTGGGGCTAGGGCTCTGAGACTAGGGTTCTGGGGTTAGGGCTATGGGCTAGGGCTCTGGGTTATTGATTATAACATTTTTTACTTTATAAAAAAATTGTTTTCTAATGAAGATTCCAACCGTATTATGTACAATTATTTATTTACAGTTCGATATAAACTGATTATACTACACAGTAATATAATATTATATTATAGATATGACATACAATAAGTTATATAAATAACAAAAAATATTATTTTTGAGTTCAGCGCGGTGTGGATTATTAAAAAGTGACGGGGTTATCATGACAATGTACAACTTTGTATTAAAATTGGATCATTTTGAAAGAATTTGACAGAAATTGATATTAATATTGACAATGCCTTAGCATTGCGCTGTGCTGATGTTTCAGAACAATACCATTTTTAAATACAAGGGAATAAGATTAATACTGTTTTTTATCATAGATAACATATATACATGAATATATACAATAAGATATGACGAATAGAGCTTTTAGTGACTTTTTTTTGGTTAAAAACTGAATTTTGAGCTTTTTTTTTTAATTTTAAAGCGGATTTTTAGACGTTTGGTGATAAATATAACAATAGGTGAATATAGACAACATTTTGAATATGTACAATGTAAGACAATCTAAAATAACATAAAATAAATATTTACAGTACTAACCAATACAACAAGGTAAAACAAGTTACTGGTCCTTTCGCATAATCTCCAGTTGATCATTGAGCCATTTTCTGTAGTCCTCTTTGGTCGAAAAGCTTTGTTGTGGTACAGAAACCTGTTCTTCTTCTACATTACCAGTCGATTTGGCTTCCGAAGTCGATTTGGCATCAGAAGACGATTTGGCTTCAGAAGTCGATTTACCTTCAGAAGTCAATTTCTTATCACTCTTGCCATCAGAAGGACCAACATTAACCAAGACACCTTCAAATTCATCGTCTTCGTCAAATGATTGCTCTTCTTCTTGACCACGTTGACCATCATTAACAACTGGTTGAGCTTCTTCTTGATCTTCAATTCTGTTGTTCTGGTCCATTGGTTCCTCTTCTTGAACATTGTGATCATCTACGATGATAACTTCAAAGTCTTCGGCTGGGCAGAAAGTGACGTTTTGGCTGCATTTGGCTGGGGATTTTTGGGCTGGAGAAACTTCTGAAGAAAATTATGGTTAGTAATTTAAAATTGAACATGAATTTTAAAATTGAAAAAAGTAGATTGTTAGTAGAATAATGTTATTGCTGAATTGCTAATACTAGGACCCAGACTAGACGCTAAATGCTAATAAGACTACAACTGAAGTAAAGTAGAAGTTATAAAGACTGGAGCTAGAGCTTTAAAACTAAGGCAAAGGTTAAGGCAAAACGTTTAGACTTAGGCTCAGGCTAAAGCTCAGGCTAAAACTCAGGCTAAAGATAAGGCTAAAGCTAAGGCTAGGTTAAGGCTAAGGCTAAAGACTAAGGCTAAAGCTAAGGCTAAGGCCAAGGCTAAATCCGTAGTCAGTTCTAACACAAAGGCTCAAACTGACTAGTACTAGGCTGGTTTTTTCTTAAAATTTCAAAATCAAAACAAAATGTCTTAGTCTTACCTTCTTGTTTACCTTGTTCAGCAACATGGTATAACTCCTGTTGAACATTCTCGAGCTTCTTTGCCAACTTCTCCATCTTCAAAAACAAATTCTTCAAGGCTTCTTTCTTGCCGACTCCAACTTTCTGCTTCTTCTGAAGCTTATCCTTCACGCCATGTAGCATGCCTTCTGGCTTTTCACCAGCAGTTTTAGCTAACTGGCGTTTTAGGTACTGCTTTAGCAATTTCTTGTTGCATTTACCATCTTTTGAAGGCAGTAATGAGGAATCTTGTAGACCAAAGTATGGACACGGTGGTACATGAACTTCTTGAAGGCGACGTTGTGGTGAAGATTCTGAAGCCCTTCTGCCATGATGACCATGTTTAAAGGGTGATTCTGAAGCTCCTTTACCGTATTGACCGTCCTTAGATGGAGATTCTGTAGCACCTTGACCGTGTTGATCGTTCTTAGATAGAGATTCTGAAGCTCTTCTCTTGAACGATGACTCAGTGCTTGATACTTGAGGTTGAATAGTAAGGCCGGGTCCAGTATTAGCTACAAAAAGTGACGGTACGCCAAATTTACTGTGATAGCTTTCCAACATGTTCGACATTGCAATACCGTGGTGTCTTCCAGGTCCGCCGTGATGACCTCCATGACCACCGTGAGGGCCTCCAAGACCACTGTGAGGGCCTCCAAGACCACCTTGAGGGCCTCCAAGACCACCGTGAGGGCCTCCAAGACCACTGTGAGGGCCTCCAAGACCACCTTGAGGGCCTCCAAGACCACCGTGAGGGCCTCCAAGACCACCGTGAAGCCCTCCAAATCTACCGTGATGTCTTCCAAGCATACCATGATGAGCTCCATCTCCACCATGATGTCTTCCAAGTTTACCGTGACCTTCTTTCAACTTTTTCAATTCTTGGTGCATTTCTGAATCAGCTTGTTTATCTTCACCGTGATGAGCTTTTGATTTCTTCATTTCACGGTGAAGGTCCTCTAACATCTTCTTTTTACTGCAGAGGAGTCTAAATCCATCGTAATTGTCTTCGAAGACGGTCTGATAACCTCCAAGTCCACCGTGATGTTTTCCAAGAAAGTACTGTGGTCGTGCTCCAATACCACAGTGGGGAGCTCCAAGACCACCGTGACGTGCTCCAAGACCACCGTGATGACCTCCAATTTTACCATGGCCACTTCTGGATCCGCTACGGCTTCTGTGGCCTCCAATTGCACTGTGAGGTCTTCCTAGTCCGCCGTGATGGGCTCCAACTCCACCGTCATGACCTCCAGGTCCACCGTGAAGACCTCCAGGTCCACCGTGACGATCTCCAGGTCCACCGTGAAGACCTCCAGGTCCACCGTGATGGGCTCCAAGTCCACCATGATGATGTCCAAGTCCACCGTGATGTCGACCCAGTCTGCTGTGACGTCCTCCAATCTCTTTCTTAGATCCAATGCGGCTTCGGCGACCATCTTCTGACTTACAGGGGACACATAAGTCAACAACATTTGCTCCTGAGCATGGTTCATCGCCCTGACTTTCATTTTTGAGCATTTTTAGAAACTTATGGTGCTTCCTGGAACGTCGATCACAGTCATTTTTTGGAGATTTTTCTTTATGTTTTAGTTCGTCTCCAAGAATCAGCACTTCGTCGTCAGTGTCAATGATAACATCATCGTTGTCGAATTTCTTGATATATATACAATTTTCTGTCATTTTTGAGTATTTGTTACCTAAAATAATGAAAAGGTTAGTTGGAAGGTTAAGAAATTAACGCGAAAATATAAAACACGACAAAAATGTTCCAAAAATGAGTATAAAATTTATGTTAAGGTAAGGTAAGGTAGAGTAAAATAAAGTAAGTTTGGAAAAAATAGGGTAAGGTAAGCTACTGTAGAACAGGCTACTATAATGTAGACTACTATAAGGTAGAGCAAAGTAAGGTAGGGTAGGGTAATGTACTATAAGATAGGCTACTACAAGGTAAGTTAGGGTAGGGTAAAGTAAGCTACTGTAGAACAGGCTACTATAATGTATGTTACTATAAGGTAAGGCAGAGTAAGGTAAGACAAGCTACTAAAAGTTAGGCTACGATGGATATAAGGTAGGGTAGGGTAGGGCAGGGTAGGGTAGGGTAGGGTAGGGTAGGGTAGGGTAGGGTAGGATAGGGTAGGGTAGGGTAGGGTAGGGTAGGGTAGGGTAGGGTAGGGTAGGGTAGGGTAGGGGTAGGGTAGGGTAGGGTAGGGTAGGGTAGGGTAGGGTAGGGTAGGGTAGGGTAGGGTAGGGTAGGGTAGGGTAGGGTAGGGTAGGGTAGGGTAGGGTAGGGTAGGGTAGAGTAGAGTAGGGTAGGGTAGGGTAGGGTAGGGTAGGGTAGGGTAGGGTAGGGTAGGGTAGGGTAGGGTATATTGGATAAGAATGCCTAATCAATGCATAAAAACTATTCAAAAATATGCAGAGTAGGGTCGGGTAGGGTAGAGCAAAAAAATCAAATAAAATTGTAAAAAAACACGTAAAAGTAACGAAATCACAGGTTAATTAGACCAAAACCACTGCGTTTGCTCCCAAAAGAACACTGAATAAATAGTGTTGAGTCTGCCCTTTTTGTCACGAAACGAGGAACACTTTTATTCACACTACAAACTATTAATATTCACGTTGAAAACAATTTCGAAATGTTGAAATAATGACCAAAGAACGTTCCTATTGTGAAAGAACGGTGAACAATACAAAAAGTGCAATCCTTTATGTAAATAGAGCAGTTAATAAAATTTCAAATATTAATGATCGTTTTACAAAATTTAAAATTTTTCGAAATTTAAAATTTTTCGAAATTTAAAAAAATTAAAATATTTTTAAAAATATTCACTTTGATACAAAATAATTTTAAAAAAAACATTTTTAAATTATCACCCCCTTTTTTCAAAAAAAAACAAAAACTTACCCCAGCCGTAAGCAAAAATACTCCTAATTGTCAAAACAAAACAGTCCAAATGACCTGGTCAAAGATGGCAGTGAAGATAGGGTTGAAGATGGCAGTGATAGCAGTCCAAGGCAGTCCAAACGGTGTCGAAACAATGTTGAAACCATTGTGAAATCGGCCTATTTATACCCCAATTCTGAAGGCGGGGCTTGTTTTTTTAGGGCGGAGCCAACATAAAACTAGGGCCGGCCCTTAGCTTCAGGGGCCGGCCTATACCTTCAAGGGCCGGCCCCCTAAACAACTGGGCTGTCCCCACTTTTTTTAGGGCCGCCCCACTCTAAAATGTCTAAAAATAACTAAGCCCCGCCTTATTTTTCAGGTTCGAACCTTCTTTTTTCGAATTTGATACGCCAAAGGTCCATAGTTTGCAGAAGCCACGCCCAGAATAATACTTTTTGTTGCATTTCAAACCCGCCCACCAGTTTCGAAATTTTGAAGGCTCCGCCCACAAATCGATCGAGAGCAAGGATGACTCATTCTTCTCGAAAAATCTTCTGGAGGAAGGTTGTTGTTAGTTTCTGCTGGCAAAGTGTGTTGTTTTAAAGAAATATAGTCATTAATTTTAGCTACGTTAACATTAATTTTTTAAACATGAGTTATTACTTCCTGTGTTCACGAAACTTGACGTTGCAACTTTATGTATTACTATTATGAGTAATATGTTTATTACCAACTTGATGAAAAAAATTAGTTAATTGTTACCTAAAACGCAAAAACTTTGTTTACAAGGCAAAAAATGGCAAGAACTTTCTTTACAAAACAAAAAATGGCAAGAACTTTTCTTTACAAAACAAAAAATGACAAGAACTTTCTTTACAAAATAAAAATGGTAAAAACTTTCTTTACAAATAAAAAAATGGCAAAAGTTTTAGTTAGAATACACAAAATGGCAAGAACTTTCTTTACAAAACAAAAAATGACAAGAACTTTCTTTACAAAATAAAAATGGTAAAAACTTTCTTCACAAGAGATAAAATGGCAAGAACTTTCTTTAAAAAAAATAGTAAGAATTTTCTTTGCGCGATTTGGTACTATGCTAAAGCTCGTTATAAGCTTGAAACACAATGCCAAGTTGGCGGGAAATCCAAAATGTCATTTTTTAATCTCGATTTTTTCGAAATTTCCTGGAAAGCGCAATTTAGTACTTTGCTTAAGATCTTATGTTTACATGATCTTTCTATATAAAAAGTTTAATATCAATCAGAGCGAGGCAGGTGGGTATTTTCCTTGTATAATAATTTAATAAATTTTTTTTCAAAACTTTGCAACAGACTTTTACCGTTTTTTAAAAGTTACAGAAGTTATAATGTAACCATAATCATTTTTTACTAGGGCTAGAGTTAGGGCTACCATATGGCCCTATCTCTGCCTCTTGCCATCTTTATTATACCACAATATTGTTAACGACTCTACCGTATGCAATTAGTATCCGTAAAACGTCCATAAATCAAATGACAAAGCCGCAACTTTCAAAGAAAGGCACGTCTCTTGTGATTGGCACCGGCATGAGAACACCAGCTGTGCGTGAAATCCAGGAGACATAAGGCTTATATGTATGGATAAGGCGGGAAAATTAATATAAATTTGGCTTAATTTATAGTAAAACTAGGATTACGGTGAGTAAAACGGAATTTGTGGTTAAAGCAAACATGGGTTACGGTAGAATAAAGCAAGATTAGGCCATAGTACGACTTCAATTGACTGGGCTAGGGCTAGGGTTTAGGCTAGTGCTACTAGCTTTTCAAACCTTACCATTATACAGATATATAAATACATTTCAATATTTTATTATGACCTGTATAAATGACGACAAATTAGACATAGACAACAACGCTTTACAACGACTTCAACTTTTAAAAATTTCCACGTAACATTTCAAGCCTTCTGTATGTGCTGTTCACCTTGTACAACACCTCCCGTAAAGTGGAGGTACGACGCAGTTTGGGTATTGTATGCCGATTGGAAAAAGATGTATTTTTCGTTGATAAATACGTCGTATTGCCCGTAGCCACGATTTCGTATTACGAGCGCGTTGTGGTAATGTTCGTTTAACCTTATATCCGTTGTCGTATGCTGACAGGCTTGATAAGCGCCCGAGCCAGTGGCCCAACATACCCAAAAGTTGGCGTACCAGTCTGGTGCATATATGATAACTAAAGACCGGTACTGATTCCCAGCGTCCAAAGCCAAAGAAATAGTGAAGTAATTATTGTACACAACAAAGCATTGACTGATGATATCACCTAAAAGTATTATTGTAATCTCCGCTATTTTTCCATACCCTACTTTATCATAGTATACCCTAACCAACTCGACCCTACCCTAGTGTAACTTACCCTACCCTACATTACCTCAGCCTACCCTACTACATGCTCTGTTCTACTCTACTCTACCCTACCTTCACCTACCAGCATTAAATGGGCCAATATACTGGGACAAGCACAACTTTACTAAAAACAATAGTACTACCGTATTCTTTAGCATTTTGCTTCACGGTCAGCCACCGTGAGCAACAAAAACTAAAGTAATCGAAATATGAAAATTTTTTGTTTAAAAAATATTTAATTTTAAAATCAATTAAACTTTTTCATTAAAACCAATACCAGAAGGCTTTAATAAATATATTCAAATATTAATGTAGATCATTAAGATTTTAATTAAAATTGAAAAACAGTAATATTGTATTAATTTTTATAGCCTTTAAAACAAGGTTCGCCCAAGAATCAGACATAGGCGATGAAAAATTTCAAACTATTTGAAAACCGCTCATTTTTTTGACAAGAGGTAGCACTTGGTTATAGAAATGCAAAAATATAAAAAAAATTTAATAATTTGGGTTACGGTAGGATTACGGTAGGTTTTAAGATTTTTTTGTAACTGTTGTACTAAATGTCAGAATGGAATGGGACTTTTTTTAAATTGTTTGTCACTATAAGACAATCATTTTATCTGTTGACAACTTTTTTTTATTATGCCCGGAAGGCATTGAAAAAAATTAAAGTTTTAAAAAAACCATTAAAATTTTGAAAAATTTGAAATTTCTCGAAAAAAAGTCACTATGTAACAAACTTTTGACAACAGATAATGAAACTACATGCTCTTACAGTTCTAATGACACCGCGCATGGGTCATCTTAGCGGGGCCTGCGGTAGCTACGAATTTTCAAAGTTGACACCCTAAGGTCAATTAGCACAGAATTTGACTGTAATATGGTTACAAATGGTTAAAAAAGGTGTTTGACACATTTTGAGCGTTTCATAAGTCTTTAAAAACAATTTCCTTTGTAATGCCTCGGGGAATTTGTAATTTAAAAAAATTAATTTTTTTTAAATTTAAATTTTAAAAAATTTTTAAAGCTCGGAAATTAAAAGAATATGACTTGGCTTTTAATAAATGATCTATACAAAGACGTCGCTACGGATTTTCTCTAGGGAAAGAAAGGTTGAAAAAATTTTTTTTCGTCCACAGGTCCCCCCCCCCCCTGTGGCCCGATTTTTCAAAAAAAATTTTTTTTCTTGTTTTTTTGCGTAAAAATCTTGTATAGGTCACTTACCAAAAGCCAAGGCATTTATTTTAATTTCCAAGCTTTAAAAATTTTTTAAAATTAAAAGTTAAAAAAAAATTTTTTTTTTCAAATTACAAATTCCCTGATGCAATACACAGGAAATTGTTTGTAAACACTTATAAAACTTGCAATATGTGCTCTACACCTTTTTTAACCATTTGTAACCATATTACAGTCAAATTCTGTTCTAAATGACCTTAGGGTGTCAACTTTGAAAATTCGTAGCTACCGCAGGCCCCGCTAAGATGACCCATGCGTGGTGTCATTAGAACCGTAAGAGCATGTAGCTTCATTATCTGTTGTCAAAAGTTTGTTACATCGTGGTTTTTTTTCGAGAAATTCTAAATTTTTCAAAATTTTGATGGTTTTTTTGAAAACTTTAATTTTTTTCAATGCCTTCCGGGCATAATAAAAAAAGTTGTCAACAGATAAAATGATTGTCTTATAGTGACAAACAATTTAAAAAAGTCCCATTCCATTCTGACATTTAGTACAACAGTTAAAAAAAAATCTTAAAACCTACCGTAATCCTACCGTAACCCAAATTATTAAAATTTTTTTTATATTTTTGCATTTCTATAACCAAGTGCTACCTCTTATCAAAAAATGAGCGGTTTTCAAATAGTTTGAAATTTTTCATCGCCCCTGTCTGACCAATGTTCGATTCTTACGCGGACATTGTTTTAACATATCAAAAGGTAATAAGTTCAAATAACTGATACAAAACTAAAAATCAAAGAGCATTAGCGAGGTTTTTGTTAGGAATACCAACGATTTCATCCAGCATCTCCAACATGGCTTGCTTCGACTTTCGATCCGCCCTCTCGTCATAAGCAACACTTTTTGGAGCCGACGGATTCGAAGCCATCGTGAAGCCATGTGGAGCCTTCGAATACCGTACAAATGTAAAATTAGCATCCCGTGCTCTCAATTCCTCCAAAAACGTTGGAACAGTGGGGTTAACGTGATCGTCCGCGTCACCGTGACAAATCAGAAGTTCAGTTGTGATTTTGGAAAGTTTAGAGAAGTCTTGACCTTCTGCTGTTGGCTTGAATCCACCGTGGAAACTGACTCCAAGTTTAATGTCAACATTATGACGTGCTAGGTCAATGGTACATGTACCGCCAAAACAAAAGCCAATTGAACAGATCTGAAGGTAAAATGAAAAATGTGCAACCTTAAGGTATTTTTAAGCTTAATTACATCTGTATGCTTAAAAATAATTTTAGGCTTAAGGTGTGACCTGTATGCTTTAAAACTTACCTTATCAGTATCCACATTCTGGACATTTTTCAAATAATCATAAGCAGCCACTATCCTTGGCTTCAGCTTTTCCTCCCGAGCGTTCATAAATGACATTAACAATCCAAAAGCTTCTTCTCTCACCGTCGGTCGAATTCCCTTACCATAAGGATCCGCAACGAAGGTTATGAAGCCTAACTAAAAAATTTTAAAATTTAAAAAAAAATTCAAATTACAAAATTTTTTTTTTAATTTTCGAAAAAATGAAAATTAAATATAAAATAACATTGATCTTACCTCTGCCAGCTCTTTGGCCACACTTTTCTCATGATCAGATGGTCCCCACAAAGCTGGATAGACTAATATAGCTGGTGCTTTTGAAGCCAACCTAAAAATGAGAAGAATAACACAAATTATGTTTACAAAATACAAAATGGCAAGAACTTTCTTTAAAAAGCAAAAAATAACAAGAACTTTCTTTACAAAATAAAAATGGTAAAAACTTTCTTTACAAATAAAAAAATGGCAAGAACTTTCTTTACAAAACAAAAAATATTAAGAACTTTCTTTACACAATAAAATATGGCAAGAACTTTATTTACAAAACAAAAAATGGTAAAAACTTTCTTTACGAATCTAAAAATAGCAAGAACTTTCTTTACAAAATAAAAAATGGTAAAAACTTTCTTTACAAATCTAAAAATAGCAAGAACTTTCTTTACAAATCTAAAAATAACAAGAACTTTCTTTACAAAACAAAAGAACAATTTTTAAATCTATTTTAAGCCCCAAAACCTTACGTTTCCGGCTGGTACAAATACCCTTCCAATACAGCATTGCCATCCTTGTACTCTACAGTATCATGTTTCACAACCATAGTAAAATACTGCAAACTCACAGTTTATTTTACCTTGAAAACAGGTGAAATTGAAAATGTTATACTAAAAATGAAATGTTTAATAAAGTTGTTTACGCAAAAAGAGAGGAAAGAGCATTTTCCTTTGCTTTTGTGTTATCTTTTACAAAAAGTGAGAGTAAAAAAAGGTTTCTAGAGGGTTTGATTTGACAAAAGTAAGTTTATTTACATGAGTTTTAGTAGAAGTTATGTACAATATGATAATTGACTGATGAAGGATCCAGTATAATATAATATTTAAGTAAAAATCGTAAAGTATTATGAATGAACAATTGACAAACTTATCACAACAATAAATACATTCTGTTTAAATAGTATACAAGGGTCTCTCTATATAATGAGCCATCTGTAAAAGCGACTCTCCTTATAGTAAAAATTAGCAGCAAATAAAAGATCTCTTGGCTGGCGGAGCTGGCTTACGCTTGTTACGTCTGAAATTAAAAAAATTTCATTTTTTTTTAATTTTCAATTTTACAAAACTAAATAAATAAAACGTTTAAACCCCTATGTAACTATACTTCTAAGAAACTTAAAACTCTAGGCTTTGCACGGTGCAATCACTCAAGAAAAAATATAGTAAAAAAAATTAAAAATCCTCCACCTTTAATTAACATAGCGTACTTTACACTACTTTACCCTTTCTCGCCTTACTACATTTTACCTTGCACTATTCTGCCCTACCCTGCACTGATCCTACCCGACTCTATAAAACCTCCTTTTATACAGGGTGCGCCACAAGTTCTGCTACACGGTTTTTTAATCAAATATTTAACAGCACTTGCCGCACCCTGTATATAACATTGACTTCCAAAACGTTTTAAAAGTGCATTTTAATCAACAAAACGTGAAAAAATATAAAATTTGTGACAACTTCTACAAAATGTCACATATCGTACAAAAAAGTGATATTTTACACGATAAAAAATTACTTTTTGTTAGGAATGCCGACAACTTCGTCGAGTAAGTTCAACATGGCTTGTTTCGACTGCTTATCAGCTCTCTGATTGTAGGCTACATGACCTGGTGCTCCAGGTTCGGCCGTCATCGTGAAGCCATGTGGAGCCTTTGAGTAGCGTACGAATGTGAAGTTGGCATCTCGTGCCCTCAATTCATCCAAAAAGGTGGGCACGGTGGGGTTAACGTGATCATCCGCATCACCGTGACAAATCAGAAGTTCAGTTGTGATTTTTGAGAGTTTGCTGAAGTCTTGACCTTCTTTTGTTGGTGAAAATGCTCCATGAAAACTGACACCAAGCTTAATGTCAACGTTGTGACGAGCCAAGTCTATGGTACAAGTACCGCCAAAACAGTAGCCAATGGAGCAGATCTGCATATTGAGTATGACTTATAATTTTAAAAGCATTTTTAGGCTTTCAAATTAACTTTTAGGCTTAAACCTTATGATTTTAAGCTTTAAAGCGTTTTAGGCCCAATATATGATCATTGGGCTTGACTTTATAACTACATTTTTAAAATAAATTTTTAGGCTTAACATAATACCTACCTTGGAAGTATCCACATTTTTGACTTGCTTCAAGTAATTGTAAGCAGCAATAATTCTTGGCTTCAGAAGATCTTCGCGGCTTCCAAAAAATTGTGACACGATTTTAAAGGCTTCTTCACGGCTTTTAGGCCGAACGCCTTTGCCATAAGGATCAGCTACTAGAGCTACAAAGCCAAGCTCAGCCAATTCTTTAGCTACACTCTTTTCGTGCTCGCTAGGACCCCAGAAAGCGGGGTATACCAAAATACCTGGAGCTTTGGTGTTTCTATAAAATAGATCGTCATAAATCAGTCTTCCATTGTAAACATCTTGTGGGAAGTGATCCCAACAATTTTGCTGCTAATAAATTTTGTTACAGTAATCTAATAGTAGTCGATATTAAAACTAAAAGCTTATTTAAGCACACATCTTGACAAAGCAAAAAATGACGAAACTTTTCTTTACAACCATAAAGAAGAGCTATACGGCTAATATTTTCAAGATTTTTAAAAATACTGCCCCAGTACTATGTCAAAAACTCACGCTTTAGGCTGGTACAGAATCCCTTCCAGCATCAAATCTCCGTCTTTATATTCAACAAGGCTTTCCGTTACCATGGTAGGTTGTAAAATGAAGAAAAGGTAGGATTCGAAATTCGAATCGAAGAAACCAAACAAGTGCTAATTTTCAAAACACCTAAGACAACATTTTTTGTCTTTTAAATATGCGTTTGGAGGAAAAGTTTGTACGAAACTGACCAGAAACTACAAAACCGGCGGCAAATGCGGCTTTGAATCCATGGGAATTGCAGTTTGGAGTTTGTATTTTAATTGTGCTCACACTTAAAATATCAAACAGCTTTTTGTTTCTTTGCTTTTTAGATAGATAAAATAATTAGGAGCGGTTTTGAGAAGAAAGTCACACAAAAAACACAAACCATCGTATTGTACGTTTTTCCTATGTTAAACTGTTAAAATCTAATTGTAAAAAAACAAAAAGAGTTATTTTAAAACACATGTATTTTAAAAATCACTACGTAAAACACAAAAAGAACTAAAACTAATACAATAAAAAACAAAAAAGGCTGAAAAACAGCCCACTAAAGAAAAAACCAGTTTAACAAAATCGTAAAACACCCCTGAAATATTTAAAACAAATCCAAAAAACCTTAAAAACAGCTAAAAAAACAACAAACAATATTTAAAAACCCCAAAAAGTGACTCGACCACGGCAGGATTCGAACCTACAATCTTCGGTTCCGTAGACCGACGCGTTATCCATTGCGCCACGCGGCCACACTTCCCAGTTCCCTTCGTTTTCTTTTTGTTTTCGAAGGGACAAAGAGAAACGTGAACAGAAGTGTGACAGAGGACGAATTTCACGAAAAATATCATTTTAAAAGGCTTTAATTGTAAAAAAGTTGTAAATATTAAAAAACGGTATTTTTAAATCAGGAATTTATAAATTGCTTATCTAAAAATTGTTTTGATAGAAAAAATGTGAAACTTAACCAATTTAAATCATGTATATTTTTGAATGTAAAAATAAAAATCTTTTTGAATTTTGTGTTAATTCATGTACTTTTTAGTTTTAATTTTAATAAAGCTTCAGAAAAACAATCCAGATACCCAAATCTTCGACAATGGTCAAGATCTCGGAACATGAACCGGATTCCAAAGCGATCTATGTTTGTACAAGTCTCAAGATGCGCGTTTTTTTTTTGAATTTACTGGAACATAAACAACAACGTAACTAAATCCTCAACATCCTTTTTTGATACTTCTTTACTTGGCAGCGTTACGTCAGTTTTGAGTTGTTATAATTGATATTTACTTGATAGTTATTGTTATTTATATCTTTTACCCGTTTTGTAAATTACTTTTAAAAATTTCTTAAAAGCTTTATTTTATAACAATGCTCTGATTGATACCCAATTTTCCACAAACAATATTAATTTTGCCATTTTTCTCGCAAAAGCAATATTACACTTGGCCTATCTTAACTTTTCGCTTCTGTCGACAAAAAACTTAAGTTTAATCCAAACCTTTTAGAATTTAAAACCTTGCCAAGACCAATATCTACAACATACGAAGAAATCGTGTCCATACCTAGCTAATTTCTAAACTTGTAACTAAATTAAATCATCTTACCCATAGGTCATGACTCGATCTTGAAAAATCATATTTTCTATATAATAATGGTAAAATCTGCTCATGTCCTGTTTACATGAACTTAATAACATCCAGTAAAACAAACTTAACTTATTATCCTCCCTATTTATTCCTGTTTTCCTTCATTATACCTCAAACTTATGCTTGTTTCCCGTTTGGCGACCGGAATCTCATGGCTGATTTGGTTGGAGCACCGGATTTAAGAAGTAAGTGATGTTCTAGCTTGTTGTGGACATTAAATTCACTTTAAGCTTTAACTGTTTTTAATTGTTTGTCTCAAATAAATAAAACACCAAGTTTGTTGCCTAAAACACGCAAAAACTTTCAAAGAACTTACAGAAAACAAATTTACTTTTTTCAGAATCTCTTGGTGGCGACATTGAAATTGACTTTGGATTGTCCATTCCATTGCTAAAGTATTGTAAGTTCCCTCTTCTCTTTTCTTTATGTTGCCAGCGGCGGCCTAAAACTGGTAAAATTATATAACTACAAAAACACGATTTAAAATTAAGTCAGTGAAAATTATAGTTGTTACCTAAAAACGTATCGCAAAACACCTTTGATGTGAGACAATTTTCAACCGCTGAAAACCGATCGAAATCCAAAAAATCAAGATTTTTTTCATAAAAAACCAAAGTAAATCGATCCTTTTGAAAGCTCATAGCAACAAGCAAAACAAATTTGTCAAAAACCTTTTCAAGATCAAGCCAAAAATTCGCAAAATCCATTCCAAAGCTCGAAGGCCAAAAATATTTTCACGAAAATCCAAAGTTATTATCCCCGATCTGCCAACCAGATCCGCAGCCCGCACAAGAACAAAACCCGCCAAAAATCCCTTTCCAAGTTTTCATTGCACCGTGCAGTCGTTTTTTGGCTCTCTAAATTTGTCGATTTTCTTCCTTTCGATTTTCTTCAAAAATCGAGCAAATCGAGCGGGCCCGAAAAGGCCTTTTCGGCCAAAATTGGCTTGCACAGTGCAATCATAATGGGGGAGCAAGAGAGCGCGAGATTTGTGGAGAGTGGGCGGAGAAAAGGAGTGGTCGCGGAAATAGGTTGCGCAACTGCGGGAAAAACAAGAGGCAGACTTGCGACAAGTAGAGAGCACTGCGATTTGAGAGTTGCCAGAGAAGGTTAGAGAAAAACAAAAATGGCCAGTTTTTGAGATTTTTGGATCGCCAAATTTGTCGAAAATCCTTCGATCTTGAAAAAGGAATATCGGCAACCAAAAGGGTCTTGCACAGTGCAATCAAGAAAAAAGGGAACGCAAGATTTGAGGAGAGTGGCCAGCGAGAGGGAGTGGCCGTAAAAATAGGTTGCGCAATTGCGGTAAAAGCGAGAGACAGACTTGCGACAAAGAGAGAACACTGCAATTTGAGAGTTGCCAGAGAAGGTTAGAGAAAAACAAAAATGGCCGGATTTTTGAGATTTTGAGATCGCCAAGTTGTCAAAAATCCCTTCGATCTTGAAAAGGGAATTTTGTGAGGTATAAAAAGGGACTTGCACGGTGCAGCGGCATTTCAAAAGGGTAGTTTTCGCGGGTGTTGCGTAATGCGGCCTGCGACCTTGTGGCGCAGAGAGGCTGATACCTCCGCACTGTGCAAGCCAAATTTGGCCGAAAAAGCCTTTTTCGAGCCCGTTCGATTTGCTAGATTTTTGAGGAAAATCGAAAGGAAGAAAATCGACAAATTTGAAGAGCCAAAAAAAGGCTGCACGGTGCAATGAAACTTTGGAAAGGAATTTTTGGCGGGTTTCTTGACCGTGCGACCTGCGGATCTTGTTGGCAGATCGAGGATAATAACTTTGGATTTTGTGAAAAGGTTTTTGGCCTTCCAAGGTTTGGGCTCGAGTGGCTCGATCTTGAAAAGGATTTTGACAAATTTGTTTTGTCCAGTGCTATGAGCTTTCAAAGGGTTTTTTGGCGGGTTTCTTGATAGTGCGAACTGCGGATGCTATTGGCAGATCAGGGATAGTAACTTTGGTTTTTTTACAAAAACATTTGTTTTTTTTCAGATTTTGATCGGTTTTCAGCGATTGAAAATTGTTTTTACGCAAAAGGTGTTTGGCGTTATTAATTTTTAGGTAAAAATTATAATTTTTTCTATTTTGGTTTAAAATTTTTGAGTTTATTTAATTTTAGGTAACAAATAAAATAAAATTTATTTGGGATTTACTATTTGGGTCTCTATAAATTTTAGGTAGCAAATATCATGTATATTTGGATTTTGTAAATTATAGGTAACAAATACGTTTTTTACAAAGTTGAGCCTAAAAATTTTGGTTTTTAATTTTGAATAACAGATATGATTTTTCTGCTAAACCAATGTAAAAACAATTTTATAAGTTTATTTCAGCCAGTCCATTTGGTCAATTCAAAGTTCGTTATCCATGTGAGCTAAACTGCGAAAGTTTCGATGCTTTGGGCACACCTGAATGTCGCTGGAGGAATGAACTGTCTGATTGTTGTGAAAGCGGTGGAGAGGAACTGGACTGGGTTCGCGTGAAAAATGGCTGGGGTTTGGAGGAAGGAATCACAATTTTTGGCACTGAACAACGAGCAGGTTTGTATTTTTATTTGTTTTACTTGTTTTAGAGTGAATAACGTGGTTGTTGGCCTAAAATGGTCGATAAATTGGTCGAGTAGGAAATTATACCTAAAAGGCAATGATGCGCTAGAGTTTTTTTAGTGTTATTTTATTGTTTTGGTTTAAAAAGGCTTTAACTCTTTGAAAACAAAGTCTTTAGGTGGTATAGGTATTAAGTTTACGCAATTTCAGCCAAAAATTTGACAGTGTATATCAAGATTCATAAATAAGCATCTATTTTAACTAACCAAAACGTTTTTCCAGCACGTTACTCAATTTTGGTTGGAGCGCAAGAGAAACGAGCACCAAACGACGCAGCTTTGTTGGTATCAGATCCTTTACAATGTCAAGAAGGTGACGGAATATTGAAGTTTCGATACTGGACGTCTCCACATACTGTTATCAAGGTTTGCACTCGTCCTCCAGGCTTAGGCAGAGAATATACATGGTGCGGGAAAGACATTACAAAAGGAGATCCGGGACCGGCGGAAGTTGTTATACCTGGAAGTATTATGCAGGATTTTGAAGTGAGTTTTGGAAATAAAGTTTTTTTTGGGGTGTGAAGAAAGTTTTTGTCATTTTTTGTGTTGTAAGGAAAGTTTTTGCAATTTAATAGATTTCAGTTGGTTATAGAAGCCAGTCATTTTGACTACGATGCTTTTGGGTTTCAAGGAGGCGTTGTCATTTTGGATGACATTGAATACAATGCTACTGCTATCTACAACTGCAGGAATAGTAAGTCAATTCTGTTTTAGGTAACAAAGTACAAAACTTTAAATTTTGTTTGGAATTATGAAATTTACTAAAAACTAATTTCAGTACCCCACATAGAGCCACTAGTACCATTACCAATAAAAACCTGTGACCTATTGGAGTGTGAATTCAACGAACTTGACCGTTGTTACCTAAAATTGCGTCGAACCGGTTGGCGCCATTCCCAAAGTGCCATAGGCAATCGTCAGACTGGGATTCGGAACCTGCACGATGGAGCATTTGTCTACGTTAAAGGAAGGGGAAAGAAACCATTGAATTTTGGTGAATTTTCGATTCCAAGGCAACTATTAATGGAATTTTGTACTTACATAGCGAGTCAAGATGCTCATATTGCTGTAGAGGCGCATATTAAGGGTTATGAAAGGCAGACGTAAGTGGAAAGAAAGTCTTTGTCATTTTGGGGTTGGGATGAACGTATTATTCGTTTTTAAGCTTGGAAAAACATTTTTTTGATGTTATAAGGACTGGAAAGAAAGTAATCGCTATTCTTAGGCTATCAGAAATAACAGAAGATCCAAATCTGTACCATAAATGGGATTGTCGTCGTGTGGTGCTACAGCCTGGTAATTATACCGAGGTAAGCAATTTTTTGGTGGATTGGAGGTTTTTAAATGACTGTTGATGTAAAAGGAATGGCACATTTGAAAAAACGTATTGGTTTGCGCCATTCTTTTCGCATCAACTTTTTAGCTCTCATTTGTCGTGCAACACTTGCCGTATGATTTGGCCTACGTTGGCTTGGATGGTATCCATTTATACGAAATGGATGGTGGTACTAGGCCTTGTTTTACCGAGGATCCTATTACAGAATTGGCTTTGGTATCGGAAGTTACTGATGCTCCGGTTGATCCGTTTTCGACTACAAATTCAACTGATTTGAAATTGAATTCACAGTTGGAAAGTCAGGGATTAGTTGGCTTTAGTAATGGTGCTGATATTGGTAGTGACGCTAAAGTTGATTTTGTTAGTACTGGAGGCACTGGAAATGAAATTACTGGTAATAATGGTATCGAAAGTGAAAATTCTAATGGTGATAATAAGGAAAATTTGGTCATTAATACAGATAAGTATGGTCCTTATAGTTCTGTCGATGATAAAAACGGTCTCGGTGATGTTACTGGTGATAGACCTGGAATTGATAGTGTGAACGGTATTAATGGGATTGAAGAAGCAGTTCATGGTACTATTGGTTCTGATGATGATGTATATGGTAGAACTAATGGAGTTGATAATAATGCAGAGAGTGGAAATGACATACTTGGTACAAATGGGGCATCAAATGAAGTTTACGGCACAACTGATGTTACAAATGACTTATTTAGTTCTAACGGAGATTTGGATGAAATTTATAATGGTGTTAAAAATTTAAATCTTGAAACCAATAGAGAACACAATTTATCTTTTGATAATAACGGGGCTAGAAACCCTGTATCAGATATCAAAAATAGTACACTTTATGTTCCCAAAGCTATGAGACCACCGACTTATGAAGAGCCAGATAACGATAGTCAAATGAGCAATTTACAAGTATCTGTACATAAATTGCCGGAATTTCCTTTACCATCAAATGTCATAACAGAAACTACAAGTGCAATAGGTTTTATTGAACCAGACGTCACTACAGAATCGATGTTAGATTCTATTTTGGCGCCGTATAATGATGGGGCAGTGGAAGACTTCTCTGCTTCAATATCGAGTTATAAAGCCTTGAATAATACTAGTTACGATCAGCTACATAACCTAGAAACGACAGAAGATGTGCTACAGGATCTAGATGCTAAAAACTATTTGCTACAAGCTTATGAAGCAAATAAAGAAGAGGTAATGGATACAAAAGTGAATAAACACAATTCTGAAGTAGAGGAACCTCATATGCAGGTCGATAAAACCGATTATAGCGACAATTTTAATGTAGAAAACATTGACCAGAACACCATGTTGCCAGAAGATGAAGATTCATACTTTGACGGTGAAGCTGTGGTACAATACGAAGCTCTGAACCCAAGAAAACGTTTCAAACAACGTACAAAACGAAGGATAAGAAAGCCTATTTATAGTGAGCCGGAAAAAATGTTCTTGTAGCAATATTTAAGTTGTTTTAATAGTAAATTGTATGTAAATTAACCGCTTTTTTATCGATAGCGTATAAATACCTAAAGGATTCCAAAAAATTAACAAATTTATAACAATTCCAACAAAAACAAGTAGCAATAATATACAACAAGATCACTTCGAATCAAATTCCTCGCAAGCTTTGTCAATTTTCTCCTCAATCCCGGCGAATAGCTGCTCGGTAAGCTGGAAACCTTGTGCTAAAACTTCGGCTGCATCTACTCCTGGTTTTGTTTGCACTCGAACAACAATCCGATCTTCCAATGGATGTGTCTCACCAGCTCCGACAAATTCCACTCCGTCCCTAAATAGTTGTAAAATACGTAAATTTTTGAGTAAACCTATTAGGAAGTAACTTTTAAATCAACGTTTCATGAAATTGAAGCTGAAAATCACTATTTTCCGATGTTGCAGTACACATCTAATCTCCCAAACAAAAAAAGGTTCCCAAAACTCGCTCGAAACTTTATATTTTCCACTTAAAAGATAAAGCACGTTTTACTGTATCTATTGATGCTAATTTCAACACATAAGGACAGAAATTCATCGTGCAACATCAATTTTTCGTCAGGCACCTAAACCAAGAACAAAAATAACAAAAAAACTTACATTGGGCCAATTACATGTTTTAGCAAATTCGAAATAGTATGATCTTCTCCTTTCATCACTACTGTGATCATTGTTTTGTCCTTGAGGTATTCATCTGCGTCAACCTGAACGAAATCATATTAGTTTAGACCAAGTGATCTGATAGATTTTAAAATTTCTAAAGTTTACAGCGGAAAATTAGAAATTTATATCGTAAAATACGTTAATAACAGCTCTCATAGTTTACTTACAATTTCCAGGCCTTTTGGCAGTTGTACCGATGGATATTCAACAGCTTCTGACATTTTTGTGAAGTTTTTGCAGAATAAAGGCGAAAAACAAATAAAAGGAAAGCTTGCGACAGAACGCCAAAGAACTTTGTTCAGTAACGATTTGCGCGCGCTTTTTGAAGTCAAATGTTAACTAATATGCTAAAACAAATAAAACAAATTCTGTATTTAAATTGTCAAAACACAAATATAATTTATTTTAACTATGTTCAAAACAAAAATCAATGAGATTTTAACGTTTTCGTTTGGCCATTCCGCAGCCAGCGCGTTGTCGATACTCAGCGAGCACCCTGAACGGTGCACCATGCCCAGGCACCACCCAGTCGGCCATACATATAATTAAATTAGCATTTTGTCGCTTTATGGTCGTATCCCATACGCCTTCTTCGACAATTGGGTCTTTTTTCTGGGATAACATCACTTCGGCTGGGATTAGGTCACCAACAATGGCCATGGTGCCATAATTGGGTACGTTGTGGACTAGGACACTCAAGTCATGTTGAGTATGACCTGGAGTTTTCCATACTTCAATATTGGGCGTGAGTTTTCGGTACGGTCGCTGAAATGGCGTTTTAAAATTTTTGAAATTTTAAACTTTCGCTAGTTTATTTATTTTTAATTGGCATAACGCTTAACCTTACAGACTTACTTCAAAAAGTTCTGTATTTGTGACGTGATGTCCAATAAACTCTTTGGAGTGAAATAGAATTGGTTTTTGCCCAAAGAAATTCAAATTTCCAACGTGACCTGGATGGGCGTGAGTGACTACAACAACATGTATGTCATCCAGAGATACATCATGTTCAGCTAGGCCTCGTAATAGGTTTTCTGTCTCACTGGCTGCCCCTGTGTCCACCAGAACGTTCATACCATTGTCTTTTATTAATGTTATGGCACCAACGACTTCTGTCTGGTCTTCCTGAAATTTTAGGCTCAAATTCAAAATTATAGGCTTAAGACAAGCTTTTTAGGCTCAAAAACGTTTTTAGGCTTAAGCTAGGACTTTGAGGCTTAGATTTTAAGAGTTGTTTTAAAGCTGACGTTTTAGGCTTAAACCTTCATTTTTAGGCTTAAAGAAAAATCTTTAGGTCTAAAGACGTTTTTAGGCTTAAACCGTTTTGAAATCTAAACTTCAAACAAGCCTACTTTCATGTCATTTCTACTACCAGTCTGAATAACAGCCACGTCCACGCTCTTAACTGGGCTTTGAGTTGTTGACCACAGTTTGTCCCATTCATTAGGCTTAAATGTTGTGCTAGGCGCAGCTGTGAAACCCTTAGAGCCTTTTATTGTATACGGTAGTAAGGTGGCTGTTCCGCCTACTGTGAACTTCCTAAAGTGATATAAGGTTGTTTTCAAAAAATGATATTGAAATTTCATAAACTGTAAAACGATGCCATTGTTTATGTTTTACCTTATTGGTACAGTTGTGAATGACTCTAATGGTCTTTTGACAGGGATTACTGTAGATAAGGACTTGAATGGGTTCCTTAAAAGTAAAATTTAGATATAACTATAACAATTTTATTATTTTTTATAGTTGGACGTACTAAATGTTTTCGTGGTGAGACCCAAAATTTAAAAAAAAACAATTTAAATTTTGAGTCTTACAACGAAAATGATCAAAGTAAAAAATAGTGAAAATGCAATTTTTTATGTATGATAACATACCATGGTGGATTGGTAGTGAATTTACTACCAATAACAATCATTTCTTGGGTTGACTTTGGCGGTACTATACTCTTCCAACCAGTACTAGTTTGAGTTAGAGTAAAGTTATCTGAAAAAGTTACGATACTATTATTGTATGCACTAAGAAAGGTAAAGTATAAAAAATATTGGGCAGGAAATGTAGCGTAAGTTAGGATAGGGTAAGGTGTGTAGGTTAGGGTAGCGTAGGATTGGGTGGGATAAGGCAAGATGGGGTAGGGTAGATTATAATATCCCCTACTTCTCTCTCTGATGGTCGATAATGTTTTGAGCAGTCGATCTCCTTCTTTGCAGCAAATTGACCTGCCCAGCTCAAAACTTTGGTCACAGACATAGCCAGTGGGACAGTCTTCTGGGCTTGTAGGTTTACAGTAAGAATATTCGCCCATAACCAATAGTGGCGATGAGTCGAATGGGCATACTGATGCTGTAATTAGGGTCGTTTAAGAAAAAATGGCAAAAACTTTCTTTACAAAACAAAATGACAAGGAGTTTTTTTACAATACAAGGTGGCAAGGGCTTTCTTTACAAAACAAAACTGCAACAACTTTCTTTACAAAGTCAAAAATGACAACAAATTTCTTACCCCTGCCATTTTTGTCGCCAACTCGAAGTTGAGCGATAGCTTTGTCGCCTTTCCCAATCATTGCCGGCAAGTTATCGACTTTTGTAAACGCCTCCGGCAAAATGGCGGCCAAAGGCGCCTTGGCATGAATAGGCTTGAAGCCTAACATTCGTAACAAAGCGGCCGTAATTTCGGCTCCTGACGCGTTTGTTATTGAATCTCGAATTTCGCGCGGAAATTTGTGTTTATTTTGAATTATCCATCGCTTTAACTCTTCTGTTGTCGCGTTTACTGTAATATCTGAAAGGGGTATTGTAATGGGGAAAGTGGGGTGAAATGTTGATTAGAAAGCTTAAAATGTTTAGTATAAGCTTAAGTGAAATGTTGAGTATATAAGGTTTTTGCCTTAAAACATAAGAAATGGCAATTGGTTTCTTTACAAGTCAAAAAATGGTGATTTTTTAAAAGGGAGTTCAGTGGAAGATTTGTAATATAATTTTCACTGAATATCTTTCATTGATCTTTAATTTATTAAGAAACGCTAAAGTTAGTTTATAAACTTTTATAAAATCCCTAACAAGCCCAATATGACATATAAAAAATAAAAAATAAAAAAAAATATTTTGATTAATTTTCCCTTACCTGTCATGGATAATATTATGAATAACATCCATAATAACTCTGGTACCCTTCGTATTTTCATGTTATGCTAAAATATAATTGTTTATACATTATAGGGCATAAAAGGCTAAAAACTTGTCTGAAACGGTAAGGACTTTCTTTACGAGACAAAAAAAAGGCAAAAACTTTATTTACAAAACAAGAAATGGCAATAACTTTTTTTACCAAAACTTGAATTGCAATAACTTTCTTTACAAAATAAAAAATTGCAAGAATTTTGTTTACAAAACAAAAAATGACAATAACTTTGTTTACAATCTAAAAAGAATCAAAAATATTTTTAAAAAACAAGTTTAAGGCTGAAAAAAAATCGACTCCAGTTACATTTTCAGCGGTTCTTTGAGTCAGGCTGAATACCGTGTTTTTTCGAAAAGAATGAACAATTGCCGGTCAAGTGGCCACTCTTTGACCGAAATCGAGAGCCTTTTTCGGGTTCTAGCCTCAAGGTCTGGGGCTGGCTAGGATTGCGCAATTTGAAACATTTTAAATTTGTCATACAAACCATAAAATTATAAAATTAGAACTTTTAAAAGTGGAAGTTGAGTGGAAGATTTGCAATGAATTTTGCACTGGAAATCTTCCACTCAACTTTCATTTTTAAAAATGTCTTAAAATAGTTTAAAACAAGTTTTAAACATTTTTTAAAAGTGGAAGTTGAGTGGAAGATTTTCAGTGCAAATTACACTAAAAATCTTCCACCTAACTTCCACTTTTTAAAAGTCTGAATATTTTTTGTTTTAGCGGTTAGAAATGTCCAAAGCGCTTACATTTGTGGCTTTTCACGTTGCGGTAGCTGAAAAAACTGTCATTTTGGTATTGTTTTTGGCTTGGTTTGATCATTTTTCTTTATATTGTAGTAGATAATTTACCTGAAATAAGCCTAAATTCTTTTATGACAAAAATCACTCTTTTATCTCAATTAAACTTAGCAATTGAGTTCACAAACTATTTTTTTAATTTTCAAAATTGCTTGTTGACTCGAGACCACGTTTCGAATTTGTTTCTTATCAGGTAATAGTTTTCAATACGATTAATAACTGATAAGACTGCACCAGAAACGTGATAAGGTTAATGGTTTAAATGACAAAGCACAGCGAATTACATAAAATCAAAAAACATTCAAAAATTTTATTAAAAATTGAGGTTGAGGACAGTGGAAGTTGAGTGGAAGATTTGTAATGTAATTTGCACTGAAAATCTTCCATTCAACTTCCATTTTCAAAATGTTTTAGAATGGTCTAAAGACACGTTTTTAACGCTTTTTAGAGTTGGAAGTTGAGTGGAAGCTTTTTAATGTAATTTGCACTGAAAATCTTCCACTCAACTTCCATTTCTAAAATGTCTTAAAATGGCTGAAAGGACATTTTTATAAGTGGAAGCAGTAGAAGCCTTTCAATGCTAATAATCTCTAGACTTTCACTGACCTACTGTTTTGGAAAGTTCAAAAACTGTTTACAAAAACACAATTACCGAAACTGTTCTTTGTATTATAATGAAAAAAAAACAACAAAATGCTAATTACTTTCATTACACTTTCTTAATAAAATGTTTAGAAAACATTCTTATAAAGTCCAGAAAAAATCCCTATAAGGTCCAGAAAACACTTACTAAAATTATTGTATGTGATTTGTGTTATCTTATCATGAAACGAATAGAACACAGGTATATAAGTGAGATGATAAAGGTAAGCGGCTTGTTACAATTGGAATACTGCTTGATTTTGTTTTGATTGTGGTTTTCAATAACTGTAGGAGGTTGTAGGCTTAAAAAATTTTTAGGTTTAAGACGGGATCTTTAGGCTTACGACGGGATTTTTAGGGTTTAAATGTGAATGTTAGGCTTAGTATTAAAGTTTTGTTGAGAACTTAAGACTTTAAATCTAGGCTTTGATTTATAGGCTTAAGAACTGATTTTTAGGCTAAACTGTCTTTTTAAGTTTAAAACCTTTTTAGACATGTTTTTAGGCTTAAACTATGCCTTTATTTACAAAATACGTATGTAATTATGCATTTAGCCTTAGAACATTGCTATAGGCTTAAACTACGTTTTTAGGCTTAAACTATATCCTTAGACTTAAAACGTCTCTTTAGGCTTAAAAATTATCATAGGCTTAAAAATTTTGTAATTTCAGATATTTCATCCAGTCATGACATCGATTCCGAAAACTCAAAAAGCTGCCGTATACGACGACTACAGTGCGCCGATAGTAATAAAAGATACTCCAGTACCAGAGCCATCTCATGACGACGTACTAGTAAAAATACTGTACTCTGGAGTATGTTACTCAGATGTCAGTATTCATGGTGGACTATTGCCTGGACAAAAGTTCCCATGTGTTGGAGGTCATGAGGGAGTTGGAGTTGTGGTGAAGGTGGGAGATCATGTTCAGGACGTCAAGGTTGGCGAGAAAGTTGGTGTTAAGGTACGGCTCTGATGATCTTAAGGGGCTTTTGGAGGTGGAAACAAAGTTTTTGCAATTTTTTAAAGTAAGAATGACAGACATTGCTATATAAACTATATTATAGTGGGTGAATGGCACCTGCTTGAACTGTGAATACTGTCGTGCAGGACGAGAACCTAACTGTTGTCGGCCGATCTACACCGGCTACTCTCGGGAGGGAACTTATCAACAATTCACGTTGATAAAGGAGAATCACGCTATCAAATTGCCGGACAGTGTGAATTTGGCGGAGGCTGCGCCGATTCTTTGCGCTGGAGTAACGGTCTACAAAGCTTTGAAGGATTCTGGATTAAGGGCGGGACAAACGTTGGCCGTTACTGGTGCTGGTGGTGGGTTGGGCACTTTGGCTATTCAGTATGCCAAGGCTATGGGATTGAAGGTAGGGTAGAGTGGGGGTAGATGATTGTAAAGCAGAGTACAGAAGAGAAGGGTTGAGTAGGGTAGGGTAGGGTAGGGTAGGGTAGGGTAGGGTAGGGTAGAGTAGGGTAGGGTAGGGTAGGGTAGGGTAGGGTAGGGTAGGGTAGGGTAGGGTAAAGTAGGGTAGGGTAGAGTGGGGGTAGATGATTGTAAAGCAGAGTACAGAAGAGAAGGGTTGAGTAGGGTAGGGTAGGGTAGGGTAGGGTAGGGTAGGGTAGGGTAGGGTAGGGTAGGGTAGGGTAGGGTAGGGTAAAGTAGGGTAGGGTAGGGTAGGGTAGGATAGGGTAGGGTAGGGTAGGGTAGGGTAGGGTAGGGTAGGGTAGGGTAGGGTAGGGTAGGGTAGGGTAGGGTAGGGTAGGGTAGGGTAGGGTAGGGTAGGGTAGGGTAGATTAGAGTGGAGTAGGGCACTGTAGGGCAAGATATTTGTCTTTATACCAAACAGTACTAACACATTTTTTCCAGGTATTAGCCGTAGATGCAGGAGCAAAAGAGCAAGTATGTAAAGACGTGGGAGCCGACTACTTTGTGGATCCATTCAGTACCAAAGACATTGTCGCTACCATTCAAGAACTCACGAAAGGTGGTCCTAATGGGGTACTCAACTTGGCAAATTCAGGTCCCGCTATAAACAAATCCATCGAGTACGTGCGTACTGGTGGTACTGTAATTATCGTAGCTTTGCCGAAGAATGCCAAATTAGATGCTGATATTGTGTCTACCGTACTCCGTAATATTACTATTAGGACGTCGTATGTCGGTACCAGGCAAGATACCGACGAGGCGTTGGACTTTTTGGCTCGAGGCAAGGTGAAGGTGCCGATTGAGATACGGCCGTTCTCTCGACTGGTCGAGAGTTTGGAACAGGTTGGCAAGGGACAGGTGCAAGGACGAATTGTTATTGATCTGTGGCAGTAATTGTACTATACTTTTGAGATTTATTATATATAAAAACAATGAAAAATTCGGAATTTTTGATGCAGAAAGAATGGCGCGGTGTATTATTAAAAGTTATGAAAAAAATGAGAGCCTATATTACTTGTCTTTTTATCCTTACCTTATCCCTATTCCTAACACAATTTTTATTACATTGTGCAACATGGTAATTTACCGCGCGTTACATAACCTTATGGTATAATAGAATAGCCTCAGAGAAATTGTAAAAAATGTTGTTGCGCAACCTTTCTTATGTAATTTTTACAACTTCAGGTAATAATTGCCTCGATGTAAAACGACCCAACAAATTACTGCGAGTAGTTTTAGCTCAATTTACATCAGTAAAAATAAAATTTCTTCAGAAAATGCCTCTGAAATAAGGTTTATGTCTACAATTTTAGTCATAAATTCTGAACTAATGGTGACAAAGTTTAATGACATACATTTTTTAAATCCTTGTTAAATTTTGATCCTTACAGTATTTTCAAAATGTTCAAATGATTTTCAAAAAGTCATCAAAATTGTAAAAAAAGACCACCATGTACTAACAAAAACTCCAATTATTTCCTATAAAACGTCTTTATTCCTCCAAGAAACCCGTCATAATGACATATTAAAAAAGGCAAATCCTAAATCTCCTGCCATTTTCAATTCCACAGAACCAAGAATGCCATAGCAAAAATTCCAAGACCGGTCATATAAGCTTTGTCACATCCATCGCTTTCAGAGCTGTCGGAATGGTCATGATTGTCATCATCGTCAAAAGAACTGTCATCGTGACTCTCATCGTGACTGTCATGATGACTGTCATCGGAATCCGAAGAGTCGGGTCTAGTAAAAGGTTTAGGCGTTGGTTTCTCGGTGGTTTTGTCTTCTGCCGATGCGGGGGAGGTGGTAGTTAAGCTGTCGATTAACACCTTCAATCGTTGAAAAAGCTTGTCAGCGTCTTGTGGCCATGGTGTCAGACTGACCAGCAATGGGTGCCTAAAATGAAATTGTAGAGGTAGAGGTAAGCCAAGGCCACGGCCGAAGCCTGAACAGAGTCATGTTCAAGGATACGGACATGTCTACAGCTAGAGCGAAAGCTAGGGCAGAGTCAAGTTCAGAGCCACGGCCAGAACCAAGCCTAGAGCCAAGGTCATCCAGAGATAGTCAGACAAGGTCAGGTCCAGAGATAGCCACCATCAAACTAAAAACTTTAAACTTACCACGACTTAAACGTATCGTATTCTTCGTTCGCAGCAGCTTCACCAAACGCCTTCTTGAATTGTGGCCTGCCATTGCTGAACCAATCATCAAGTGAGTCGGGCAGATTGTAGAAAAAGAAAACGTAGCTGTAATAGGTCAAGGTAAGTAAAGAACATGCCATTCCTTTCGCATCAAAACAAAAAAATCGCGCCACTCTTTTCGCATCATAAAAAAAATAAAAAACGCGCCATTCTTTTTGCATCAAACAAAAAGTAAAAATTGCGCCATTATTTTTACATCAAAACAAATAAATTAAAACCGCGTCATTCTTTTCGCATCAAAACAAAAGTAAAAGTCGCGCCATTCTTTTCGCATCAAACCAAAAAGAAAACCTCGCCATTCTTTTCGCATCAAAACAAACAAAATAAAAATTGAGCCATTCTTTTCGCATCAAATCCTTACCCAGGCAAATCCAAATGATGGAAACGGTAGCGTGCTTCATAGGTATTCAATACCTTGATCGGTTTGTGTTCCAAAACAAAGTTACCCAATCGAGCCGCGGCGCTGTAGTTGATCTTGGTTACCTCGCCCGTTTTCACGTCAATCGTGCATTTGGTGTTATCAGTCTAAAAATAACAGTTTTTTTTCAAAGTAAGGTAACTTAGATTATGAGTCGTCTTAGATATCAACCTACAATACATTCAGTGCGAATTGTGTTTAGCAAATCGGGCGAAATGTCTTCGGCTCGAACGTCGTTCCAAGTGACCTGACTTCTAAAATATTCCAAATCACTTTTGTTATTAAAGCAAGAATTTTCTTTACAAAACAAAAAATGGCAAGAACTTTCATTACAAAACAAGCAATGACAAGAACTTTCTTTACAAAGCAAAAAATGGCAAAAACTTTACGTACGGCTTTCCTGAACCTTCAACAAATTCCTTCAAATCGATTGGTCCATCCAATTTCTTGCTAAACAAATAATTCTTGTAGACAAGGGTGTCCGGTCCCAAACGTTTGCGAATACTCTAAAGTTATACTACAGGTTACAAACGCATAGAATAACAAAGTCTTCTATTAGGTATAAAAAGCTTCTAGTAGGTAGTCAGGTTTAAACAAAAAAATAACTTTTTAAACCTAAAGAAACTGGTTTCGATAAGTGAAAGGCGAATGGAAGATTTGTAATGTAATTTGCACTAAAAATCTTCCACTCAACTTCCATTTTTTAAATGTCTTAAAATGACCTAAAAACACGTTTTTGAGCATTTTTAGGAGTGGAAATTAGGTGGAAGATTTGTAATGTATTTGCATTGAAAATCTTCCACGGAATTTCCACCTCTAAAAAGTGTTAAAAACGCGTTTTTAGGCCATTTCAAGCCATTTTAAAAATGAAAGTAAAGTGGAAGATTTTTAGTACAAAATACATTACAAATCTTCCATTCAGCTTCCATTTTTCAAATTTCTTAAAATGCCCTAAAAACAACAAATATTAGTTTTTAAACAATTTTTCTAAACACACCATGCCAAATGTCTTTTTAATAGAGCCATCCGCACCCGCTGTGAACAAGTTGATCACGTTTCCATCGATTTGAAGAAACGCGGGCTTTTCCAGATCGGTCAATGGGTAACGGTAGTTTTCCATCTCGGCCATACCTTCTGTAACATTTTTTGATAGTAATCATTTTTAAATACTATAGTAGGGGCTATGATTGAATTTTATGCAAATTGAATTTTATTGAGTTTTGGTTATAACTTTGTTTACAAATTATGACTTACTTTTTTGCTCAGTGCCTTTGTAAATGAACCGGGACTTGCCACTTGTGACTGAAAAGATAAAATTATTATAATTAAAACATGTTCTACCCTACCCTACCCTACCCAACCCAAGCCTACCCAACCCTACCCTACTCAATCAGATTCCCCCCTAAAACCACATAACTTACCAAACGACGTCGCTTCAGCCCAATGCGTCTTGTTCAAAACGTACACGAACTTGAGTATGAACATGTCAAAGAATTCCGGTGTGAGTAGGATACATTTAGCGCCGGGATGGTCATCAAAACACTCCCTGTCACGGAGATGCACACCCTCGTACACCTCTTTGTAGTCGAGCTCGGTAATCGGTGGAACCGCTTCAACTCCAACCAATAGGATGCTTGATAACACCCAGAGAAACAGCATCTCCACCGCCGTTCTTCGCATGACAATTTTACGCAAAATGAGTAAAATATGAAGTGATAGCGCGTTAGGTAAGGACTTTTAATGACAGTAATTTGCATAAATTAAAATTTTTTTTATTTTTTTGAAGCAGTTACTTCCTAAGGCCTACAACGTGAGTTTTAGGCTTAAGATAAAGTTTAAAACGTGACTTATACATAAAAATATTTTTAAGCCTAAGACGGCCCCTTTAGGCTTAAATTTTCATCTTTATTAAAAAATTAATTTTTTAGGTTTAAATAATGTTTTTAAGCTTGCATATGGCTCCTAGGCTTAAATTTACAAATTTATTTTGAAGTCCAGTTTTTAGGCTTAAAACAAATCTTTAGGCCTAATATGACTTATTGAAATTTGAGAATAACACCTAAGCTTAAATTTGCAGCCTTATTTTAAAATTGCATTTTTAGGCTTAGAATGTGATTCTTAGGCTTAAAATGTGATTTTTAGGCTTAAACTGTGACTTTTAGGCTTAAAAACCTTTTTAAGCTTAAGCTCTGATTATAATGCTTAACATTTCAACTGTCTTTATAATTTATGTTTTCAGGCTTAAACCATGATTTTTAGGCTTAAATTCTAGTTTATAATCTTTTCAACTAATAATATTTTCGGCCGATACTCTATTTAGTCCATCTTGTCCGCAAACCAAACATAGTTCGACCTAAGCCAATTAGCATGACTCATACTGGCGATTTCGTAACAAGTACGAGAACGTTACACTTGTTTTTTCACAAATTGTCTCACCAGGAGACCAACTTCCACGTAAACAAGACCTAAAGCCGTTTTTATATACCCACACTTTTATGTCCGGCTGTCAAACTAGATTTCCTTTATGGAAAAAAGCATTTTGTCGTCCCAATTTAGATAGAACGACGAGAAACGTTGAGAAAAGAAACTTTTGAAGCGAGCGAACTCTTTTGATGTGGTGGTTAATATCGGCCATAACTTTTAAATAAGCTTTTGGTTCCTTTTGAAATTTTTATCATTTAAACACAATTTATTTTGCTTTCTAAATAAAATAAAATGTACGGGTTTTAAATATATTAACAATGTTATTTCTCCCACCAATTATAATATTGGTGTATCATGGTTAATATCTGCCATAATTTTTGAATCAGCTATTAATTCCTTTTGAACTTGTTAGCAATTAAACACTTGTTAATTGTCTTTCTAATACCGCCAAAGTACTACAGTTTTAATTAAAACGGTATACCGCGGTAACCTGATTTTCACCCATAAACTTTACATAAGGATATAGCTGCTGCATGATTAAGATCGGTCGTAACTTTTGACTAACACATCGTTTTATTTGAAAAACATCTTTCCTTTATTACCAAAATATTAAACTTACTATCCTTCAAAGCATTCAGAGATATACAGCTTTAAACAACCTTGTTCTTGACCATTAACATTCATCGGCATGGTTAATATTTGCCATAACTTTTGAAAAAAAGAATTATACCATTTCAAACGGCCGTAAAATTATAAAAAGACTCTTCTGTGTCCACTTTAATCAAAATTCATATGTTTTAACATTGAACAAGCCTAATTTTTAGCTAAAATTCTAAAATTTTTTCCAAATTTTTTAAAAAGTAAAATATTCTCGGAATCTTTATTTGGCGCGAGACGGATTCGCGGCGGGACTCGAGCTCGCGCTCTGCGTGCACATTTTTCTCCGATGAAATCATTTTTACGAAATGGCCATTGGCGCGTTTTTTAATGGTAACCAAAGAGACCAGGAAAAAACCGCTTAAAGTTCGGTTTTTTTAAAATTGTCTCTTTTTTAAAATTTCAAATTTTGCGCTGTTTTAGTACTTTTTTCTCGCTTTTAAGGTGGTTTTTTAATCAAACCTCGTGGTTTTTGAGGTAATTTAGATAGTTTTAAACTAATTTTTGTTACGTTTAGCTTGGCCATGGACCGATTGAGCACGGGAATGTCCATCGTGATCTGTCGATCCGATGGACGACAACATTCGGCCATAATCGCGCACCTCAAGCCAGACAACAACATGGTCGATGTGGAATGGTTCGAACAAGTAAGTTTTTTTCGTTTTTTTTTGGTTTTTAGGTTCAAGCTTGAAGCATGGACATTGAATAATGTTCTCCGTTCTTTTTTGACCATGCATTTATTATTTTTGCCATGAATTGTGGGATAAAAGAAAAAGAAGAGCTAATGTTGATTTATCTTGGGTATAACTTCTTTAAAAATGAAGCTAGAAGCTAGAAACCCTTTGTGGATACAGCTTATATATTTTTTCAACTAATTAAAAAAAGAAATTTTCATAATTTGCAATACTTTTGATGTTATCCAAATTCTACGCACCTATGTCTACTTTTATTTAATTTTAGGGGGAAACCAAGGGAAAATCGGTAGATTTGGGGCAGATCTTGAGGTATAATCCTGCTTTGCTCGTGAATGACTCAGTACCAGAACCTAAAGCTCCACGAGCATCTGTTGCCAATGATAACAAGGCGATTCCGGCGCATCGTCCGTCTGTGGCGAAGCCGGCCGTTCGTCCGCCAAATACAAACCGGGTTGATCAAAAATATGCGAGACAAAGCATGGTTGATGGAAATGGATTACCGGAACGAAAGGAGCCTTGTGAGTTGTTGTATTAGATAATAAATTTAAAAAGTTGGTTTAAGAAACTAAAACTACGTTTCAGCCGGAATAAAAGCTAGAAAATCGATGATATCATTGGATACACAAAATGAAACACTGAATGTTGATCGGATTGTGCAGCCAGCTCAATCTAAATCTGATGTTGTGAATAAGGTCGAAGAGCTTCAGAAGAACAGAAATGAGCGACGACAACAACAAGTATGTTTTTATGATTAAATTTATTATTTCCGTGTTTAGGTTTATTAAATTATGTGAAATTTTTTATTCGCAAAGCACAATTTGAGGTTTATATGGCTATTTTACAGGACGAAGCCCGCCGTGCTCGCGATAACCTCAAAAACCTTGATCCCGGTAACCCAAATTGGGAATTTCACAAAATGATTCGTGATTACCGTGCCAACATCGAATATCGACTGTTGAGAATCACGGATCCAGTAATCGACAACCGAATCTGCGTTTGTGTCCGAAAACGGCCAATGTCAAAGAAGGAAATGAACAGGAAAGAGATTGAAGTAGTGACAATCCCAGGCAAAGACACCATCGTAGTACATCAACCACAACAGAAGGTGGACCTCACGAAGTATCTTGAGAATCAAAAGTTCCGCTTCGACTATGCCTTTGACGATACCTCGGACAATCCCATGGTATACCGGTTCACAGCTCAACCCTTGATCAAGACGATCTTTCAACAAGGCTTTGCCACCTGTTTTGCCTATGGACAAACTGGCAGTGGTAAAACCCACACGATGGGTGGTGATTTCGAAGGCAAATCTCAAGATTGTGCCAAAGGAATATATGCCCTAGCTGCTACGGACGTCTTTGCCTACCTAAAACGACCAGAATACCGTGATCTTGGGCTTCAAGTGGACTGTAGCTTCTTCGAGTTGTACGGTAGCAAAGCCTTTGATCTTCTGAACCAAAAAGCTCTGCTCAGAATTCTGGAGGACAATAAGAAGTCGGTCCAGATTGTAGGACTAAAGGAATTTACTGTGTCATCCGCAGATGATGTGTTAGGATTGATCAGGGAAGGCTCGGCTCAAAGAACTGCCGGGCAAACTTCGGCCAATAACAATTCATCCAGAAGTCATGCCATCTTTCAAATTGTGTTGAAACGACGAGATGGATCTATTCATGGCAAATTCAGCTTGATCGATTTGGCTGGAAATGAAAGAGGAGCAGATACGAAGGCTAGTAATAATCAAACAAGAATGGAAGGCGGGGAAATCAACAAAAGTTTATTGGCATTGAAGGTGGGTGAATATTCATGAATATAAAAGGTTTTTTGGGGTTTTAATGAGTTTTTATGCAGTATTAGGTATGAAATGTCGTTTAAAACTGTTTTTAAGCTTCAAGAATATTTAAAAAAATGATTTCGAAGTTTTAAAAATGACATTTTTGGCTTTTTCTTATAACTTTTGTTATTTTCAGGAATGCATCCGAGCGATGGGCACCATGCAGGACTATGTACCATTCCGAGGCTCCAAGCTCACTCTCGTACTGCGCGATTCATTCATTGGTAAAAATGCCAAAACCTGCATGATTGCCACAATCTCTCCATCCTTAATGTCGGCCGAAAACACCCTCAACACCTTGAGGTACGCCAATCGTGCCAAGGAATTGGCTTCAGATGGCGGAGACAACGAGAACGTCGAGTACATGAGCGAAGAAGACAGTCCCATGGAAGAGGAGGAAATAGTACCATCGGAACCAATCCCAAAACCGACCAGAAAAGCCGCCAAAGGAAAATCGAAGGCATACAAAGACTATCAAGAAGCACTACAAGCCATGGAAAATGCAGAAGAAGATGCTTTGAACTTGCTGGATACACAGAAGCAGTCAGTACATGCCTTGTACTCAGAGATTTCGAAGCTAAGTGAATATGCACGATCAGATGGCTACGATATATCTGTCTTCTCGGAGGCAATCACAAAATACGCCGAAATGTGTAAACAGTCTGTGGAGTTGTTGAATGGCACAAAAGGTAAGCAATTTTGATTTGTTTTTGCGATTTTAGGGGGATTTGAAGGCTGATTTTGAGATTTCTGGGCTTCTAAGAGAGTGTACGTTGGACAGGTTTGATAGTATAACTTGTCACTACATTATACAAATACGACAACTTCTACTTTAACTCTTTCAGGCACAGCGGGCAACCTAGCAAATGCACTCCAACGCGAATCCGAACTCAGTCAAAACCTTTAAGAAGCTTTATCGTGTTCACTTGCTTGGTAATTTAACATTGTAAACTACGTAATTTAATACATTTTATAAGGTCGTCGAATTTTGAGTCATTTCTCTTATCTGAAACACATTTATTGCGGCTTTTAGGACGTGAAAATGGCTGGAAAGAAAGTTTTGGCAACAAGTTTTAATTTTTTACAAATGGACTTTTGGTGGAAGATTTTTATTGCAAATTGCATTACAAATCTTCCACTCAACTTCCATTTTTAAAAAGAAGCCTTTAAAAGGACTGGAAACAAAGTTCTTGCCATTTTTTGTAACAGAAAGAAAGTTTATACTATTGAAAGGCAATTTTTTTTTCATTTTTGATTTGTAAACAAAGTTTTTGCGTCCACAAAAATGGCGACAAATGAAAGCGACCGGCTTTTGTAACGGGTGCAACCTGATAACCCTTGATTCCTGTGTGCGTTTACGCCTAACTTAATTATACTGTAATGATTGACAATAAATTATATTGCTTGTGTTGTATTCGAACATTTTTATGGGGGTAGCGATTTAAAATGGCAGTTTGTTACCAATTTTTGGGCAAAAACTCTCAAATTTGCGACTAAAATCGCCAAAAATGAGAATTTTAGGTAACAAAGGGATAAAAATTGAAGTAATATTAAAAACTAGAGCTAATTCTATATTTTCCACAAACCTTTTGACCGATAAATCGCGAAGTTTTATTAAAAATCGATAAAAAATGACAATTTATTACCTAAAATCTTTTTTAATTAAAAATCAATAGAAAGTGAAAATTTTAGGTAACAAATTGTCGCAAAAATGTACATAATACGAAAAATGACTGTTATAAACTATTGAACATTCTCCTTGTCCTCCTTGAAGGATTCGGTGGCGAAGCCTTCGCTAGCGCCGGGCCAGTTCTTCACGGATTCCACATCGGACGGCGAAATCGGATCGTACTCCGGATTCTGAGGCAGTTCGAATGACATTTCACCTTTCAGCTGTCCATTTTGTGATGTTGGTACCGTTTGAACGAATGACATCAATTGGGGTAGTGCTTGCCCGAATGGTACTATTGGTGGTACAATTGCTGCCATTTTTGGGTCTTGAAGCATGTGGAAATTCGGTGTCTTCTGTGGATTTGGAGTCATTTGAGGATTTGGTAGCATTTGGCCGTGTGGTACTAATGGTGCAGTTGGTACCATTTGGGAATTTTGTCCCAGTTTCATGTCCATACTCGATTTTTGGGTCATTTCCGAATTTGGTACCATTTGACCGTATGGTACTGATGGTAAGGTTTGTCCAAATGACATTTGAAAATTATGTAAATTTGGTACACTGCCCCTACCGCCACCCTCACTGTTATACCCCGTGCTCATGACCTCGTTGTTGGAGGTGTTCGTCATCGGTGACATGTCGTACTGTGTCGTGGATGGTGGAGTCGGGATCTGTGGAGTTACCGTGTTCTTAAACTGCTCCACAGTGGGGTACTGTAACATGTTGGGCGGGTAAAATGGCTGTTGAATATTGTAATATGGGGGCATGGCCGTCGTCATTCCGATGGGTTGATTGAAGTATTGAGGTTGTTGTTGGTAACCACCCATCATCGTCATGTTGTTGTACATCGTGGACTGGTTGAGGGTGTCCTGGAAGGAAAATTATGGTAAAATACGCTGTTTTTCCGCATGAATGAAAAAAAAAAACAAAATGGTTCGAGACATCTAAAAACAAGACAAAAACTTTGTTTCCAACCTTACCTCATTCTCTTTTCGTTTTACTTCGCGGTAACGATGCTTCAGGTTGTCGTATTTGCGTTCGCTTCGGTCGATTGTGTATTCTTGTTGGCAAATTTTTTGTTGGGCCGTTTTTAGCTCGTTCTTTAGCTTCTGAAAGCAGAAATAATAGTATTTTCAAAAATGGTTTCAAAAGCGGCATGTTATACGATCAAACATACTTCATCGTATAGACATGTTTCATCGTATAACATGTCACCATGGTAAAAAATACGGCAAAATAAGGTTAAATTAAAGTATATAGATGCTATCAAAACTAAAATTATGTTCATTTTTGTTATTTTTACAAAAAGTAACAAGTTATACGAAAAAACATGTTTCATCGTATAACATGTCACTTTGAAATTTTTTTGACGTTTTTTATCAAAATTACTAAAAATCAACAAAAGCTGCCCAGATATAACCGTAAATCTTAAAAATCCTCTCATTTTTACCTCAATAATCATATCCTTGTCCTCGCCATTCCTGGACCTGGACCTCTTCGACCTCATCGACATTCGCTCAAACTCGCGAGCTACGTCGGGACTTGAACTAGCCTCCTTCGTAAAGCTATACTTCCTATTGTGACCACTGAACACCACTTTCTTAGGCTTAGCCACGATTTCCTCGTCAGAATCCGAAGCCGGCTCGTCCAGTTGTTCGCCACAGGCCATTGATTTGGCCGTGCGACGGGCCGGACGCTTCGTGTCGGTGTGGTAAAAGGAATGACGTTGATGTGCTACATCTTCGTATTCGTATGCGGATCGACCAGCGCTGGAACGGCGAGGAGTAACGTGAATTGAGGCGCCGTGAGCGGATTCTATGGCTTTCTGAAATGGTTTTTTTAGTAATTTGAGGTAACAAAAAAGATTTTTTTTCAGGTTTTAGGTAACAAAAATTATTTCTTTTAAATTTTAGGTAACAGAAAAGTTTTTTTTTCAGATTTTAGGTAACAAAAATTTTTTTTTAAATTTAGGTAACAAAGTACATGAATTTTAAATTTTAGGTAACAAATAATTTTTTAAAACATTTTAAGTAACGAAAAGTGTTTTTCCTCTTATTTTTTATTATTTTTAGGTAACAAATCCAAAATTAAAAAAAAAACACCGGTGCACCGTGCAAGTTTTTAAACTACCATTTTAATAAAACCAGCTATCGAAAAGTGCCAAAAATGAGTAGATATATATAAATTAACTTTTTCTATCATATTATATTGACATTTACACTAATTTTTGATAAGGTCAATAAGTTATGGCAATTTTAAAACTTTTTTAAAGATATACAGATTTTAGGTAACAAAACAGTAAAAAAATGGTTTTCAATGGCTGTAGATGGTCAGAAAAATAGAGATTTAAAAAGTTTTATTAATTTAGGTATCTAAAAATGCCACTTTTTACTTTTTTTAACGAAAAAATGTCGTTGAAGGGCCTAAATTATCAAAAATACAGATTTTAGGTAACAAAACAATAAAAAATAGTTTTAAATGGTTTCAGAAAGTCAAAAAAAACATATAGTTTAAAATTTTATTAATTTAGGTATCTAAAAAGGCAAATTTTATCGTTTTTTAACGAAAAAAAGGTCGTTCAAGGGCCTAAAATCCCAAAAAATAGCCAAAAGGATGCTATAAAGTACCAAAAAATGGCCAAAACTAGTGTTAACAGTGACCAAAACTAACCTCAAAAAACCAAAACTAGTATCAAAAAGACCAAAAAAAATAAAACAGCTACTGAACTCTCTAAAACGTCCAAAAAACAACAACTTACAATCCCTTTCTTGTCCTTCTTGCCCTTCTTTCGACCGAATAACGTGGCCTTGACGAACTTGACCACCTCTGCCATTCTTTCTGCAAAATGAACGCTCAATTCGTGGTTGGGGTAGTCTTTTTGGGAGGGACGCGTTTCTTTTGGGTTCAAACGCTTCGGCGAAAACCTTTTTTAAATGCCGCCGAATTAAACGAAAAAAATGCGCCGAAAAGGGGAGACTTGGCACGGTTGAGACAAGTTTTTCTCTATTGCTTGTTTTTAAGGAAAAAATTTAAATTTTGAAATTCAAGGCATGGGAAAATGAAAATAGGGGGTTCAAATTTTCTTTACTGATAAAAAGCGGCAAGAACTTTCTTTACAAATGAAAAATGTCAAATTTAAACGATTAAAGAAAAAAAGCAATAACTTTCTTTACAAACTAAAAAATGATAATAACTTTCTCTACAAATCAAAAAATGGCAAGAACTTTCTTTACAAATTAAAAAACGGCAAGAACTTTCTTTCCAAAACAAAAATGGCAAGAACTTTCTTTACAACTCAAAAAATAGCAAGAACTTCCTTTCCAAACTCAAAAATGGCTAAAACACGCTTAAAACCAGGTGTTTCCTTATTACCAAACAGCCCGATCTGGGTATATGATCTATATGTCTTTTACGTAATCGCCAAGTCTTATATTATAGTAGGAGAACGCGGCTTTTATTTGTATACGAATTGGCTAGGTGAGGTTAAGATTGCTTCAAAGGCGTTAATATGGACCCTTTGTTTGATTTTAACACGATTAATACATATATAAGCGCTTGAGTCTTCAACCTTCTTAAAATGGAAGCTGGATGGAAGATTTGTAATATAATTTGCACTGAAAATCTTCCACTCAACTTCCACTTTTAAAAAGTGTCAAAAAAGTGTTTTTAGGCCATTTTGAAAATGGAAGTTAAGTCGAAGATTTTCAGTGCAAATTACATTACAAATCTTCCCCTGAACTTCCACTTTCTGAAACATGCCATTTTCTGTTTTAAAATTAAAAATTTTACTATTTTGGTAATAAAAATTTAATTTCGGTAACGAAAACAATATTTATTTATAAATTATGGAGCAAATTTCATGATGAATATTAACTTATATTATGATTAGATATGTATTTCTGCTTTGCATTGGAAATGAGGAAGTTTTTAACTTTAACATCGAAAAATTAAGATTTTAAAACCTTTTGAATTAGAAATTTTTAAAAAACTTTTGGTTTAAACCTCCATTTTAAATATAAAATCTTAATTTTAGGTACAAATCTCCAAAAAAACCTCAATTCCAACGCAAACCCCTCTCAGTATTATACAAAATATAGAAAATATTGCTGAATTATCACAGTTTGGACCGGTGCAAAAGTTCCTGGAATAAAAAGTTATTTGATATGCTATGAAATGGCATTTCAGTCGTCGTTGGTTATGAAACGGTCGAGGAATTCGGTGTAGCCGAACTTGCACCCGTATTTCTTCGCGACTTCGGCGATGGCCTGGCGACGGCGTTGGTAGGGGGAGGTTTGACTGAAAATGACATAACTTAAAATGAATTTTCTGGAAAGCTCAAAATTTAAAAAAAATTTTAAATTTTAAAAAAATTTTGAAAAAGACATCGTTTCACAAAAAAATCTAAAATTTTCTAAATTTTTCGAATTTCAAACTCCAGACCAAACAAAATCATCACAAACTCACTCTACTTCCACCGCCTTCCTCCTAGATATGTTGGCTACAGTTTGTCTCAGCAAAGCTGGCAGCACCTCCACTGATACCACAATTCCATCGACTAGTGGTCCTGGCTGGCCGGCTTTGGTCCAGATGGCTTCGGTATGTACTTGTACTAGGCCTTCTTCAAAATTGTGTAGATAAATCAAATGGAGGTCAGCACGAAGTGACTTCAGATTCTGATTCATTCGTCGCGTACCGTCGTCTGTGGCCATTAAAAGTTGCTCTGAAACGAGAAAAGTCATGGAAACAAAGTTATTGCCGATTTTTTTGGACAAAATTTAATGTCGTTATAGTGATACTAATCTGGGCAAAGCCGTATTTTACCTACAAACAATAACGAAGCCCCAAATCGATCTAAATCACCATTAGCCCATCTATTCCCCAAGGATAATATAATTAGTCCTTACCGTATGGGAAATGATGTAGATCTTCAATTTTCTCCAACCATACGACTAAAACTCTTTGGTCTGGTGATCGTTTTGGTGTTGTACCATTAGTTCTGGCCTGATTCGAGGGTTGGCCGAGCTTTTGAGTTGATCCACATTCGCTGTTCACGGTGGAAGTTGATCTTGTCCTAGTTGCTGCTGTGGGTTGGGAAAGGTCACTGCTGCTGCAAAATTAATATTTATTAGTTCAATAGATACTGTAGTTTAACTATATTATCAAGAAAGTAAAAAATGAAGTTGAGTTATGACTGGTTTTTTAAAGGACCAGTTCGGATAACTTCTTTTGTCGCAAAGATTTTTTCGTTTTGGCTGTTGAACTTTTTTCGCGCCAAACGTGAGCGGGTACACTGGATAAATGATTTCCTTTATTCCAAATCGACTCGCTCACGTTTTGCGCCAAAAAAGTTCGCGCTTCCCTGATTGCCTGATCTGTTACAGAAAAGCCTGACAAAAGACTTATCCAAACTGGTCCTTTAAGAAAAAATTATAAAATGGCCATGATAATATAAATTTTGTCATTTTATGACCAATTTTGCACAAATCTTGATTCCAAATCAAATATTATGGTACAGCCATAATAGGTCGAGTCGTATTTTACAACCTCCCTTACCGTTTTCCACTAACAGCCCCACTGTCATCAGTTAACGACGAGCCTTCTCGAGAATGTGGAGCCAATGAAGATGATGTTGATGATGGCGTATATCCTACAAAATTTCACTTTAAAACGATAATTTAGTACAGAATGTGTCCGAAGCCCACGCCCTTTGTAAAATTGTAAAACTTTTTCAAAATCAAAATCGCAACGTCAAAGGTCGCCGAAGGAGTGAGCGTTAACAAAGGAATAGTCGGATTTTAGAAGGTTTAACCACAACGGTTTTAATATACTAATTCAGTCTCGAATTTTACTACCATGTGTAAAGTATTGTAAAATCAGTATTTTAAACTACTGTTTTACTTAGAGCTAAATCATATTGTCTTATACAAAGCAACATAAGGTACGAAAGAAATAAGCCTGAAAGCAATGTAAAACAATAGAAAAATGATTACTAAAGCATCAAAAGGCTGCGCGAGATCAACAAGATTATAAACATAATACAAGATTATAAAAAAAAACTTAGAAATCCCAAAATGTGAAAAAATCAGCCAACGTCGTCGCTACAGGTTTTGCCTGGAGAAGACTGAAGATGGCAGTGAAAGTCAAACAATTTTTTTAAGCCAGAAGGCTTACCAGTGGATTGTTTCGGCTCTGAAGTAGACATGAAGAAAAGGCCGAGCCCTGTCATCAGCCCGGGCCGAGCTTAAGCAAATTAAAAAACAAACCGAGCCTAAAACTCAGGCTCGGCACGATCCTCATGTCTACTCTAGAAGATAGACATGAGGAACTGACCCAATTTTCACGCCCGGCCCGATCAAAATTTTGCTCAAACCCGTCCCAAATTTTTATTCGCCTAAAGGGGCCGGGCCCATTCCTCATGTCTAATGGAAGAAGGTGAAAGGAGGAGAAAGGGGGGGGAGAGAGATATGTAAATTTCCCCCATTTCTTAAAGATAACAAAACACAAAGAAACTCAAAAAGAATCAAAAATAGATCAGAAACCACAATAATCAGCAAGAAAGAATAAAAAAGTATCCCAAAAAGCCTCAAAAATAGATCAAAATAAACAATAATCAGCCTAGAAGAATAAAAAAGTATCTGAATACCATCAAAATAAGCATAATCATTAAAAATAATCTCGAGAAGAAAAACAGCTGCCCAAAAACTTTGAAGAGTAGTATAGAGAACTACAAAGAAACCTCATACATGGCCCCCGTTGGTCTGGCAACGTTATGGAGATAGCACAAGCAAAAAGGTTACAAGATAAGAGAACATAAAAGCAACAAAACACAAGCCTAACTTTGCACACAAGCCTAATTTTGCAACACAAGCCTGACTTTGCAACACAAGCCTAACCTTAAAACACAAGCCTAATTTAGCAACACAAGCCACTGATACATTTGAGAAGCACGGCACAGTATTTTACCCTTCCAATGTACCTTTCTGTTCTTTTGAGCTTTGCGAAGGCATTCGAGGGAACATTTCCTCCAGCTCTTCCTCAGTCACTTCACTTAACGTTTTTAGCATCGGTTCGGGCTTGGCAAAGGACCCGCCCGCCGAGTCTTCCGTGTTTTTCCGCTTGAAGAAGCTCTTGATGTAGCTGAAGGAGCTTTGTTGAGTTAATGGTGTAGGTGTGGCTGGCTTGGTCGGCTTTGTTTTTGATGTTGTTGGACTTGCCGGTGTTGTAGTGGATGATTGACTAGATGGGGACTCTTTTGAGGTCTGGCTAGTTGGAGATGTTAGTTTTAAGTTTTGTCCTGAAGCCATTTTAGCGTTTCGACTTTCTTGTAGTCCAATTTCAGCCGCCATTTTCCATTTATTCTTTGGTGAAGCTGCCATTTGAAGTTTACTTTTCGGTGAAGAAGTAGATTTGTTCTGAGTGGCCGTACCCAACTGCGCTAGTCCAGTTCTTTTTTGGCTAGCCGTTAGGGACAGATCGTTCTCAAAATATCTGTCGTATTTGGATGACTTTGAGTACTGTCTATCCCGTACTTTCTCGTACCTTGGGTTAGTTTGTGCTCTATTCCGTGGACTATCGTTTGGACTGGCTATACCTGTCGAAGCTCTGTCTGATGGTGAAGATAAGCCCATAGAATCGATAGAATTTGTTGATGGAGACGTGTAGCGGCGTTGAATACCTTTGTCATAGTGTTTTAGAGTATCTTGGTCCGCAGCTTTCAGTGTTTCAGTATCGTACTGTCTTACGGATTCTGATTTTCCGGCAGTACCGTGTAGCTTTTCATACCGTCTTACAGGATTCGATCCTGCAGTATCTTGTCTTTCTGTGTCGTAATGACCTACAGAATTTCTTCCTGCAGTACGATATCTCGATCCATCCTCATTCTCGTACTCGTTATCAATATTCGGTCGATTTGTGATTAGCGTGTTCGGTGCTACGCTCATTTGTAGTGACATGTTCTTATTCAACGCGGAATCTGAAGTTTTTCTCGTCGTGTTTTCCGGAGTGGTATACCTAGTATAATCCACCGTTTTCTGCCGTGCTAAAATCCTCGCCCTTGCCGTTGGACTAAACCTAGCGGATCGTGGTGGCTCAGTAGATCCTGGTGTTGGACCGACGTCGATACTCAACATACCGGGATGTATGGATACTGTAGAGCCTAAAGATGCCATCATGTTACGCTTATGAATCGTATCGTTGTAGTCGCTGATGATGGATTCTGAATCATCGACCGGTAGTAGATTGTCTTGATGAATCAGAAGGCGCTGTGAGGGTGAGATTTGTGGTCGATTCACCTTTACCATGGCTTCGCCAACGTTAATATGCAATTGTAAACAGTTAACTAAAGCAACAAAAAGCCGGTTACGGTGACGATGGGCACGCAAAAAACTGCGACATTGTTGCAGAAAAATCAAAATTTTTCGGATTTCAAATTTTTAAAATTTTCAAAAATCAACACGAATTTTAATAGGACATCAAGTTAGTCACATCTACAATATACAAACACTAAAATACAAAAAAAAATCTTACAATGTCAAATTTTCAAACATTTTTCAAACCCCCCCCCCTTAAAAAATTTTGTTTCAACCCAAACCCATGCCCAGCCCAAAAACCCTCAGATCACCCGTCCCCATCCACCTACTTGTAACTTGTTTAGCCGGAACCGAGTACGAATCTTCCTTAACATCACCGTGTATGTACTGCAGATTCCTCTGTAGACTTCGCTCCGACGGTAGTTGATAAGCAATCTCTAATTGTGAATCCGACCACCAGATGCAATTCTCCAGCCCATCTAAACTATGACTTTCGGATTCGGAAGTCCGTGAAAACGGATCCGAATCCAGCGACGGTGGTGGTGAAAAGGCCGTCTGCCAATGTCCAGTCCAGAAGCCCGGCTCCCTGGTCCTTCTTATCCTGCCTAGCCTTGAAATTAAGCCTACGAAAGATTTTGACGTTGTTTCCAGATGCTCCGTGTTCTTCAGAATCTCCGAAAAGCTGCGTTGGCCGCGGCGAACGTAGAAGATCGAGACGGTTTCGCATTTTTTGGCCGGTTGACGGTCGATTTGGCAGTGAAGAGCATCGAAAAAGTCAGTTGTATGAGTGGAATCTAGTGCTATCAAGTCTTGGCCAAATGTTTTTCTGTCGAGTAGACCCATATCGTAGAGAAATACTCGGACTGCGTTGCATTTTTTGAATGGTCTGAAAATTTGAGGGTCATGGATAATATAATTGAAAATCTTGCTAAAGTGTTTAAATAAAAACTCAAACTCGTGCATAATAATAAACTACAGTAAATTCTACATCGTATAGAACAAGAATAGTCTATTTTCATTTAGTATCAAAAAAGAAATAGCAGTATTTTGAAAGCCAATCGATAAATTTGAAAATTTGAGGGTCAAGAATAATATAATTAAAAATTTTCCAAAAATGTTAAATTAAAACGCTTGAATTTGTACATAATAATGTACTACAGTAAACTCTACATCATTTGCAACAAGAATTGTCAATTTTCATTCAGTATTAAAAAAGTTATGGCAATTTTTTCCCAGCAACCGTTTAAAAAATCAAAAATTTAGTCTCATGGTTAATATAAAACACCTCATAACTCTTTTAACTTTCCTCAAACTTTCAAATTCTTTTTCTACCACACACCTAAAACAAAAACCTTTTCAAAAACACCAAAAACTTACTCCGCTGGTTTTGGACTGGCGCACAATTCGCTGTCCAACGACGCCGTGCTCCAGACATTCTTCTGATCTCTGTCGCTGAGAGGAGACACAGCTCCTTCGGCCAATCTCTTTCGTATTTTAGACAATTCGTCTTCGACTTGTTTCGACTGGTCGGTTGGGGGTTTTTGCTGTATATTCTTGTCCAATTCACACTCGATTTTGAAGCATTCGGCCGGGATTTCGGCCTTATGTTTGGGTGGTTTTGGGGCTGTTTCTTGGTTATCATTGACTTTTTCGATTAAAACTCCATTTTTGTCGGTTATTTCTAAAAAAATATTTATTATTTTTTATTTTTCAACGCGAAGCTACCAGAAACGTATTTTAACAAAAAATTTTATAAAAAATTAAAATTTAGGTAACACAAGAAAAACACCTTTTATCGTATAACTTGTCCCTTTTTTAGCATAAAATCGCCTAAAATTCAAAAATATAAAAAAAAGATAAAATATTGTTACCTATTCGATTATTGTTCAAAACATCAGCATTCTCATCATATTCCACTCGACTCTTCAGTTGTACCAACGTAGCATGAGCCGGTTGATACGGTGTTCTACAGACCATAACCACAGTCGGCTGACCATTGCTGACAAAATCCGCATGTGTTAAATTGTGAACACTCAGAAGACTAAATTTGTCCACAATAAAGTGTTGAAAGCCCTTTAATGAGACATTATCATCGCCAAGCTTCCGTATCACACTATGTTCATCTACCATTGTCATACAGTCGTTTGCGCCCTGGAATGGTAACAATTGATTTTATTACTTAAAAATGGCAATAACTTTCTTCACAAGTTAATAAAAGTCAAAAACTTTCCTTACAAAACCAAAAAAATGGCCAAAAAATTAACTGCACGGTGCAAAAATTGTTCAAAATGTTACAGTAACCTTATTAGCGGATCAAAATAAAAATTGTTTAAGATATAAAAAAACTAATAGCATTTTCTTTAAAAATTTTTAAAAAATTCCAAAATTTCAATTTGGAAAAAAGGTATTGCCGTTTTAAAAAGTTTTGCACCGTGCAAAAAAATAAAACTTTAAAAAAGCCTTTAAACCTTAAAAATAGCTAAAAAAATTAGTTTTTAAGCCTATGTCAATATAAAATGTCATTTGTTAATAAAATTTTTAAAATTAAAAAAATTTCAAAATGTTACAGTAATCAGCTAAAACCTACCACACTTCCAAACAGTGTATAATGAAGAGATTCGGCAGCATCGTGCACCCTCTGACTCGCTGGCTTATACTGTTCAGTACTTAACCCTGTACCACCAGTCATTCCGAACTCTACCGTATTGGCTACAGTAGAAATTACGGATTCAACTTCGGCTAGGATTGGCGCGGCACATAGCCAAACTTCGAGAGATTGAAACGCTGCCACAACTGATGAATGTAGGTCGCGAGAATGGAAGGGAGGTGGCTTCTGAAGTTGTGAATTGACGAATCGACATAAGGATGATAAGATTAGAGTTCCTGTGGAGTGGTCGCCTGAAATGGTATAAGATTATTAAAAATGTCGCTGCCAATGCATTTTTTAAATTTTCCACCCCACCTTTTACATCTTTTTGCTAAAAGTTTTAAACCTGCTAAAAATTTTTATAGCCCCACCCCCCCCTCTAGAAATTTTACCCCTCCCTTGAAATTTTTTTCTTATCTCAAAAAATTTTTTTCACTTCCGTTAAAAAAAAATTTGTTACCCCACCTTCAAAATTTTTTACCCCACCCCAAAAAACATTTTCAAACCACCCCTAAAAATTTTTTTACCCCTCCCCAAAAAAAACTTTTCCACCCCTCCCTTACCTTCATAAAACAACAGTTTTGTAGGCAGCGTTGACAACGCATTGAGGCAATCAAAGGCTGCCAATGACGTTCCCAGCTCGGCGCACCACTGAGGCTTGCATAAGTTGTCACAAACGGCCGAAATGGTCTGCCTTAGGGCCGAAACGGCAAAAACTTTCTCTTCGTCCAAGCTTTCAATCTCATAATTCGCATTTTCAGCACAAAAGCTATGACATAGGCCTAGGGCTAGCTGTAGATTCATGGAATCCGTTTCGTTCCTCAGGGCATAGACCAGAGTTCTTAAGATTCTCGGTCGTAGCTCGTCGTATTTCATGCCCACGCCCAAGACATTGTTATTGCCTTTGGTTAGAGACACACCCTCATCAAAAGCGGTGATTTTGTCTTGGCCGAATGTGGTTGGCCATGCTATTACTGAAGCTAAGGCCCTGAGGCAGGAGTGGCGCATATCTATTTCGTTGATCGAGGGGTGCAACCTGCAAGGTTTTAGTATAATATTGATAACCAAAGTGACCAAAAACATTACCTTTCAGCTAAAAAACACCCTTTTAATACCTATTTCATCAACTTTTTCCTCAAAAACCCTATATTACCCTACCTTAACTTGAAAGATTCAGTCAGTAGAATGTCGATAGCTGTAACATAGTTCGGCAAAAGTATTTCCACTCCATTTAGACCCAATTTAAACAACTCAGTACTGTAGAATACCAAAGAACACAGCATCAATCTGTCCCGTTCCACCAAAGCTTCATGTAATACCACCAAGAACTGAGCCATTTGCTCTTCAGGTATGACTTCATTCGAAGACTTTGAACATACTATCCTGCACAATGCTCCAATAGCTGCCGATTTACCGGCTGAGACGCCATCGACCGCTGGGATTGTGGAGGGATCAACCGAACTGTTACTATAGGCTGTTGTGTTATGTTGTGATATGTCACTGGCTGAGTTGGCGCTGCCAGCTAAAATTGTGGGTATGAGAATAGGCAGTACGAAGGAGCAGCATATTATGGTTTCAAATTTTTTTTTATTTTAAAATTTAATTTTTTAATCAAAAAAGCCTCTTTGCCCCCTTTTTAACCCCCCAAAAATCACCTTTCTCCCCCAGGAAAATCAAAAAATCACAATGATCCGCCCCCCAAAATTAAAAAAATCAACCATGGTATTACTCTCCAGAGTTTTCTACATCATATAATTATAACATTTTTTAAAATTACTAAGATGGTTATATTGAAAAATGCCATTAAAAAACCACATATTACCCAAAAATCCCCTTGATCCCATAAAAATTAAAAGATAACTTTGATCCGCCCTCTAAAAATTAAAAAATTGGCTATCATATTAATCACGAGAGTCTTTTAAATCACATAATCACAACTTTTTTTAAAATTACTAAGCTAGTCATAGTGAAAAATGGCATTAAAGTCGGCCCACTCACCAAAAGATCGCCGAGAAACCGGCCCATCCGTGCTCATTTGTGGATCCAATTCGACTGAACTTAACGATCGCTGGCTTATTACATCTGAAAAAATTTTATTTTAAATTTAAAAACTTAAAAAATGTTTAAAAAATTTATTTTTTCAGGAAGGGTTAAAAAGGTCGTATTTTACACTGAATTTTCGCTTTTTAAGGTAAAAACTATAGGTTTAGGTAACATTTTAGATCCTTTTTCATTAAACAATACGTTTTTAAACTAAATTTCAAACAAAAATGACATTATTGCCACACTTTATTGAATTTGAATTTGTTCGCGCTGTTTTCATCGCAAAAACCGATAAAATGCCCGAGGGGAAAACGGAAGAACGTAACTGTTTTTACGTAAAGTCAAAAGAATACTTGACTTTTTTGCTTTAACAAATATCATAACAATGTGGGCAATGCGAGCTAGACATATTTACTTTTCTAAAGATTTTTTTAAATTATAAAATTGAAAAAGGATTTTGCACGGTGCAAATAATTTTCAAAATGTTACAGTAACCTTTTAAGTTTACGAAAATAAAAAGTCAAATTAAATATAAAAAGAATGGCATTTAATTTATTAAGTTCAAAAAAATTTAAAAATTTCATTTTGGAAAAAAAAGTTATTGCCGTTTTAAAAATTTTTGCACCGTGCAAAATTTTTTTAAATGCCAATTTTTTTTTCAAAATGAAATATTGTTAAAATTTTTAAATTCATTAACATAATAACCCTAATTTTTTAAATTTTAAACAATTTTAATATTGTTTAGCGTAAAGAGTTACTGTAGCTTTTTGAAAAATTCTTGCACCGTGCAAAATCCTTTTTCAATTTTATAATTTAAAAAAATCTTTAGAAAAGTAAATATGTCTAGCTCGCATTGCCCACATTGTTATGATATTTGTTAAAGCAAAAAAGTCAAGTATTCTTTTGACTTTACGTAAAAACAGTCACGTTCTTCCGTTTTCCCCTCGGGCATTTTATCGGTTTTTGCGATGAAAACAGCGCGAACAAATTCAAATTCAATAAAGTGAATGAAATTTTAAGAAATTTTTGGAAATTAGTAAAGAAAATGCCATTCTTTTTTTACATTTTGATCAAATTTTATCTACGTAATCTTAAAAAATTACAGTAACATTTTGAAAATTTTTGCACGGTGCAACCTCCCAAAAACCCTCATTCCCGATGAAAAACCTTTAAAAATTCATTTTAAAATCCCGTAAAAGTTCGAAGTTTCAAAAAGAATTAAAATTCGAAACCCATTCTTTCCCGATTCCATGGAAAAATTACAAAAATAAAAGCGATGGTCGCCGCAAAACAAACAAAATATATACACCTTGGTATTGGGAAAAGCGCTCGAAATTAGAGGGAAAATCCTCCATTTTTTGCTCGTAAAAACAAAACCAGAAGAGTCGTTAATGACATTAAATAATGGCATTCATTACATTCGATGGGGTTATATCTTATTGTATTATAAATGATTCATTTGAAGGCGTGATTTTAAGCCTAAATATGGTTTTACGACTAAAATTGGGGCCTTAAGCCTAAAATATAGAACTATATTAGGCTTTACGTTAAGAACAAAATTCATATCCTGGGCCTGATAGTAATAGCTTAAGCCTAAAGTTCCTGTATTATACCAAAAAATTAAAAAAAGTCAAAAAATAAGCCTAAAATTAATACCTTAAACCTAAAAACGTTTTTAAGCCTAAAATTGACGTCCTAATCCTAAAAATCACGCTTTGGGAATAACCTCACGTTTTAAGCCTAAAAATTACACCTTAAGCCTAAAGATGATATCTAATAGTCATATCGGAAACCCATACTTCATTCCTTAGGCCTAAATTGCATAACATAACCCTTAAAATCATACCTCAAGCCTGAAAATCATACCTTTAACTTAAAATAATAACAGAAGCCTAAACATCATATTTTAAGCTTAAAAGTTACAGCTTAAGCCTAAAGGTACTAGTTTAAGCCTAAAAGTAATATATTAAGCCTAAAAGTCATCATTTAAGCCTAAAATTAAGCCTAAAACTCATACCGTAAGCCTAAATTCATATTTTAAGCCTGAAACCCTCTCTTTACGCCTAAAAACGTTCATCAGCAAAACTAGCACTCCTTAGGCTTAAAAATCACAAAAAAACTCATAGTTTAAGCCAAAACTTTTAATCAAATTCAATTTGTAAAATACGAAACAAGCACCACAACGCGATGAAAGTTCAATTTTCCTAAAGAAAACCCTATAAAACACAAAAACACCAATAATAACAGATACAAAACAGACAAAACAAACTAATAATCAAACTTTCCATTAATTTTCCCCTAATTCCCTCAGGAAAAACAAAAAAATCCACGTGAAACAACGGAAAAACAAGATTTTTACCTATATTAACATGTACATCTCTATAGTGACGGAAAGGGAATTCAATATGCTTGAGTGATTCGAATGAATAACTTCATCTTCAAAAAAACTTTTTTTTGTAAAAAATTATTTATTTTTGACGCCAAGCGCGCCCTTTCTCTATTGTACGGGTGTGCAGGCTGCGGAGACATGTTATACAATGGATTTTATAAGCTTTTATTGATAAAAAGGTCAAAAGTTGGTTGATACTTGAATAGTATGTTGTAGAAAAGCCTTAGGTTTGATTTAAATCCAATTTTTATTCAAAAAATTTCGAATTTTTAAAAAATTTAAAAAAGTTTGAAATTCTTACTTCTAGAAATTTTTCTAGCGTTCACTTCCGTACTAGGTTGATTTCCCATAGCATTTTTACTCAATACAATCTAATAATACAATGATAATAAGCCAAAACGACCAATAAAATTAGGTTTAGTTAAAAAATCGGTATATTACACTAGGTGTTTGATGAAAAAATGATCGAAAAGCTGAAAAATAAGTCTAGCAGTTAAAAATTTTTAATAAAATAAAATCTCCAAACTTTAGGCTTTAAAATAAGCTTCAAAATGGGTAGATATAAGCCTTATTTTCTAAGTTATGAGCCGTTGAATTTTAGAATCAACCGATATTACACCAGATGGTTCATAGAAAAATAGTCAGAACGGCCAAAACTAAGTAAAATTGGTAAAGTCTTTTAATATTATAGAATCTCTAGACCTAGTGCTTTAAAATAAGCCTAAGAACATCTAGGTTTAAGGCTTAGTTTTATAGTTACACCTTGTTTTAGTGCAAAATTCCGGCCAAAATGGCTTAAAAACTGAAGGTGCCAAGTTAAAAACTTATTACTAGCTGCTGAATATAAGCAGTCCAAAATGGTGCTGCTAATAGGAATGGCAATAGAAAATCCTTCAAAATCCAACAAGAACAATATAGATACCGTCTAGGGTAATATGAATATTGACAGAATATAGTAAAAACGAACCCTGTAACCGTTGCGTTTGTTTTGTCTCGTAATTTGAAAGTTTTCTTTTACCTCCCGATTCCCCCCCCCCTCTTTTTTCCGATTTCACTAAAAGTTTTTATGATTTCGTAACAAAACTGTGCCTGCTACTGGTATAATTGCCGGTGTTTAACCCGGATTGCCGCCGGAGTTAAGCCTATGCGCTGGGTAAGGTAGGGTATACTAAGCTTGGGTAGGTTACAGTAGGGTAGGATAGGGTAGGATAGGGTAGGGTAGGTAGTAAGCCTAAATTTCATTTTTAAGCCTAAAATTTATAACTTGAGCCTAAAAAGCAATTTTAAGCATAAAAATAATCATTTAAGCCTAAAATTCGTTTCTTAGCCTCAAAATCATAATTTAAGCCTATTTATTCATTTTTAAGCTTAAAAATCATAACTTAAGCCTAAAAATCGATTTTAAGCCTAAAAATCATAACTTAAGCCTAAAAAGCAAGTTTAAGCATAAAAATCATCATTTAAGCCTAAACTTCATTTCCAGGCCTAAAAATCACCATTTAAGCCTATTTATTAACTTTTAAGCCTAAATTTCATTTTTAAGCCTATATTTCATTTTTAAGCCTTAAAGTCATATCTTAAGCCTAAAATACCATTTTAAATCTAAAAAACATCATTTAAACCTAAAGATTAATTTTCAAGCCTAAAAGTGATTTTTAAGCCTAAACTTCCACATTTTCTTATTGTCATGACACATAAAAAGTATTGTTAAAATGGGAACAAAACGCAAACGCAGCCGGTTACAGAATAAGTTTTTGGCTTTGAATTGGTATTGGAATAATATATATTCATTTAAAATATCACTCCATAACAATGTTTTCGCTTTTGTTGGTGATTAAAAATGCACACAAACTAGTCCATGTCAATCGGGGGGAGACAGAACTATTATACGTTAATATAGGGTTACTAAGACTAAAAATGGGGTCGACTAGGCTTACATGACATTCTAAGACTAAGGAGTAAAAAAATGCCAAAAAAAGTCAAAAGCTTAGGCTTAGAGTGCTTCATACCTAACGCCTAGCTGTCATATCGTAAGAATATTTGCCTTATCGGAGACTTAAGCACCTTGGCTAAAGCCTAAAAGTCATTTGTTAAGCCCAAACATCACATCTTAAGCCTAAAGTCATAGCTTAAGCCCCAAAGTCATACCGTACGTTACGCCTAAGAGTCGTGTCATAATCCTAAAACTAATGTCGTAAGCCTAAAAGTCATGCTTTAAGCCAAAAGTTCATATCTTTTAAGATAAAGTCTAAAAGTCATATAATAAGCCTCAGAGTTATGTGTTAAGCCTAAAAGTCATATATTATGCCTAGAACTCATATCTTAAGCCTAAAAATCATGTCATAATCGTAAAATTCATAGCTTAAACCTAATAGACAAAGCATAAGCCTAAGATAGTTTTTAGGCCTAAAAGTCATGTCTTAATCCTAATAGTCAAAGCATAAGCCTAAGATAGTTTTTAAGTCTAAAAACCACAGTTTCATTTTGGAAAGTCATATCATAAACCCAAAAATTGAGTTTCAAGTCTAAAATACAAGTTTACAATGAATCTTTAAAGTTGAGCCTAAACAACCATGCCTGGTGCTAAAAATTTGCATTTAAATAAAATCAACTACACGCTTCCCAACCCCATTATTCTAAAAAGCGTAAGGCTTTTATGAATAAAATATATAAATTAAGAAGCAAAAAAGTAGTTTTACTCCACTCTCCTCGCCACCTTTTTCAAGGTCACAAACCTCAATCGAAAAAGAAAACAAAAGTCGAAAATCGGCTTAAACTATCTACTATAACCATGTCTATTGCACTCACAAAGCAACATTGTTGCCATTTTACGAGCCCTATAAAGGGGTACGACCTTTTAAAAAAGTGGAAGTTGAATGGAAGATTTGTAATGTATTTTGCACTAAAAATCTTCCACTCAACTTCCACCTTCAAAATGTCTTAAAATGACCTAAAAACACGTTTTTAACGTTTTTTAGAAGTGGAAGTTGGGTGGAAGATTTATAATGTAATTTGCACTGAAAATCTTCCACCGTTCTTCCACTTTTTTAAAAGCCATGAAAAGGCTTAAAAACACTAAAAATATAAAAAATCTACCTTCACTATACTTCCGTTGCGTGGGAGAGGCAGGAACACGGGCCGAATCCCGTAACCAGGGTAACATCAGATTCAGAAGAGTTGACGCTGATGGCTTTTTGTCCGGATTTCCAATTGATTGATGAAATTTGTTGCCTAAAACACACAGTTTTTAATTTTTAAAATGATTTTAGGCTCATTTGCATTCGGCTTAAAAGCGTAGAGTTTCTTAGGCGTAGTAGGCTTAGGCTTAGTAGGCTTAGGCTTAGTAGGCTTAGGCTTAGTAAGCTTGGGCTTAGTAGGCGTAGGCTTAGTAGTCTTAGGCTTAGTAGTCTTAGGCTTAGTAGGCTTAGGCTTAATAGGCTTAGGCTTAGTAGGCTTAGGCTTAGTAGGCTTAAGTTTAGTAGGCTTAGGCTTAGTAGACTTAGGCTTAGTAGACTTAGGCTTAGTAGGATTAGACTTAGTAGGCTTAGAGTTAGTAGGCTTAGGCTTAGTAGGCTTAGGCTTAGTAGGCTTAGGCTTAGTAGGCTTAGGCTTAGTAGGCTTAGGCTTAGTAGGCTTAGGCTTAGTAGGCTTAGGCTTAGTAGGCTTAGGCTTAGTAGGCTTAGGCTTAGTAGGCTTAGGAGGATTACTAGTATAAAGCACTATGTATAATAGAACTAATAAATACTGCACAACCGTACTATAACAGTACACAATGCACAAATGAACCTATTATACTAAGTAACTGACGCGCCGAGTTACGCAACGCGCAAACTTTTTCTCAAGTTAATACAGTAAAGTAACGCTTAATGCACTTATATTGTAAAATAACGCCCATTAGGCTTAGGCTTGGGCTTGTATTTCGTAATGGCACACAATATTATGCTATATATAGGCTTACTACTCAGTAACTACTTCATTTTTACTTAGGTATGAGCTAGGATAGGGTAGCTAGTTTTGTTTTTTCTATTAGTATCGGGTCAGTACTAAATTTATTTTGGGTGGATTTTTTTTTATTTTGTTTTGGGTTGATTTTTTAAAAAATTTTTATCGGGGGTGGACTTTTTTATAAAATGTTTTTTGGGGTGTATTTTTATAAATTTTTTTTGGGGGTAGATTTTTTAAAAAATTTTTTTTGAGTTATTTTTTTTATTTTTTGGGGTTGATTTTTTTTTAAATTTTTTATGGGGGTGGATTTTTTTAAAAGTTTTTTTTGAGTTGATTTTTTAAAATTTTTTTTGGGGGGTGTATTTTTATAAAAATTTTTTTTGGAGGTAGATTTTTTTAAAATTTTTTTGGGGTAATTTTTTTTTATTTTTTGGGGATGATTTTTTTTTACGTTTTTTTGGGGTGTGTATTTTTATAAATTTTTTTTGGGGTTAAGTTTTTTTTTAATTTTTTTTTGGGGGTGTATTTTTTTAAAAATTTTTTTGGGGTAATTTTTTTTTAATTTTTTGGGGTTGGTTTTTTTTTAAATTTTTTTTGGGTGGATAAAAAAAATTTTTGGTTTGGGTAATACTTACTAAATTTATAAGACTAGGTTAAGATATTAAGCTAGGTGAGGATTCTTAAAAGTTAGGGAACCAGAAAAATCACTTTAGTCTAGAACAAGGTCGGCGTGGGACTGTCACAATTTTTTTTACAAAAATTTTTTATTTTTTCGCTCAAAAATGACAATCCAACGTTCTTTGAGTATCTCCGCTCCAAGGGCGGGGTATATCTCAATGAAAAACGACCAAAGCTCTAGATTTTAGTAAGGATTCTGAAGTCGCTAAGACCGGGGGAGGGGTGGTGCGCGCTCCAAAAACCTATTGTGTCTCTACTTGCCTATACCTCCAATTCCCATGTCTTGATCTCGGCTAAAGGTGTCCTTGGCGCTGCCTTCAGAAAGCAGCTTAATACACCGTCTGAATGTCGGATGAGTAGAAAGGGATTGGCAGTGATGGCGGGCTCGGATTCGCGATACGGTTCTTGGAGCGGTGGCGGCGCGCGCGATCAGCCCGAAATGTACCATTTCGGCTGAACTCCCCAGTTCGGTTGGGCCCGACCGAACATGGGGAGTTCAGCTGGGAAATGGTACAGAGTAGGGCTGGGACTCCTCTCCTCTTCTTCACATATGGTAAAGATGAGGAGAAAAGATCTTCTCTTCTTCACAGAGGCCTCTCTTCTTCTTCACAGATGATGAAGAAGAGGAGAGGAGATGGTGAAGAAGAGAAAACAGAAGAAGAGAAGAAGAAGAAGAAAAAGAAGTTGAAGGAGATGAAGAAAAAAAAGAAGAAAAAGAAGAAGAAGAAAAAGAGAAAAAAGAAGAAAAAGGAAAAGAAGAAAAAGAAGAAGAAAAAGAAGAAAAAAGAAGAAGAAGAAAAAAGAAGAAGAAAAAGCAAAAGAAGAAGAAGAAAAAAAAAGAAGAAAAAGAAGAAGAAAAAGAAAAAGAAGAAAAAGAAAAAAGAAGAAGAGAAAGAAGAAGAAGCAGAGTCCCTATTCATTTAGGTCTCCCTAACTTAGAATAAACCCGAGTACAAATACATACGGCTTTTATAATACGAATTTTCGTGTGCCATTTCAGTACACATATTGTAGTTGCGTAACTATAAGCGTCAATTATATTACGTTCGTTTGTGTGTTGTGCACTGGTTTTTGTATGTTTCTATACTGATCATCGTAAACCTAGGCTTAAAATTGATTCTAAGTTAAGCCTAAACTTAAGCCTAAGTCTGTTAGCCTAAAAAAAAGAATAAAATTAAACATAAGCCTAAAAATAAACCTAAAATTAAGCCTAAGCCCGATTAAGCCTAAGCCTAAAAATAAGCCTAAAATTAAGCCTAAGCCTAAAATTAAACATAAGCCTAAAATTAAGCCTATACCTAAAATTAAATTAAAGCTTAGGCTTAGTAGGACTAGGCTTAGTAGGCTTAAGCTTAGTTAACTTAGGCTTAGTAGGCTTACTAAGCTTAGGCTTAGCAGGCTTAGGCTTAGTAGGCTTAGGTTTAGTAGGCTTAAGCTTAGTAGGCTTAGGCTTGGTAGGCTTAGGCTTAGTAGGCTTAAGCTTAGTTAACTTAGGCCTAGTAGGCTTAGGCTTAGTAGGTTTAGGCTTAGTAGGCTTAGGCTTAGTAGGCTTAGGCTTAGTAGGCTTAGGCTTAGCAGGCTTAGGTTTAGCAGGCTTAGGTTTAGTAGGGTTAGGCTTAGTAGGCTTAGTAGGCTTAGGCTTAGTAGGCTTAGGCTTAGCAGGCTTAGGTTTAGTAGGCTTAGGCTTAGTAGGCTTAACCTTATTAGGCTTACGCTTAGTAGGCTTAGGCTTAGTAGGCTTAGGCTTAGTAGGCTTAGGCTTAGTAGGCTTAGGCTTAGTAGACTTAGGCTTAGTAGGCTTAGCAGGCTTAGGTTTAGTAGGCTTAGGCTTAGTAGGCTTAACCTTATTAGGCTTAGGCTTAGTTGGCTTACGCTTACCATACTTTTTCTTGCTAGGCTTAGGCTTAGAAGATCTTAAACATAATAAACTAGGCTTAAAAGACTTTGTCTTACTAGGATATGGCTTACTAGACTTATGCTTGTTAGGCTTAATCTTAGTAGGCTTAAGCTTGCCTTAGCCTTTAGTTTAGGTGGCCTCAGGCTTATAAGCTTTAAGCTTAAAAAGCTTTAGAAGCTCAAGTTTTTTAGGCTTAAGCTTAATAGTGCTACTCTTAGAGGCCTTACGCTTAGTAACATTAAGGTTAAGAGCTTTAGGCTTTTTTTTTAAATTCGCAACACCTATTTCGTCTAAAAACCTACATTTAAGAACGTTCCAAACCAGTTGATTAGGCTTCAAGATGCTATGAGATTCCACAGAGCCCGAACCGACGCTTTGCTCAAGGATAATGTCGGTTTGTAGGCTTACAGCATGATGTAAGCCAGCTTTGGCCGAAAACTTGGCATTGCGATTCGGCACTGGACTAGGATTGACGATTGGCTTTCCTAAGCTGCCGTTTTTGGCTAAAACATTGGTTATTAAACCGTGAAACAGCAATTAGGTGCCGACATAAAGAACCCGCCACTTTTTGCAGGAAATTCCAGGCAAAGTATGGCGGGTTCTTTATGTCGGCGCTTAATAAAACTTTTAAATTAAACTGGCTAGGCTATGTCAATATAAAATAGCATATCTAACTCAATATAAACGCCCTTAGGCCTTACCTGACCCCTGGCTATTCATAGCAATTTGAATTTTCTTCAAATTGCCACTTTGATGCTGCACACTGGTCAAAGTCGACTGACTCTCCTCATTTTTATCGACCGCGGTCGAAAAGTTCGAAGAAGTTGTGGACATATTACTCTGCCTTTGAAACCTGGTACCATTGCTACTGGTACCATTCACATTTTGGTACTCTATGCATTGTGCCATAATGTCATCATTTTCGTGCAAATCCAGGGATACTGTAACATCGGCGTTGAAAATGCTGACAATTCGTGCCATAATCTCGAGTGTTAGGAAGAATGACAGGCCAGCCTGTTCTGCTACGACTAGGCCTAGATTTGGACTGGTACCGTTTTCGAGGCAGATTTTCTCGGCTTGGCCTGGGATTTTTGAGACATTGCCGAAGAGGGTGAAAAGCTGCCACCAAATCTCTTTTAGGTCACTTAGATCGATATTGTTGTAGATGTCATCAGCTGAAATTTAAATTTTTTAGAAAAAAATGGCAAAAACTTTCTTTACAAAACCAAAAATAGCAAGAACTTTGTTTACATTAACTAAAATGACGCATTTAAAAAAGTGGAAGTTGGATAGAAGATTTGTAATGTATTTCGTTAAAATGACCTAAAATCACGTTTTCAACAATTTGTAAAAGTTGAAGTTAAGTGGAAGATTTTCAGTGCAAAATACATTACAAATCTTCCACTCAATTTCCCTCTCTAAAATGTGTAAAAAACGTGTTTTTAAGTCATTTTAAGACTTTTTAAAAGTGAAAGTTGAGTGGAAGATTCTCAGTGCAAAATACATTACAAATCTTCCACACAACTTTCACTTTTCAAAAACTTCCAAAATGCTCAAAATGACTATAAATGTCATAAAAAGGAACTTACTGAGCTTGATATCGCAGTAATCTTCACCAAAGCTCTTTTTTACCACTATAACGGTCAAGGCCAACAGCTTTCTTCCCCACCATTCGATGACTGGGACCTGAAAAGTGATGACATTTCTATTTGTAGGAGTAATTCATGACATTTTATGTTCTAGAATAATATGAAATGCCATTTTTATTAGACTCAAGTACTTACATGAGTAATCCATTGCTGAGCATTGATTGATAGCATTTTCCAGTAAGATTTAGTAGGTATGCGGCCTTGAATAGCGGCCACAACCCAGCAGTCGAAGAGGTTTTCGGATAAATCACCTGCCATTACACTGCCCAGCTCATCTGAAATCAAAATATAATTAGTCTTGGCCTAGCCTAAACCTAAGTCTAAGCCCTAGCCTAAGCCCTATCTTAAGCCCTATCCTAAGCTCTAGCCTAAGTCCTAACCTAAGCCCTAGCCCAGAGCCCTAGCCCTAGAAATGAGTACCTAAGCCTAACATTGCGTCACTAAACCTAAAACCAGTATTCCAGCCTAAAATTATGTGCCTAAGCCTAAGTCCTACAATAACATACCCTACAATTGTCTACAACCCCTAACCATACTTACCAGGCCAACAAGGTTTACTGAGTAAAATACTATTGGCACTTTTCAAAAACAACAGTATCCTCGACCACATTTCCACAATATTCTCCTTTTGTGCCATTTCCGCTCGTTTGTACAGTACGCGAACTGCGCCCAGAACCTGACGAATCTCCGCAGCCTGCCGGTTGATTATCGTTGGTGGAAACAGGTTTTCGGTCGAACGAGGTAGAAATATAGCTAATAGAGAGTCCAGAAGTCTTCTAAAATACGTTTTTTATAAATGGTTTTAATAAATAATGGCAGTTTTGCACCGTGATAGAATTTGTTATTGTTGCACTGTGCAGAAAATTTTTTAAATTGTCATAACTTTTTTTGAAAATAAAATTTTAAAAGTAATTCTGCGCTTTTGTAAAGAAAATAGCTTCGTTTTTTAATATTTTTAACAATTTTTTCTTTTCAAAAGCTTCTACGCTTACTGTAATATTTTAAATTTTCTTTGCACTGTGCAACAAAAAAATACCTTTGCACTGTGCAATTTTAAACCAGGAGATCATTATAAAATTAATTTTAAAAAACAAATGATAATATAGACCTACGAAAAATAATTTAATGGGCTCTTGATCATAGGAGTTGGAGCTGATGGGTGGGGGCTTGATGTTATAGTAGTCAACCATGCTACATAGACTCGTACGGCGCTTTGTACAGTTTCAAAATCACGATTATTAGCTAGGCCAAGTTGTAGTGAGTAGTCTATTACCTAAATATTCAGTTTGAGTTGAAATGTTACCTAAAAATACATTTTTTACAGGTGGAAGTTGAGTGGAAGATTTGTAATGTAATTTGCACTGAAAATCTTCCACACAACTTTTATTTCTAAAAAGTGACAAAAATGCATGTTTAGGCCATTTTAAGACATTTTCAAAATGAAAGTTGAGTGGTAGATTTTCAGTGCAAAATACATTACAAATCTTCCACTGAACTTCCACTCTTAAAAACGTCATTTTTTATGTAAACTATGAGTTACCTGCATAATCCATTCCAATTCTCCTTCTTCGACCAGTCGAACACCCATTCCAGGTCGGTCCACGTTGGCCACTACCTCTTTTATCATCAAATTGGCCACATTTTCGCCGACTTCGGCCGAAAACTTGCTCAGAACCGTCTTCTTCAGGGCTTCCATTGCCATTTATTTAGTGATTAAATATTAAAAAAGTAACAAAATTATAGCTTTAAGATTTTGAAAAGCGTGCTATGGTGGGTCTGTCATAAATAATGTAGATTTATACCTAAAATTTCAAAAAAAATTAAAAAATGAAAGCTCACAGTCAATTCTTGTATTTATAGACACGAAAAATGGTCAACTCAACCCTACCCTATCGCACCTTACCCTAAACTCCTTTACCCTACCAAGACTTTTTCTACCCCTCCCTGCCCTAGTCTACCCTACCCTGCCCTACTCTATCGCTCCCTACTCTTCCTACCCTAAACTCCTCTACCCTCCCAAGCTTTTTCTACCCACTCCCTGTCATGGTCTACCCTACCCTGCCCTTCCTACCCTAAACTCTTCTACCCTACCAAGCTTTTTCTACCCACTCCCTGTCATGGTCTACCGTATGGTTGTTCTACTTCTCTCTTTCCTAACCTTTTTCTATTCTTACCCTAATCCTAGCTCTTTTTCTACCTTACCCTATCCTAGCCTTACTTTTACATCGCCCTGCCCTCTTTTAGTCCTACCCCAGCTAACCTAGAGTAGAACTAAATAGATGTATTTAGTTCTACTCTAGGTTTACCTTACCACAACTGTAATGATATACCAATCATAATCATATAGTAATTCTATCCTATAATGTTGTACTCCTATCGAAACGTACCCCCTCTCTCCTCACCCTCCCCCATTCGCTTGTTAAAAAAAAATCAAAAAAAGTCCCAAAATCAGCCCTCACAGCACTGACTTTAGCTGAAAAAAGTAATAAAAAATGTTTTTAAAGAAATATTACTACTTTTTTCATTTTGAGTCCTAAAAAAGCAGAAACTTTTTTTTGTTTGAACAGATTTTTTCCAAATAAAGAAGTAGTAAGCCCGTCGTACATAGCAATACAAATACATTATGTTATAAAGATTTTATTTATATTGATTTATATTTATACAAATTAAACCGTCGTTTTATGTTCAAAAATCAGTGCTTATACCTAAAGCTAAAGTAAAATAGGAAAAAAGTACAAGAACATTGTATACAAAACCATGAATGGCAAGAACTTTGTTTACAAAGCAAAAAATGGCAAGAACTTTCTTTACAAAGCAAGAAATGGCACGAACTTTCTTTACAGAACATAAAATTGCAAGAAATTTTTTTATAAAGCAATAAATGGAAAAAACTTTCTTTACAAGGCAAAACATCGCAATAACTTTCTTTACAAAACAAAAAATATCAAAAACTTTGTTTATAAAGCCCAAAAACAGTTAAAATGTTCTTTTTTCAAGCCTAAAATAACAAAAATAATATATTTTGTAAAGTAAAATAAAAGCCCAGATCGCTGGCCAACCCAAAGTCAAAGTTCAACCTATATTCGATATCAAAAAGGATAAAAAACGCATTTTCGAGATCATTTGTGGGCGAAAGAGCGGAAAAGAAAACTGAAAGATGGGAACCCAAAAATCGCCATTTCTCTTTCTCCCCCCTTACTCTAGAGCGTGGAACGCGTGAGCGCTACAGAACTAAGCCCAGTTTTGTCAGTTGTTTGATTACTCGGTAAATACAGCGCAGTTACTGTATAAAAAACCGCTCATAACGAAGTTTTAGTATAATAGGTAGGGTAACAAGCAGGGTATGGTAAAAAAAAGTAAGGTAAGGTAAAAAAAAAGTAGGATAGGGTAAAAAAAGTAAGGTAGGGTAAAAAAGTAGGGTATAATAAAAAAAAGTAGGGTAGGGTAAAAAAAGTAGGGTATGGTAAAAAATAAGGGTATGGTAAAAAAAAGTAGGGCATGGTAAAAAAAGTAGGGTAGGGTAAAAAAAGTAGGGTATGGTAAAAAAGAAGGGTATGGTAAAAAAAAGTAGGGCAGGGTAAAAAAAAAGTAGGGCAGGGTAAAAAAAAGTAGGGCAGGGTAAAAAAAAAGAAGGGTATGGTAAAAAAAATTAGGTAAGGGTAAAAAAAATTAGGGTAGGGTAAAAAAGTAGGGTGGGGTAAAAAAAAGTAGGGCAAGGTAAAAAAAAGTAGGGTGGGGTAAAAAAAGTAGGGCATGGAAAAAAAATTGGGTTGGGTAAAAAAGAAGGGTATGGTAAAAAAAAGTAGGGTAGGGAAAAAAAAGTAGGGTATGGTAAAAAAGAAGGGTATGGTAAAAAAAAGTAGGGCAGGGTAAAAAAAAGTAGGGTAGGGTAAAAAAAGAAGGGTATGGTAAAAAAATTAGGTAAGGGTAAAAAAAATTAGGGTAGGGTAAAAAAAATTAGGGTGGGGTAAAAAAAAGTAGGGTAGGGTAAAAAAATTAGGGTGGGGTAAAAAAAAGTAGGGTAGGATGAAAAAGTAAAGTAAGCCAAAAAAAAGAGAAGGGTAAGGTAAAAATGTAGGGTAGGGTAAAAAAAGTAGATTAAAGGAGGAAAAGGCTGAGCGGAATAAAAAAAAAGAAAAGTGTGATAAGAAAGTAGAGCGGTGCAAAAAATTGGGTAGGGCAGATCTTGGCAGTATAAAAAGTTTTTATCATTTCTTAGTTTGTAAAGAAAGTTCTTGCTATTTTCTGTTTTGTAAACAAAGTTCTTGCATTTTTTGTTTTTTAAAGAAAGTCCTTGCCCTGAAAACCTATAATACAAAACAATTTTTCTCTTGTAAAGAAAGTTCTTGTAATTTTGCCTTGTAAAGAAAGTTGTTGCCATTTTTTGTTCTGTAAACAAAGTTCTTGCCATTTTACGTTTTGTAAAGAAAGTTCTTGCCATCGTTTGTTTTGTAAAGAAAGTTCTTGCCCTGAAAACCTATAATACAAAACAAAAATTAAAAAAAAATTGATTATATTAACGAAAAAAAAAGTTTTGCCGCCAATTTCTTACGTATTCTACGTTAAAAAACGACAAGACTTTTTTTGTCTTTAAAACACTATTTTACCCAAATTTTTTAATAATCCCACGCCAAATCCAGTCCAAAAAAGGGTGTATAAAAGAGGTTTTCTTATTTGAAAATATTTTGACATTAATTTGTTTGAAGAAGCCCTTAACGCGCACCCCCAAACTCAAGGTCAATTTCTCGAATGGACAAACGAACGGCGACAAAGGGGGGGGGGGGAGGGGAGCTAGATGAAGCCTCAATAAAGTTCACTTGCCAAAACTTTTTCATACGGAGGGATTAATTTGCATAACCGAAAAAATAAGTTTGCACTTTTATTTACTATAACGGTAGTTTTTCTGCAAAAACTTTGTTTACAGGACACGAAATGGCAAGAACTTTCTTTAGAAACGAAAAATCGCAAAAACTTTCTTTACAAAACAAAAAATGGCAATAACTTTTTTTACAAAACATAAAATGGCAAGAACTTTCTTTACAAATCAAATTTGTACTATAATTCCACAAAAATAAAAATTAAGTTGAAAAAACACCGTCCTAGCCTACTGCTCTCCTTTTTTTAAAGGAAAGAAAAACATTTTTTCATATGACTCACATAACGTTTTATCACCTCAAACGGTATTTTCTTTCCCAAATTTGTATAACCAAAACAAATGGCTTACCCTACCCTACCCTATCCTACCCTACCCTACCTTACCCTACCATAGCTTACCTTATCCTTGTTTACCGTACTCTATTTTACCTTACTTTACCTTATCATATCTTACTAATACCTACCTAGTCATATTTTGCTGTATTCAATCTAAACTTATCTACAATACCCTACCTTATTCTATGATACCCTATTAGCAGCTACTCATATCTATCGTACTCTACTTTTACCGAGAATAATATGTAGTCAATATCATGTTTAATGCCTAGAATATATTTATTTCGACGATACGTACAACCATAATACACTAATGTACACTACAAGTATTCCAAGAGACAATAAATTGACTAGACTAGACTTGACTTGCTACTGAACTGGACTAGAGACTGGACCAACTACGCCGACGACCACTTCTGAAAAGGTACAATAGTGTTAGGATATGAGGTACAGTAACAATATGAATAAAAACACACGAAAGTTACTGTATCTGAAAAAGTAATTCAAAAGTTACAGTAACCAAAAAATAAAAAAAATTACAGTAATAAAACCTCGAAAGTACAGTAAAAGACCTCTAGCTAAGTGAAAAGATACTGTAATATAACTTACAATCAAACTCCACAGAAACATCCAACGACGCCAACGGATCTTCCTCATTGACACAGACAAAACCATAAGAAACAGCCAAGTACACGATCAGACTAGTCAGGTTTACAATCAAAGCAACCGCAAACGTTATCCACAACGACTTTACCGACCGTTCTACAAATAGTATGTAAACAAAGTTTTTGCAAATTAAATTTTGTCTCTAGCCTTAGCCCAGAGCCCTAGCCCAGAGCCCTAGCCCAGAGCCCTAGCCCAGAGTTCTTTGTGCGACATTACCTAACTATTACTGTAACAAGATAGCTTTAGAGAAATTGTCAGAAATGATCTTGCGCAACTTTTTCTTACGTAATTTTATGATTTTATGTCATATTTGCCTCGATGTAAAACGACCCAACAAATTACTGCGAGTGCTGGTAAATATCAACAAATTACTGCAGGATTTTGGCTACATTTTTAGTACGGAGGTTTTTTTCTATCCTTCTTACCCTAACCTTGCCATACCCTGCTCTACTCTACCCTATCTTGCTTTATTCTACACTTCTACTCTACCTTGCCCTATGTAAGCCTAACATCAAGCTTTAAGCCCAAAATTCTGCGCTTAAGCCTAAAATGTGTACTTAAGTTTACAGTTGTTACCTAAGCCTAAAATGTAAATTTAAGCCTAAAAATATTTACTTAAGCCTGAATTGTGTACCTAAACCTAAAATCTGTACTAGGGCCTGAAAATATAAGTCTAAAATGTTGTTCTTAAGCCTAAAATGTGCACCTAAGCAAAAAGGTTGTACTTAAGCTTAAAATGTGTAGTTAAGCCTAAAATTGTGCACCTAAGCATAAAATTGTGTACCTAAGCCTACTGTTACGTAAGCACAAACCTAAAATGTGTACTTAAGTCTAAAATTTGATACTTCAGCCTATAATTACGTACCTAAGCCTAAAACATGTACCTAAACTCGAAAATATGCTACAGTACTCTCATATAATCCCTATCATAATTCGAACCAAAATTTAAAAACTTTAAAGCCTTACCAGCCTTTTCGTCGCTCAACCTTTCTGGTTCCGGGAGGTCTGGTACTCCATCATCGGTTTTGTTAGATGGTACATCTGGTGCTTCAGTAACATCAGAACCAGTGGTACTTTCCTCGGGACTTTTTGTCGTACTAGTACTAGTAGTAGTTGTGGTGGTCGTAGTACTTGTTGTAGTCGTGGTACTAGTTGTAGTAGTAGATTCCGTAGTGGTAACTGCCTCAGTACTAGTTGCGTTACTCTCTTTAGTCGTAGTAGTCTTTCCTGTACCAGTAGTAGTAACCTTTGAGGTAGTACTAGTTTCAGTAGCCCCGGAAGGTGTAGTACCTCTAGTCGTAGTAGTCTCCAAAGTTGTACTAGTAGTTGTCGGACTCTCGGTAGTAGTACTAGTCGAAGTAGACGTAGTAGTACTTGGTGTAGTAGTTGTTTCAGTTGTAGTAGTTTCAGTGGTTGTAGTGGTACTAGTCGTTGTAGTAGTAGTTGTTTCCGTGGTCGTAGTAGTCGTTTCAGTAGTGGTAGTCTCAGTAGTCGTAGTAGTACTAGTAGTCTCCGTCACCTCCGTAGTAGTATCAGACGCAGTGGTTGGCTCAATAGTCGCAGTGGTAATAGGGTCTGGTACCGTAGGGTTTGATACCTTAGGGTCTAGTACCGTAGGTTTTTCCTGATCTTCCGTTACACTTGTAATGACAGTCTGGTACTCAGTATCATCAACGTGCTGCTCATTGTCATATTGATCATCATACTGAACCAGTTTTGAACTTTCAACATGGTTTTCAAAGCTAAAGATAGACAATTAAAGCCTTTTTTAAAAAGGTTTCAAAGTGGAAATTGAGTGGAAGGTTTTCAGTGCAAAATACATTACAAATCTTCCACTCAACTTCCATCTCTAAAAAGTGTTTAAAACGTGTTTTTAAGCCATTTTAAGATTTTTTGAAAATGGAAGTTATGTGGAAGATTTTCAGTGCAAAATACATTACAAATCTTCCACTCAACTTCCATTTTAAAAAGTGACAAAACTTCATTTACAATAGTAAAAACCGTTAAAAATGAAATTTTTATTAAAAATTAGCCATGTAAACAAAGTTTTGACAATTTTAAATCTATAAAAAATATTGGCAGTGCTGTAAAGAAAGTTTTTGCAACTGTAAAGAAAGTTCTTGCTATTATAAAGCCGAGTAACTTACCAGAGCAATAACGTAAACAGAAGAATGTTCAACTTTAGCCATTTTGAGTAGACCATCGTTACAACACAACTGTTCTTGAAGCGTAGTGAATGTAAAAATGGCAATTTTTTGAAGTTTTCATTTTGAAAAATTTTGGAGTTTAAAAATTTTTTTTTTAAATTAGGCTTATCTTTAGGACATTTTAGGTTTTATCTTGAATTTTTTTTTATATTTAAGCGTATTTTAATACTTTTAGGCTTATTTTAACAAAATTAGGCTTATGGTTGAAAACTTTAGATTTTGAAACTTTAGGCTTACTACCATTGCCCTAGGCTTAAATTTAAAATTTTGGGCTTATTTTAATGAAATTATGCTTAGTCTTAGAAAGCTAGACATGATTTTGAGCCTTTAGGCTTACTAACAATGCCTTAGTTGTAACTGTGCAAATTTTAGGCTTATTTTCATACTTTTAGGCTTAAGTTTAAATATTTAGGCTTGTTTAGATAATGTAAGGCTTAATTTAAAAAATTTAAGTTTATTTTTTCAAGACTTGTCTTATCATCGCCTTTTTAAACAAATTATTTTAATAAGTCAATGTTAAGGCTTAAAACCCTAAGGTCACAGCTAACAATCGAGATTTTTGAAAAACGGTTTCGCTTCTCGAAATGTTTTTCAAAAATAAGCGAACTTTAATTTATCGTTTTTGAAAAGTGCTTTGTTACAACATTCGCGACAAATATGAATGTTTGGATAACGTCAAATTTGATGTTTTTGTCGAATTCGGAAGCGACTTTTAACTGTTTTGCTAATTAGATATGAAAAATGGGGAAAGGGGATGAATAATATTGGACTTTTGAATATGATTTTGGCTTGGATATTAGGTTTCTTATCAATTTTCTATTGAAAATGAGGGGTTTTTTGAGATTTTCTTTGAAAATCATGTTATTTGGGGGATTCTTTTGATTAAAAATAAAGTTTTTCATAGGTTGATCAGTAAGAATGTTTTTTTGAAAATTTTAAACTATTTTAAACCTCACTTTGCACTTTTAAACCAAATTCCACCTTCTCCCTTCGCAGCCTGCTTTAGAACAACCATTTCGCGCCCTATATACAAATAATTTTTTCGAAAAAATTTCAGCTGCCTTCTTCGTAATTTCCATCCAATTTGTAGTCGAATTGAAAACAAATCCACCCGCTTGATGGCTAAAATTGAACGACCACATATTGTGCTGGATTTTCAGGAGGCAATCAAGGATTCGCCAGCATTTCGTCAAGATCTGAACCAAAATCAGGAGTATTTCAACTCGATTTTCAAGCGATACTCGGAGGTAAGTGTTCGAATTGGTTTGTATTTTTTGTTTTTAGTGTGTTAACAAAGTGGATGTGATTGTGGAATGTGGCCAGAACTATGTTGCAGCTATTTAGTAAGTTTGCGAGGGGTTAAAGACTGCAAGGATGTTATTCTTGATGGTTAATATGGAAGTTTATGTTTTTCTTTATGTTACCTTTAGAAATTAGATTGCTGATTGATATCATTAGCTTCTTTATTATTCTTTGCTCCTTTTAAGATTAGTTTGAAGTAGCTATCATTTTGAAAAAGTAAAATTTTGATCAAAAGTCTATAAGACAGCCTTCTAATAAATATTCATAAGTTATTATGTCTGTAATGAACTTCTTTCTTAATAATTTTAATAAATCTTTATAACAATTATTCTTCAGTATCTTGTCGATCTATATTAACTTATTTCAGCAATTTCACAGCGACATTGAACACATTATGGGCAGAATTAGGTATAGATGAGCCGAAAACTAAACAAACTTTCGATGCCATCTCAGACGCGTTAGCACAAGTTGTCTATCTCAACAAAGGGTTGATCGAGAACACATTCCCAAGTTTTCTGGCACATTTGGGGCATTTCAATCAAAAGTAAGTATTAGTTTATCATTATAGACATCAAGGTTTCTTAATATTGTTTTATGTTTAGTGAGCTGACCAAACTCCGCGACAGTCGAACACAGTTTGACAACATGTCTCAAGCTTTGAATGATGCACTAAATAAACGTGCTAGCATATCTAGAAGTTGTGGACAGCAGCTGAAAGAAGCCAAGAACGGGTTGACGGCCGTTGGAACTTGTTTTGCACATACCTCATTGGACTATGTGGCGCAGATTAACATTGCTCATTCTAGGAAGCATTATGTGTTGTTGGAAGCTGTAAGTTGGTTTTAAAGATGCTATGTGGTGTTGTTTATGTGATAAGATATGAGTTTTAACAAGAGACTGATTACAATCGGGTCAAAATGGGTCTGGTAATCACTGTACCTCCAATTATCTATGTTAATATAAATTTTTATGTTTAAAAAATTTTCAGTTATGGCTACTAATAAAGGAGTACATAGAATTCTTCAAAAAGGGCCATTCAGTGTTTGTAGAGAAGCCAGACGTGGATACGGAAGAGATTGTGGATAATATCAGCATGTTAAGGACCAGGAGTAAACTGGTCGAAAGGAAGATGCAGGATCGACATGCTGTTGTGCCAAAGGTATATTTATAGTTTTTAGGGTAGAGTGTCACTGGTGAGGTTATTGCAATTTTAAATTTGTATTAATTTAAGAGTGAAATGGGCAAAAGTATATTACACTAGGGAAAGATGGCTTTTTGGGAGATTTTTAGTTATAATTTCTTTTTGATGCTATAGTTGGACTTGCTTTTTTAATATATTGTGAAGAATCGTATTAGCAAACAAGCTTTTTATTTTCAATTTGCTTATTTAAAATTTGAGGCTAAAAGAAGTAAAAAACTATATTACACTAGGCAAAAAGTGGCTGTTTTGGTCGATTTTTAATCATAACTTTTTTCTATTATGGCCTATTAACTTTCACTTTTAAAATAACGTAAAATAGAGTCTAGCAAACCTATGTTAATATTTAATATTCAATTCTGCAAAAAGAAACCAACAAAAGCGCTTAAAAATTGAGAAGAATCATTAAAATCTGAGTCATTTTGAACGTCGAAGCGAATTGAAATGTATTAAATCAAGAATTTAAAGGCTAAAATTGCTAAAATTTTATTGTTTCAAACATGTTAAATTAAATTAGCTATGTTATAATATGAATATCTGAAAGTATTACCTAAAGTTTTGATGTTAAAGTTGATTTACAATGCAATAGGGTTTACAATATACAACTTGAATGAATGTTTATTGAGATTAAAGGTCAAAATCAACATTGATAAGGTTTTTGTGAGTTTTTATGTATTAAAATTATTTGAATTTGATTAAAAATTATTTTTTGAAAAAAATATTTTAAATTTGGGTTTAAAGCGAAATTTTTTAAGGATTTTTGGTTAAAAATGAGAATTTTTAGCCATTTTCTATTAAAAATCAGAAAAAAAATTGAACTTCAAAAACGATTTGTCGTATCTGATATGGTTTACAAGCTTTCCGTTTTTCAGGATTTGTATGAAATGCACTCGGGTCTCCCGACTGATCCCGAGGTCGCCATGGAGGGTTACCTATTCAAAAGATCAAGCAAAGCCTTTAAAACTTGGCACAGGAGATGGTTCATGATCAAAGGAGACAAGTTTGTAAGCTTTTGAAGTTTGAAATGGCATTTTTTTGAGGTTTTTAGGCGTTTTTATGACTTTTTGGAAAGTGGAAGTTGAGTGGAAGATTTTTAATGTAATTTGCACTGAAAATCTTCCACTAAACTTCTACTTGTAAAAAGTGTTAAAAACGTGTTATTAGGCCATTTTATGACATTTTAAAAGTGGAAGTTGAGTGGAAGATTTTCAGTGCAAAATACATTACAAATCTTCCACTGAACTTCCATTTTTTAATTGGCCATTTTTTGATTTTCAACGAAAGTTCATGCTATTTGAAGCTCTGTAACGAAAATTTTTGCCATTTGAAGCCCTGTAAAGAAAGTTTTTGTCATTTGAAGTCTTGCAACAAACATTTTTGCCATTTCAGATGTACATAAAGAAGAACGGCGAACAACTTCAGAGCATGGTAATGGAAGACAATCTAAAGCTGTGTTTAGTTCGACCAGCACCATCTTCAATTGAAAGGAGTTGTTGTTTCGAATTGGTGTCGAGAAGCGGGTAAGTGGACTAGATTTTGAAAAAAAAATTAAAAATTTTGTTACCTAAAATTTGATTTTTCTGAAATTTTTCAAATTTTGATGACTTTAGAAACCACGTACTGCAAGCAGATTCTGAAATGTTGTGTAGGGAATGGATTCACGCGCTTCAGACGACTATTCAGCATCTACATGAAGGTATGGGTTTAATTTTTAAAAATTTTTGTTTTTAGAGGGAAATTTGAAATTTTTTTTGAAGAGTTGAAAAATTGGCTTTAAAGATGATTTTTTTATTAGAAATGGGGATTTTTTGCCATTTTTCATTAGAAACGATGATTTTTTGGCCATTTTTCATTAGAAACGATGATTTTTTGGCCATTTTTCATTAGAAATGAGGGTTTTTCTGCTATTTTTTTTTTATAGAAATGAGGATTTATTTCAAAATTTTTCATTTGAAATAAGGATTTTTAAAAATGAAAAAAAATTATTTTTTAAAATCTCCAGGCGACACTCTCGAAAAGCCGTCAACATTTATGCAAAGCCTGGAAGTGAGTCACATGAATGCATCACAAGCCTCAACCAAACGAACATCATCCTCAACCCTACCCTCAATGTCCCTATCCAACCCCCAAATCCAACGAGTCTCTTTCTTCGAGGAACTCAAACGAATCCCCGGCAATCGACAATGTGCCGATTGTGGCCACAACGACGCCAAATGGGCCTCAATCAACCTGGGCGTGATCATCTGCATCGAATGCTCCGGAGCACATCGAAGTCTGGGCGTTCACGTTTCGAAAGTACGCTCGTTAACGATGGACGAACTCTCAACAGAACAGAAAGAAGTCCTAAAGGCCTTAGGCAATCAGAAAGTCAATAGAATTTACCTGGCTGGAATGCCAGATCAAGAAATCATGGCCAACGGCAAAGTAAGCCTCAACCCAAACTCGGAGCGAGCGGAACGAGAACAGTACATCACGGCCAAGTATGTGGACAAAAAGTTTGTCAAACCGTTGACAAACAAGTTCCTGGTCAATAGTCAAGGTAAGAAGTTGTTTTTGGGTTGGTATTGTGATTAAGAATGGAGTTGTTACCTAAAATAGGGGTTTGATATCTATGATAACATAATTTTTTTATTTAGAAAATGATTGTTTTTAGTCTTAAAAGTTTTTTATGAACATGCAATTTATTATTATAAGTTTTAAAACGTGTCAGGAGGTTTAAAAAAAAGAAGTTTAAAAATTATAATCGAAAATATTATCCGTGACATCTATGATAATATAATTTTTTACTTATAAGCTTACTGTTTTTAGTTTAGAAACGACCGTGAGGGCATGAAATTTACTACCACAAGCTTTAAAAGGTGACAGGAGTTTTAAAAGTTATTTTATAGCCAAAAATGTTATTCATGCCACCTATGATAATATAATTTTTTGTTCAGAAGCTGGCTGTTTTTGGTTTTAAAACAATTTTGAGGGTATAAAAGTTACTATGGTAAGCGTTAAAAGGTCGCATGGACTTTAAAAACGAAGTTATAATTAAAAATGTTATCCATGACACCTATGATAATATAATTTTTTATTTAGTAGCGCACTGTTTTTAGTTTAGAAACGACCGTGAGGGCATAAAAGTTATTATTACAAGTTTTAAAAGGTGATTCGAGCTTTAAAAATGATGTTGTAACTAAAAACGTTATTCATGACACCTATGATAATACAAATTTTTGGTCATAAAATGGTTGTTTTTGGTCTTAAAGTAGTTTTAATGGCATGAAATTTATAATGAAAGGTTTTAAAAGTTGGTTTGTATACCAAAAATTGAGGTATGATTAAAAATGACTTTGTTCTTACCTATGATAATACAATTTTTAACTATATAAACCTTACTTTTAAGTATAAATTCTAATAACAACTATTTCCAGGACCCCCAAGATCTAATTCTTACCACGAGAATCTAGTCTTTCATGCCAACTTCAACCAACAGCCAGAATCCATCGACGCTGGTCGTTCCGTACCGTTCCAACGCCAAAGCTTGATATCAACAAACTCGGACTCACATCTAAATGAAACAGAAGCCTTAGAAATCGAGAAGAAGGCTATAAAACTGTTGGAGAACGGCAATATCGAAGGGATTTTGGATTTAACGGCCAATGGTTTTGATCTGAATGCACGGCTGAGCAGTACGAACCAGTATCCTCTACATGTCGCTATGAGTAATGTAAGTGCTTTGTTAATCTAAAAAGAAAGGGTAGCTTAGTCTTTTAGTTACGTTCAAAAGTCATATCTTAAGCCTAAAATCATATCTTAAGCCTAAAAATCTCATTTTAAGCCTAAAAAGCTTTTTAATCTTAAAAGTCTCATTTTAAGCTTAAAAGTCATATCTTAAGCCTAATAAGCTTTTTAAGCCTAAAAATTTCATTTTAGGCCTAAAAATCATAATTTAAGCCTAAAATTTAGATTAGGAAAAAATTTTGTAAATTTAAGCTTAAAAGTCATATCTTAAGCCTAATAAGCTTTTTAAGCCTAAAAATTTCATTTTAGGCCTAAAAATCATAATTTAAGCCTAAAATTTAGATTAGGAAAAAAATTTTGTAAATTTAAGCTTAAAAGTCATATCTTAAGCCTAATAAGCTTTTTAAGCCTAAAAATTTCATTTTAAGCCTAAAATTTAGATCTGGAAAAAAATTTGTAAAGTTAAGTTTAAAGGTCATATCTTAAGCCTCATAAGCTTTTTAAGCCTAAAAATCTCGTTTTAAGCCTAAAACTTTTATTTTAAGCCTAAAAATCATAAATTAAGCCTAAAATTTAGATTAGGAAAAAATTTTGTAAATTTAAGCTTAAAAGTCATATCCTAAGCCTAATAAGCTTTTTAAGCCTAAAAATTTCATTTTAAGCCTAAAAATCATAAATTAAGCCTAAAATTTAGATCTGGAAAAAAATTTGTAAAGTTAAGTTTAAAGGTCATATATTAAGCCTAATAAGCTTTTTAAGCCTAAAAATCTCATTTTAAGCCTAAAAATTTAATTTTTAGCTTAAAGCTCATTGAACATATTTTAAGCCTAAAAATAAGATTTAAAAATTGAATTTCAAAACTTATGTTTAAGCGACATATCTCAAGCCTAAAAGCTGGATTTTGATTTAAAATTTTTTAATTTTAAAAATTTTCAGAAGCAAAACATTCTGATCGAGTTTATGTTTCTGAATGGAATTCATGTGAACGTGGTTGACGCCGACCTAAATTCACCGCTTCATCTAGCCGCTGCTAATGGCAACACAATGTACGGTAGCTTTCTATTTCAAAAAGTTCTATTTTACGTTGTAAAGAAAGTTTTTGCAGTTTTTTTGAAAGAAAAGTTAATAAGTTTGGCTTTGTTTTTAGTGGTGTATATCAATTGGTCAAGAGGAATGCGGACAAAGACCTGAAGAATGCCAAAGGCGAAACCGCTCTACAGCTGGCTGTAGAGGCACAGCACGCTAACATCGTCACGTTGTAGGTTGACAAGTTTTTAAGAAAATTGAAAACGCTTTAAGCCTAAAGTATGTGCCTAAACCTATGTTTTCGTAGGCGTAAGCCTAAAATGTGTATTCAAGCCTAAAGTGACGCAAGCCTAAGCCTAAAATGTGTTTCTAAGCCTAAAGTTACGTAAGCCTAAAATGTGTACTTTAGCCTAAAGTTGCGTAAGCCTAAGCCTAAAATGTATACCTAAGCCTAAACTTGCGTAAGCCTACGTTTAAAATATGTACGTAAGCCTAAGTTGTGTACTTAAGCCTATAGTTACGTAAGCTTAAGCCTAAAATATGTACCTAAGATTAAAGTTACGTAAGTCTAATCTTGTAAAGTACATAAAAATTTGTGATGTATTATCTAATACTGGCTGGTTATATAACTAAATAGCCTTAGAGAAATTGTCAGAAAGCGTGTTGCGCAACGTTTTCTTACGTAATTTCATGGTTTTATGTCATTTTTGCCTCGATGTAAAACGACCCAAAAAATTACTGCGAGTGCTGGGAATTTGACTCCAAATGCCTGCGAGTGCTGGGATTTCATTCATTTTTTACTACGAGTGAATCCTATCATACACTGCTATCTTACCGTAGGCTTTGGTTGTTCTTTTTTTTTATCGAGCCTAAAATGGAGGCCTTAAGGCTAAAAATAAACGTATATCTAAGCCTAGAATATGTATCTAAGCCTAACATTACGTAAAAGTAAGCTTAAAATGTGTACCTAAGCCTAAAGTTACGTAAGCTTAGAGTAAGTGCGTAAGGCTAAAATTACGTAAGTCTAAGCCTAAAATATGTACCTAAGCCTAAAGTGACGTAAGCCTAAACTTAAAGTTACGTAAGCCTAAGCATAAAATGTGTTCTTAAACTTAAAGATACGTAAGCTTAAGCCTAAAATTACGTAAGCTTAAAATATGTGTCTAAGCCTAAACTGTGTACTTAAGCCTAAAGTGACGTAAGCCTAAGCATAAAATGTGTACTTAAACCTAAAGTTACGTAAGCCTAAAATATGTGCCTAAGCCTAAAACGTGTACCTGAGCTTAAGGTTACGTAAGCCTAAGCCTAAAATGAGTACCTAAGCCTAAAATGAGTAACTAAGCCTAAAATATGTACATAAGCTTAAAATGTGAGTGTAAGTCTAAAATGATGTACCTAAGCCTAAAATAATGTACCTAAACCAAAAATTAAGTACCGAGCCTAAAGTGAGTACCTAAGCCTAAAATGGTACCTAAGCCTAAAACATGTACGTAAGCCTAAAATGTGAACCTAAGGCTAGGCTTAAAATTTGTACCTAATCCTAAAGTTGTGTAAGCCTAAACTATGTATTTAAGCCTAAAAGGAGTAGCTAAGTCTAAGCTGTGTACTTAAACCTAATGTTATCTAAGCCTAAAATATGTACCTAATTTATTCGTATTGTTTTAGACTCCGGCTACAAGACCTGCGAGACACAGACCAAAACGATGGCCTCGAATCCACGGTGGATTCATTTATGAACGATCTGAATGCCAGAAAGGACTCAAGTCCGCCTTCATGAGCTTAAACTTTGGTTTTTAAGTAAATTTCTTCTTTTGTTATCATTTTTATTTATTTATGACATCTTTCAAAGCTTTTATTTATTGTTTTAGGTGATATTATGATTGAGATTCGAGATTTCTAGCCATTTTTACCCTTCCAAAACATTTTACACATAACTATACGTGTTTTCATACTTAAATTATGTATAATTTACGCGTTTTTGTACCTAAAATATGTAAAATAGACGTGTTTTTGTATCTACAATGTATAAAACAAGGTCTTTTCGACTCGTAAAACATATTGTAATTGATAAAACTGGGTCTTTGTTACCTAAAATTGGGTTTTTGTTACCTAAAATGTTCATTTCAAACCAAATTCCATATGCTTTTGATGTATAATATCTAAATTTCATACGATTTTCATGGTTAATATCTGAATTCCATGTGATTTTGATGTATAATATCTGAATCCAGCTTGCCATCCACAATTTCTTATCAGTTATAGTGATAATGTTTGATGTTTTTATCATTTTTTCAAAATTTTTTGGCATTTTTTTTGAATTTAGGTTGCTTCGAAAAGAATGGCGCGGTCTGAATTGGAAATATTGAATTTTGAAATACGCCATTCTTTTTGAACCAAAATAACAAATTTTACTTTTCTGTTTTGACCGGTTTTACTATGTGTACTATAAGGTTGTTCAATTAATTCTGTGCCCCGTCTCAAAGAAAATTTGTGTTTAGGGGCACAGAATTATTTGAACGACCTAATATTAATATGTAGACGGATGTAATAGACAGACAAATTGTAGAGCCATGATATAGTACAAGTTCAGGTCAATATGGTCTTGTTTTTGAGATTATCAATGAGATTCGAATCATAATCGTATCAATATGCATATTACAACGATTACAATGCTATCCTAAGTTATTATACTTTTATGTTTTGTTGAATTTTTAAATTTGATAAATAAATTTTTAATAATTGTTACTTAAAATCAAAAAAAATTGGAAATTTGTTACCTAAAATGGCGTTTTTTGATAAGTTGTTACCTAAAATTAAGTTTTTTTTAAAATTTTTTACCTAAATTGAAGTTTTTTTGAAATTTGTTACCTAAAATGAAGTTTTTATTAAATTTGTTACCTAAATTGAAGTTTTTTTAAATTTTGTTACCTAAAATTTAAAAAAGTTGAATATCTGTTACCTAAAGCAATCCTTTTTCGTTTTTTCACTAATATACGTATTAAAAAAAGCCATCTGCTCTTGAAACGTTTCAAGCCCTCCTATCTTGATCAAACAAAGGAAATGCAAAAATTTTCGTCCAGAAATATTCGATTTTCGCGGATTTCCATGTTTTAACGACTCCATTTTTGAAGAAAACCGACTAGAGACAACACAGTTCAAAGAGACCCCTTCTCTGACCACTTTTTGCGTCTTCTCACGAGAAACGGCCAGCTGTTTTTGCGCTCGATTGTCACCTGGTACAGCGATTTTTAAGAGTCGGAGAGTGTTGTAACTGAGCGACACGACTCTAAACTCGAAAAAAGTAATCGAAATTGTTCAGACGGACAACATTCGAGTCTATATTTAGTGGGCTGTAAACCACAGCTCCGGACTTTTTCGATTTTCCACCGGAATTGGGCAATTTTTGGATGTTGTTGTAGACGATTGGAAGTTTGACGAGATTTGTTCTACAGCCAAACCTTGGACCTTATTATACTCAATTTATGGGCAAAACAATTGGCATTATTTTGGACAATTGATTGAATCAATATTGGCCTTATTTTTCAAGTTATATTGCCACCAATTCGATATTATTCTACCCAAAGGAGAAGGTGGTCAAGAGCGGTTCATCTGATAATTGGTAAGTATTTAATCATTCTTATCAGTGTTTTTGTGTTTAGATTGAAGAGAACGCATTGTTCAACGAATTGGAGCGTGAATCAAGCTGTTTCAACACCGAATTTTGAGAAAAATCGTAAATTTACTAAAAAATTGGACGATTATATTGATCTCTCGACGAATTTTGTATTAATCTAACTGTACTAACATCAATTGGTTGCTATTACGTCTTCTGCGAGTGTTCAACATTCATTTGCAACTATATTGGATCCAGTTTTGGCGGAAACTACCTCCAACGTCTTCAACGCCTATATTAACATACGTTTTCTACTTTTCACCGCGCGGTTGGTCTCAAAGTGACGCTTATTGATTAAAAAGCTTTTTAGCTGCTTGCCAAGGATCTTTTCTACGTGTTTGATACAAAAGTCTGGCATTTTTTCTTCTATAAGGTCGCGGTTTGAGATTAGATTGATCTGAATCTACTATAACATCGAAATTGGTCGATTTTACTGGACTTATTGAAAGTTATCAACAGTTTTATTTGTTGAGATTGAAAAATGGGCAATTGTTTACCTTTTATGCATTTACGACGGTCAGATGATACTGAGCAGCTAGAGGAAAGGAATTCGGGCAACAGCAGATCTGATAACCAACAACGTCAATCCTCATCTAGAAGGTCTAGATCTCATGCGGTAAGCTTTTTATGTTTATTTTTTAGATTTTGAGGGTTACTTTTATTCTTAATTAATGTTTTTAAGTTTTAAATCTATATAGTTTTTATAAAAGTAAGATTGAATATCTGATGCCTATAACAATATAATATAAAACTGTTTTCAGAGCTCCTATGTAAACCAACTGTACGCATCGTCCAATGCCTACATGGAAGAAGGCGAACAGCAGGCAATTGACGAAAAACGAAAGGCCAGAGTGCGTGGTATATTAGCTTCAATTCCAATCTCACAATACGAACTGGGTCAATCCATTAACGATGAGTAAGTTGATGTCTGCGTTTTTATTTGATTTAATTTTTAGAGCAATTAGTGATGAACGTCTGTTAAAGAGGTTGTAAAAATTTAAACTTGATTAATTTAATGAAGAGGAAGTTAGGTGCATATTTATTTAGATTATTTACAGGTATAGAGGGCTTGCAGGAAATTTAATGTAACTTTTTGACTTTTTTATAGATATTTATGATGTTTTGCACATATGTGATATATAGTATTATGCATGTTGTGGTAAATTTTGAAAAATATCCATAGTTTTACAAAAAAGTTATTGCGACATTACCCTAGCCAGCTTTTGTAGATCACACTTGGTCAAACTTTTAGTGTTTTTATGCAGAAATTAATGTTTTAGTAAGTAATAGTTGACATTAACAGATGAAGTTGAATGTTGTGTATCTTTTAAAACTAATTTTACGTGTACAGTCACTTAGATTTTTTGATCATTCACCTGTTTCCAGATGTGCCATATGTATGTTGGACTTCGAACCAACTGAATCGATTCGATATCTGCCTTGTAAGCATGGTTATCATGTGGACTGTATCGATGATTGGTTGCTACGATCATTCACTTGCCCATCGTGCATGGAGCCAGTGGATTCGGCGTTACTTTCAGTATTTACAGCCAGTTCAGGTATAGCTGACATTGCATCAATACCCAAAGCTACATCATCTAGAAGCTGATTTTGTTTATTTTGTGCTGTATTAATATGTTTTGAGATTGATTTGAGTACATCTTGAGTATCCTTGGTAATTTTTGAAGCTATTACATTACATTTTTGTCTCATTTATCTGATATGTAGCTATGTCTATGTTAATATACATATATAAAGATACGAACCTGTCTCAGTAGAATATTCAAGCAAAACGAACGTTGTCTCAGTAAAACTGTTTTGTTCTTCAAGAATCCTAACGTATTTTCGGTCTTTTTCGGGTTGTACACCATGTTTTAACTACCTTTCATATTCACCATTAGTCATGAAATTTGCTGTAAATAACAAAAGCAATGTGTAGATATACTTTATTGTTGTTTTTTCTTTCATTCCACTTATGTTTCATATTCAAATAAACCTTGTAAAGGTAATTGGGGGTTTTTGAAGGGCTTGATTTAAGCCTTGTAAAGAATACGTTAAGTAATGTACTAGCCATTTTGATTCACCAATGAAGAATTTGGACATATTGACCTAAAGGGACTGAGTTTAAACATAAAACCTTGACAAAGCTTATTGTTGCTTTATAAATTGTTGTAAAACTCAATTTGCGCAGCTTCAGCCTTCAAAAGTCAGTTAGTTCCTTGTCTTCTTTATCCAAATTCATAAAAAAAACCTTGAGCTTTATGTCAGCAAAAGTAGTATTTATATTTTTAACCGTACTACTTTGGATGAAGTTGGTCGATACTATCAAATGTTATGTTAGTAAGTACTTTATTATAGGCTGGGGATTAGGGTCTAATAGGCTTAGTTTTAGGTCTAAAAATAAGCCTTAAATAAAAATTTATACTTACTGAAGAATAGAGAATACAAAGTTGTTATATATTATAGTTGACAAACTTAAATTCAGGTAACAATGAAACAAGTACCATTACTAACAGTACTATGGAGTTAAAGCCTGTTGAGTGCTCTGAAGAGTTCACTTGGTGCATTATATCACAAAACTTTAGTTCCAGTAATAATTCGACTTCAGTGAAGTTACAGTAAGTCATTGGAAAAAAGATTATGAGACTTTTAAAAGTGGAAGTTGGGTGGAAGATTTGTAATGTATTTTTTATTTAAAAATCTTCCACCAAACTTCCACCTCTAAAAAGTGTTAAATACGCATTTTTCGGGCGTTTTAAGACTTTTTAAAAAATGGAAGTTCGGTGGAAGTTTTTTAGTGCAAATTACATTACAAATCTTCCACTAAACTTCCACTTTTTCAACAGCTCTATTTTATGACTGGTAGTTAAAATTCATGGTATTTTTTGTCTTGTAAACAAAGTTTTGAACATTATCAACCCAAAAACATCAATTTCAGTGGCTGTGCCACCCACGATGACTGTAAACGTGCTGTTAAAGAGTACTCAAGTCAACAGAATGACGGACCAAAAGCACCACGGAGAAGGAATAACAAGGGAATGAGCTTCTTCACAAATCACAAAACCAAACCGGCTACAGACACTTGTTGTCAACGAGATTTGTGTAATGGAGCTGGTAGAACAATATTGTCATACATTATGACATTACTTTGCTTAGGCTATTTTATTTTGTAAAATAAAGGACTGTAAAGAAAGTTCTTACTATTTCTTGTTTTTTAAAGAAAGTTCTTGCTACTTTTTAGTTTGTAAAGAAAGTTCATGCCATTTTTGTTCTGTAAAGAAAGTTCTTGCCATTTTTGTCTTGTAAAGATAGTTCTTGCTACTTTTTAGTTTTTAAAGAAATTTCTTGCCAATTTTTCTTAGTCTATTTTACTCTTTTGCAGCCTGCGTGTGACAAGTTATACGAAGGATATAATTTTTTGTTTTGTAATGAAAGTTTTTGCCATTTTATGACTTGTAAAGAAAGTTCTTGCATTTTTGATTTGTAAAGAAAGTCCTTGTCATTTTATATTACCTAAAACATTCTTTGAAACTTTTGTCACTTAAAAACCAAGTAATGGCACTTTAAAAAAAAGTGGAATTTGCGTGGAAGATTTGTAATGTATTTTGCACTGAAAATCTTCCACCCAGCTTCCACCTTTAAAAAGCGTCAAAAACGTGTTTTTTTGACAATTTTAAGACTTTTTTAAAAATGAAAGTTTTGACATTTTTGTCAAACACCCTTTTGAAATACAGTCATTTCAGGCTGAAATTACCCAAAAAATCACGTTTTTTGTGTACAAAATTACTTTTTTATACGATTCACTTTTCATGACATGCCCTCGCTCTTCGTATGTTAGAGGTTGTGATCCCTGTATTATATAAAACATACGCAGCCGGCTGTCAACCGGAACCGAAAAACGAGAGCCCGGCTTAAGTCTTGACGCATCCTATATTACGGGCGGTAATAACCGTTACGTCGGCGGGTTTTAACACTTTGGGTGGGGTAGTGTGGGGTAGGATAGGATAAAGTAGGGTAGGGTAGGATAGGGCAGAATAGGAAAAATCAAGGTAGGTTAAAACAGGATAGGGTATGATAGGGTCAGGTACAGTTAGACATGGGGGTCGGGCCGGGCCTGAATTCTGGAGTGGCTTGTTTTTCCTTTTACTAAAGCCTGGCCAACTAAGGAATTCTTAGGTTTGGCTCGTTTTAAAAAAATCAATTAAATTTTTAGGCCCGGCCTACTTTTCAAACTCGGCCCAACCCGGCCGATCTTCTCTGTCAAGGTAGGGTAAGGGAAGACATGATGAGGTAGGGTAGAGTAACGCAGAGTAAGGTAGGGTACGATGGTACGGTAGAGTAGCCTGGTAGGTAGGATAAAGCAGAGCAGGGCAAGATGAGGTAAAGGAAAATAAGGTAGAGTATGTTAGAGTAAGGTAAGGTAGAGTAAAGTAAGTCAAACTAGGGCAATTTTATATTATTTTACTCTATTAGTAAAAAAATGTGTGCAGCTTGCGAGTGACAAGTTACAATTTTTCATATTATCTATTTGATCGTGTTAAAGGCTTTATAATTTTTTTTGTTTTGTAAAGAAAGTTTTTGCTATATATTTGAAGTTTGTATGACGCTTTTTAGGTATTGACAGTTTAAACAATGACTTTAAATTTTATTATTCTACTTGTTTTAATGCTCCTACAACAACATTGGTAAGTACTTGATATGGCAGGACAGTGTAGGGTAGGGAAGGGTAGGGTAGGTAGAATAAAGCAGGGTAGGGTAGGGTAGGGTAGGGTAGGGTAGGGTAGGGTAGGGTAGGGTAGGGTAGGGTAGAGTAGAGTAGAGTAGAGTAGAGTAGGGTTAAAGTTCAATCTTTAATCTTCTATAACATCTATTTTCAGCAAAGCCCAAATGTACGGCAGCTACTTCCTAAACGCCCTACGAGGTTATGGTAGTGACCTATGTCGGCTAGTATCATGTCCACCAGGTCAGTATTGTGTAGCCGGCTCATGTAATGCAGGTGGTGCATTTAGTACCGGATTTAATGGTGGACCAGGATATGGGTATGGTGGAATGGCTGGTCTTGGTGGAATTGGCGGATACAACGGGATAGGCGGCCAGGGGTACGGTATTGGGTATGGTGCTAGTATGGCGTTGATGAATGCTGCTCATAAATGTAGGTTTTGATAGTGGAAATAAAGTTTTTTCAATTTTTGGAGGTTTTTTGGAATAAAAAGACATTTTTTAGGTTTTTGTGACCTGATACTTGAGTGGAAGATTTGTAATGTAATTTACACTCAAAATCTTCCACCAAACTTTCATTTTTAAAATGTCTTAAAATGGCCTAAAAACTCATTTTAGACGTGGAAGTTCTGTGGAAGATTTTCAGTGCAAAATACATTTCAGATCTTCCACTTAACTTCCGCCCTCAAAAATGCTCAAAAACGTGTTTTTCGGCTATTTTAACACTTTTTAGACGTGGAAGTTTAATGGAAGATTTTTAGTGCAAAATACATTACAAATCTTCCACTCAACTTCCACTTTTCAAAGCATATCTACGCCCTAAAAATTTTGAAATTTTAAGTTTGTGCCGAGACATCTGATTGCTATAGTGGCCAGATATGTCAAGCAGGTCGCTGTAGCTTTACAGCTGGCGTGGGTGCTCCATTTTTGGGGGCTGGTGCACTTGGAGCAGGTGGATTTGATGGTGGCTATGGTGCACTTGGTACTGTTGGTGTGGGTGGGACATATAACGGTATTACTGGGACTAATGGTCTGGTTGGTATGTTTTAAAAGGTTTTTGAATGTTTTAGGGTTGGGCGTGGGTGAAGGAGAGGGGTGGGTGCTTTTGATTTGGGGGGGGAGAGGAGGAAACCATTTTAAAATGAAAATTCCAGAAAGACCCTCAGGCGTTCAAATGTGTAATTTGATGCAAGATTGCTTGAATGGCCAAATATGTGTAAATGGATATTGTTCACAAAGTAATGTCGTGTATGGAGGGTCACAAGCCGCTTTAAAGCCACCCCCAAGTAAGTTAAGGTGGGCTAGTTTGGGATGCTATGAGGTTGAGTAGGGTATGTTATGAAAGGATACAGTATGTTAAGGTAAATTCTTTTAAGATAAGTTTTGATACAGTAGGGCAGATTAGGTTACTGTGGAGGGGGTAGGTTAGGGTAGGATAGGGCAGAGTAAGGTAGATTACAGCGGGCTGTGCTAATATGAGATATGGTACAATATGGTATCATAAGACAAATATAGAGGAAGATACTGTTTGTTAAGTATGGTTACTGTAAAGTAAATTCAGTTACGGTAGAGATGGTTGGATTACTGTAGGGTGGGTAAGATAGAGTATAGTAGTAGGTAGGGTGAGGTAGGGTAGGGTAGGATAAAGTAGGGTAAGTTCAGACTTATAAATCCTATTTTTAGCCTGTGGCACTGGTGCAGTCTGTCCAGTGGGTCACTTCTGTGTTGCTGGTATCTGTACTCAAAATTACATGTCATCGTCATCTGGTAGGTTTAAAATTTAAAATCTTGATTTCAAATTTCAATTTTTAAAATTTTTTAACCATTTTTTAATCACATAAATAAAAAATGTCATTTTCAGCCTGTTTCATTGGGAATACCTGTCCAGCAGGCATGATTTGTCGCCTTGGCCGCTGCGAGCCAAACGGCTTTTTTGGCAAAAAATGAACATTGATATCATACTACTGTAACTTCTTGTCATATTATAGAATTTATTATACACTGTAAATAAAAATTGTCAATAAAGATATAATTTAAAAAAGTCAATTTTAGAACGTTTAGATTATGTCGTCATGACACATTTTTTGAAAAAGATGACATGTTTTTCAAAAAAATTTTTTTAAATGTTTTTAAGTGATCACAAAGGCTTTTTTCAACTTTTTTTTAAAAATTTTTAGCGCTTTTTAAAGCCTGTCATTATGACATATTTTTCGGACATGATGACGGCTTTTTTGAAAATAATATTTTATATCATTTTTAGTCATTATATAGATATTTTTATGCTTTTTTTTGATTTTTGACTTAAATTTATACATGTCATCATGCCACATTTTTTAAATTTTTGAATATTATGACGGTTTTTTTAGATTTTCTTTTATTTGTTGAAAAAATGTGTCATGTTTTTGTTTTGTAAAGAAAGTTCTTGCCATTTTTTGTTTTGTAAAGAAAGTTCTTGCCATTTTGGAGTCAAAACCAGTTCAAAAAGCGATTTACGTTAGAGGACATTGAGGTTGTTTTGTTTGCTATCTGATAACAAGCCCTTTTTTATGTTGTTTTAGCTGCACCTTCCTATTCCTTTGCTATGTTTAGAGCAAATTTTACTTTATTACTATTACTGGTATTTTCAATATGTAAGGGTGAATATCTAAGCAATAGGACGTTGTATTCGATTGTTCTTGACTCGGTAAGTCCAGTTTTTTTAACTAAAATGAAAAATTTTAATAATTTTAAAAAATTTTAAAATTTTGAACTTTTTTAAAACTTGAAAAATTTTTAGAAATTACCAACCCTCCAAAGATGTATCGGGCCGACCGGCCATATCCAGACGACCACTCATCATACTATATTTTTGATTTATAATCGACCCAATTACTGTGAAGACATTGTTAAGAATGCAGCACGGAACTACATATACAACTACTATCCAACTCATACTGATGTTTACAAGAATGAAACTAATCAGGTAGGGTAGTAAGGTGGGGTAGGGTAGGGTAGGATAGAATAGGGTAGAGAAATGTGGGGCAGGGTATAGATAGTGCTAGGGAATTGTGGTGTAGAAAAAGATCTAGAGCAGGGTAGGATAAAAACAGGACCAGGGCATGGTAGAAAAAAAACTAGGGTAGGCTAGGGTTAGGGCTAGGGTATCATAGGTGTTTATTACTTAAGCCTTGTTTTTTTTTGCTTGAATAGTAGGCTTAAAACGTGATTTTTTTAGATTTCAATGAAATGCGACTCAAAGTTTGTGTTATATGAAGAGAGTCCTACAACAACATTATTACAAAGCTATTGTTTCAAAAAAGATTATTATTATGACAAACTTCTAGATCAATAAACATTAAAAATGCCATTTTTAGTTAAAAAAATGCCATTTCTATAGTTCAATTCAATAATAATATGCAAATTTCATAAAAATATTTATTTTTTTAAAATTTTTAAAAAATTTTACAAAATTCAATACTTGATTCAATGATTAAATAAAAAACGAAATAAAGACCCGGCTGATGATGTCACCTTACAAAATGCTCATAACTGACATTGAATTCTTCGAAATATAAAGCTTGGTTAACCTAGGAAGACCGCCTATAAACTACAATAGTTTTGTTTTTACGACACTTGAAAACAGCACCATTTTCAGAACTTTGACACTATTTTTGAAAATTTTGAAATGACAGTTTATATCTTTGAACTGGAAATTAAGTTTGCTTTAGCTTACAGTAAACGGTTTTTAAAAACTGTGACGTTACAGTAAGCTAGCAACTAATAAATGAAATTTCGAATCAGAGTTCCCAAATTTAAAATTATCAAAATTTGGGTCAATGCCGGCCCGGCCCGATGGTTGGCCCAGCCCGATGGCAAGCCCGGCCCGATGGCAGGCCCGGCCCGTTTCTCATGTCTACATTTTTTGACTCTGACTTTGCCTTTTTTATACGTTCTTTTGCCGAAACCCGCTCCAGCTACAAAGTCGTAACCGCTACGGAATTGGAGCTGTTTCAGATCCGAGGGTCGCTTTGAACCGGAGCTAAAGCCGCTCCAAAGCCAAAGCTGTGCAAATGATTCTGTGGGTCTACAGTACGGAAATTTTCCAGCTCCGGCTTCAGCTCCAGTTGCTTGATTTAAAAAAAAATTAGTTTTGGTTTTAGCTTCAGCATAGCAGCCGTAGCTAATTCAAAGCAGCAGTCGTTTAAGAACTGCTCCAGTGCCAGAGTCGTGCCGGTTTTTAGTACTGAAATTCGACAATATTTGACTTTGGCTCCGGTTCCGGCTCAGTCCTTTTCCAAGTTTCAGCTCCGTTTGCCACTCCAAAGCTGTAGCCGCTTTTCAGATGGAGCCAAAACCACCTCCAAAGCTCTTAAGAACTCTGATTTCAACATTAATATAAACTGCCACTTTCAGATACAAAAACAGACTGTTTTACAACAAAGTTTAAAGCTAAAAATATATCTTTTTCTTAGTTGATAATTTTCAAAAATTAAAAAAAAACTAATTTTAAGTCACAAAGAGTACCATACAATAACTGAAAAGTCAGTACAATTTTAAAAAATTTTTGAAGACCAAATGGGGTGGTAATATAGCCAATTGATGTAGGTAATCGTAGCCTGATAGTAGCCAATTGATGTAGGTAATGATGACCTTATAGTAGCCGAGATTGATGTAGGTAATGATGACCTTATAGTAGCCAATTGATGTAGGTAATGATGACCTTATAGTAGCTGAGATTGATTTTCAGATAATGGTTAGTATTGATCTTAACTAGGCATGTGTCATTGATCAAGTTGGTAATGTGGGATGACTTGGGCCTTATACATCTTTGACACTGTTATTGTTGTTGTTGTTCTTCTTCTTCATCTTCTTTTTCTTCTTTGTCTTTTTCTTTTCTTTCTTTTTCTTAATCTTCATCATCATCATCTTCTTCTTCTTCTTCTTCATTTTCTTCTTCTTCTTCATCTTCTTCATCCTCTTCTTCCTCTTCTTCCTCACCTTCAGTACCCTTTAGCTTACAAATCCCTACTCCACCGTGAATCAATTATGAGGCAGATCCACCGACTCGCCCAACGACTGGTCGGGCGATGGGATTGGGTCAAGTTGCCCTGGAGTCGGCTTCAGGACCTGTTCTTCCTCCTCGTCCTCTGTAGCTTCATTGATCTGACGTACTGGCTCGTCCGGTATCCGCGACAAGTACCATTGCCGATTGTCCTCCAACTGGTCGAGAATGTATTGGGCATGGGGGTGGACGAGCTCTGCCCAGGTTTCAAAGAGGGGGTGAACGATGTAGTCGATGAAGCCGACCTGGAAAGGGGTGGTTATTAAACATTTTTAGATGAGGTAGGGTAAAGTAAAATAAAAATATTGTGCAAAAAGGTAGGACAGAGTAAATTAAAAGTATTTCAAAGTAAAGTAAAGAAGATTGAGGGTATTGTAGAGTAAGGTACGGTATGAATAGAGTACCGTCGGGAAGGATAGAGTCAAGGTAGAATAGAGTAGAGAAGGGTATCTTAGGGTAGAAAAAACAGAGTAGGGTAAGAAACAGTAGTGTCGGAAAGATTACGGTAAAGTAAGATAGAAAAACGGCAAGGCAAAGCAGGGTACGCTAGGACACGGCATGGTACGACAGGACAAAGAAGGGTGCAGTAAGACAGGGCAGAGCAAGACACGGTACGGTAGGATACGGTAGGGTAGGGTAGGATAGTGTAGGATAAGATACAGTAAGATAGGGTAGGGTTGGGTAGGGTAGGTAAGGTACGATATGGTAGAGTATTTCTGACTCACCTGAGACTTTTCAATAGTAACATTGTATCGGTCACACATTGGACTAACTTCTAGTCCAACTTCCTTCTCCCTATCACCCTGCCTCCAATACTCTTCCAGAATCCGCTGATTCCAATTACGATAGATCTCGATAGGCTTGGTTGGATTCGACAAATCAGCACAATGTATCATACTTTGTAGCACCTGAATCCGATCATTGTACTTGTCCAGCTGCAGCACCGAACTTCCAGCCACCTTCTTGGACTCGACCATCGTCTTCAGGTCGGCCAACAATGACATATGCTTCGACATGTCCGTAGCCAACACCATCTCGATGACGATCTTCCTGAAGGCTTGGCGCTGCTTCTTGCTCCAGTTCACCAGAAAGTCGCAACTCGACTCCTGCAACAACTTGAACGCCACCGCCAGGTGGTGCTGCTCCAGCACCGACTCGTCGTTGTACATGATCGCCAGCTCGTTGTTGGTGTTGATGAGGTATTGGTTGGTGTAGCCGGGATGGTCGACGTCATGAATCGCCGCCGCGAATACGGCACTCAGCACCTCGAGGTCGCTGAACACGCCCTCGAGGGCGGTTGAGGAGAGGAGGACGTGGATGGACTGGGTCACGTCAGCACCGTGGATCTGATTGTGGTAGGGGTTGTCTTTGTAGTGATGCTCTAGGTTCAGTAGGTACGTTACAAAGGTGGCGGCTGGGATGTCGAACTGTTTTAGAAGGTCACGTTCTCTCATAATAGTGTAGGTGATTGAGGTTAGAGCGTGACCTTTCGAAAGCTCGTTGATCTTGAACACGTTGATCCCCCAGTCCATTAACTGAAATTTTAAAATTAAAATTTTAACTTCATAGCCTAGCCCACAGCTCTAAACCAGAGCCCTAGCCCCTAGCTTTAGCCCCAGCCTACACCTAAGATTAAGCCTAAGCTTAAGCCTAAACCTAAGCCCTAGCTTAAGCCCTAGTCTAATAAGCCCTAACCTAAGCCCTAGTTTAAGCCTAAGCCTAAGCCCTAGCCTAAGCCCTAGCTTAAGTCTAAACATAAGCCCTAGCCTATGCCTACGCCTAAGACTAAGACTAAGCCTAAGTTTAAGCCTAAGCCTTAGCCCTGCATTACCCCTACTTTTACCTACTCCCACCTCCTCCAGTGACCTCCTTAACCATGAGGTAATACTAGGCTTAAATGATCACTTACACGATCCATATAGACGACAATCTCTTTCTGACACTCCACCCCATACTCTGGCAGCGTGCCGGCGTGGACTGGCGCACGCAATCGTCGTACACCCGATATCTTTGACATGGCGGCAGTTTTGGCTTTGTTAAACAATGACATCTGAGGACTGGAGCAGTTCGACGTCGCTGATTTCGAGGTGTTTTTCTGAAATGGCAAAAATACGAAAAAATGCCATAGCCATCAGAATTAAAAAAAAAAATTAAATGTTTTAAAAAATTTTATAAAAAAAATTAAAAAATATTAAATAAAACAAAAATATATTTAAAATAATTTTGAAAAAATAAAAAAATGTTTAAATTTAAAAAACTAATTTTTAAAAAATATTATAAATTAAAAAAAATTTCAAAGAATAAAAAAAATTTAAATTAAAAAAATAATTTTAAAATAATTTAAAAAATAAAAAAATATTAAAAAAATTAAAAAAAAATTAATTTTAATATAATTTTATAATTTTAAACCGATAAAAATTTAAAATAAAAATAAATTCCAAAATAAAAAAAAATAAAAAATACTTGAAAATTACTTTTTTAAAAATAAAAAAATTTACAAAAATTTAATAAAATTTAAAATATTTTTATAATAATTTTTTAAAAAACATTTTTAAATTAAAAAAAATAATTTTAAAATGATAAAAATTTTAAATATTTTTTAAATAATGTTTAAAAATAAAAAAAAATCAAAAAATTAAATAAAATAAAAAATATTTAAAACAAAATAATTAAAAATTTTTGGAATTTAAACCTTACATCATTCGCATCGTTGCCTTCTTCCTCAGCTCTGTCCATATAAGTATTGATTAAAAATTTGGTGACCTGTGTACCCGATTTGGAGCTCTCCGCGAACTGGCTCAACTCCTTGTTCAACAACTTTCGGAACTAAAATAAATTTGGATTAGGGGGTGTTTCAAGTATTGTCTTGTATGGCAGGTTTTAATAGAGCTAAGGTCTTTGCGCTTTTTAGGGTAGGGGGGTAGAAAAAATGCTAGAATAAGGTAGGGCAGCACGGAGAAAGGTTTGGTAATGTAAGGTTGGGGAAGGTAGTAAGGCAAGACTGAGCAGAGTCTCGCAGGGCAGGGTAGGACACACAAGTCCGGATACGTAGGGCAGCAGGCTAGAGTTGGGCAACGCAAAGTAGGATACTGTAGATTAGAGTAGGGTAGAGAAAGGTAAGGTAGGGTAGAGTAGGGTAGGGTAGGGTAGGGTAGGGTAGGGTAGGGTAGGGAAGGGTAGGGTAGAGTAGGGTAGGGTAGGGTGGAGTAGGGTAGGGTAGAATAGGGTAGGGTAGGATTGTATAGGGTAGAATAATCGGTACTGTAAGGTAGGCCCTTCTTACCTTGCTGGAAGCCATTTCGGAGACAGACCGATGCAGCTGGATGGCTTCGAGCTGGTCCAGGCACCACTCCAGCTCTTCCAGCGTTTCCTGAGCACATGATAAGGCGGGTTCGGTAAGGGTTTGGGTATGAAGTGGCAGCTTCTTTTGCGCTTTATATTTCTCCTCGTCCGTGGGTAGGTTGGTTATGGCAACGAAGTTGGCACGCACATTCCGCAACGATGCCAAGAGTTGAGCGAACGGTGTTACTATGAGATCATCACCATGTCTGGAAATGAGTTGGTTAGCTTAATATTTGGAAGGTTGATTAGCATTGATTTATAAACTTTTGATTTTAATTTTAAATGTCAAATCTTTCATTGTGGGACCTAACCTGGGCTCCTAAGACTTTTATTTAAGCCAGGCCCTCAGATCTACCCAATCCAGTCCGGCCCGGAAGCTCTTAAAATTTGTTTTGACTTAGCTAAAAGTCAGACCAGGTTAAAGCCGTGCCAGACTAGTTCTGGACCAGGCTACTTGCCTTTTTAAATTTTTTTTTGGCCCAGATCAGGGCCAGGCCTGGCTGGAACCGGGCGTCATTAAAATCTAGCACTCAGTTTCACATGAGCCCTTCCCATAAAATGTGCTTCGGCCAAGCCCGGGAGGGGCGAGACTAAAGCTGGGCCAAGCTGAAACTAGGCTAGACTAAGGTCGAACCACATATCATTTAAGCCTGGCGCTCAAGTCAGAACAATCCAAACCGCCCTTTTAAAGTTTTTTTTGGCCCAGTCCAGGGCCGCGCCTGGTTAAAACCGAGCATCATTGAAATCCAGCTCCCGGGCTGACACGATCCGGCCCGACCCATAAAATTTGTTTCAGCCAAGCCCGGGAAGAGCCAGACTAAAACTGGGCTAGAATGAGGTTAAATCAGCCTTTATTTAAGCTTAACCCTCAAGTCCGCACGGTCCAGCCCATTCTTTTAAAGTTTATTTGGACCCAACCCAGGGCGGGGCCAGACTAGAGCCAAACCCGTTTAGGGACAGGCCGGACTAAAACCAAGCTACGGTTAATCTAACTCAAGCTTGCGAGCTCAAACAAGCAGGTTCAGTCCAGCCTCTTAAAAAAAATATAGTTTAGACCCAGTACAGCCCGGCCCGCTTCGCAGCTGGCCTTTACTGAACTCCCTTTCAGGCCTAGTGTACCAAACCCCACAGTCATTGTACCTTTTAATACCCGTGAACGAATGGTTAACGTTTAGACATGATGATTTCCGCCGCTTCACACCACTCAGCGGCGGAAACGCTGGAGAGTGTGGCAGAACACAGGAGGTCTTCCTGTGTTCGGACAACCCCTTCTCCAGTTTGAACAACACACGAGACCAGCCAGGAGGGAGGGTTACAGCTTTTAAACCATTTCACAACACCAACCGCTAAAATCTTTTCATTTTGAATTTCGCATTTTCTCGACCGGTTTAATAGCGAGACATAACAAACTGTATATAACGAAAATTTTAAAATTTCGAAAATAAAATTTAAAGAAACTAAAAATTTTTAAACAAAAATAGGAAAAAAATAAAGTCAGCGCTAAGCCTAAGGCTAACAAAGGTCAGGCCAACCTAATGCTAAAACAAAGGTGATCCGAAGACTAAGATAAAGTCCAAGCCTAACACTCCGCTTCAACCTTAACATAAGCCGAAACGTCATCCTAAACATAAGTTAAGCCTAAGCCAAAACATATGACCAAGCCTAAGCCTAAGCCTAAGAATAAGCCTAAGCCTAAGCCTAAGCCTAAGTCTAAGACTAAGCCTAAGCCTGAGCCTGATTCTAAGCCCAAATCCAAAGCTGAATTTAATTCTAAACGTAATCCGAACCTTAAACTTAAGCCCAAGCCTAAACATAAAACTAAGGCTATAGCTAAAGTTATGTAAAAATATTAAAGTATAAGTATTAATGCCAACGTATTTACTACGCACGTGAACAACATAATACTAGCGATTAAGTGCAGCAGCATTAGCAAAGTACACTTTAAGGCCAGTAAAAAGCAATAAAAACAAAATGGATTAAGATAAACGCCATTTTCGGATACTCAATTGTAAATATGTCGATTTTTAGGTTAAAATCTAGCTAACTTATTTAATCAGGGGGAGGTATCTAAACCTATGTCTCAAAATAAGCCTAAGCCTAAAAATAAAATTGAACAGAAGCCTGTAAAAAAGGCAAAGCACAAACCCAAGTTCAAGGTTCAAGCCCAAGCCACCAAAGCCTTAACCAAACCCTAAGCCCGAGCTTGAGCCTGACACTAAGCCTCAGTCTAAGCCTAAGCCTAAGCCAAACCCTAAGTCTAAGCCGACTAAAAAATCCAACCAATCCAGTGCCTCAAAAAAACCTAAGTAAGACGGGACGTAATAATTTATTAAGCCTAAGCCTGAGCCTAAGCCTAAGCCTAAGCCTAAGCCTAAGCCTAAGCCTAAGCCTAAGCCCAAGCCTAAGACCAAGCCTAAGCCTAAACTTAATTCTAATTTTAGGCCTAAAGCTAAGCCCAAATCTAAGTTTAACTTTAAGCCTAAGAATAAGCCTAATCCAAAACCAAAGCCTTGGCCTAAACCTAATTCCAAGCTTCAGCCTCTAGCCAAACTTTAGGCCTAAGCTAAGCCTAATCTATTAACCAATTTCATTCATTCTTTACAAATTTAAAAACCCCTACTATAATATAATAATATTTTCCCAACCACCAATGCCCTTCCATTACCAATACCCTTATGTTGTCTTAGGTTATCGTGTCCCCACTTTCACAAATTTCAATTCCCTCCGCGCTAATAATGCAAAATTAATATGGACGACAAAGAACGTATCCCCCCTGCCCTTTTCTCTTCATCACCACGACATAAGTGGTGGTGCAAAAAGGAAAAAAATATTTGTGAAACGTTAAAAACCGATAGAAGGCAGTGTAAAATGCTGCTTCGCACAAGAATAGTTGGCCAAATAAAGGAAGGGAGGGGGGGGACGGGAGGCACAAAAGGTCGTTGACGTCGCGTTTCCACCTTATTCTCCTCTCAACCGAGTACAAGTGCAATACTAATACACATGTTCGGGAATGAGGGCTTTGTTCGCTTCGTAGGCGGGTACGAACTTGGATTATGTTACCTAGGTCAGTACGTATAAAGTTAGCTTGAATGTTACCTATGTAGGCCAGTACGGCTAAGGCGGGCTTGAATGTTATTTAGGCAAGTACGGCTGTAGCTGGTTTTAATGTTACCTAGTTCAGTACGAATAGTGTCAGCGCTAAGCCTAAGACTAAAAGGTCGGACTAGAGCTATTGTTTAGGCAAACGTTATAGATAAAGATGAGTCAAGACCTCAGCTTAAAATTGAGCTTAAACTTAGGCCTACACCTTAAGCCTAAGCCTAAGGGTAATTTTTAGCCTAAGCCTAAATTTAAGACTAAGCCTAAGCCTACGCATAAGCTTAAGCCTAAGCCTAAGCATCAGCCTAAGCCTAACCCTAAGATTAAGCCTAAATCTAAGCCTCAGTCTAAGTCTAAGCCTAACCCTAACCCTAGCCTAAGCCAAAGCCTGAATCTAAGCTTAAGCCTCAGCCTAAACTTAAGCCTAACAAACCTTTCTATAACAAAAAAAAGCAACCTCTAACGCCCCAAAATTTTTTTTCCCCGTAAGTGTAACACCTAGTCATTACATCAAAACCAAGACTTATTGAATAAAAGTTTTAATCGCCCACTTTTTTGGAAATTTCAAAAGTTTTGTTTATAAGAACATTGTTAGCACATATGTCTCGGCTTCGAGTGTTTGTCTAGCGCTGCGTATAAAGTTGCTCATTAAACTAACAATTTGTGTTACATGTTTGATACTTGGGAAATCAATATTTGCGCTTAGCTTTCGAAAAATCAATAAATCAATATTCTCAATAGCTAGAGCTAGCGAAGAGCAACTATTGACTTATGGCAAGGCTAAGCTAGGCTAGAGGTAATAAAGGCTAGTCAAGGCTTGAAAATGCAAGTCTAGTCAAGGCAAAGTGAAAGCTAAGGACAGAGCTAGACTAAGCAGGACTAGGGCTTGAGCTAGAGCGGCCAAAACTGAGGCTGGAGCTAAAGCTAATTCTATAGCTAGGCTAGGCTAAGCAAGACTAAACAAATCAAAGCAAGGCTAGAACTAAAGCTAAGTTAAACTAGGGCAAGGCTCTGGGCTAGGGCTGAGGCAAAGTTTTAACCACGCTTTGACTGCATTTCTAACTACTCCTCCTATGCCTAACTTTACTTTTTTGATTGTAAATAGGATCACATAAAGCTTCAAAACTACGTAGGAAGTCAATGTGAAACAAACACTGAGCGTTTGAAATCGAAAAAGTGAACATTCGTATACCAAATAGGGTTGTAAAAGTGTTTTAGTTTTGGTTTTGAGCGCCGTAAACAATATAAAATTACTTATTTGTCGCAAAATAATAATATATTAGGCTATTGTCGTTCTTTTTGCTTTAGCTTCTTACCAATCGTTTTTACTTTTTAGGTACCAAAAGCCTACCATAATGAGTTTTTTCCTAAGTCTCAGAAACTAAGCCTAAGATGCTAAGTCTAAACAGCTAAGCTTAAAGAAGCTAAGCCTAAGCAGCTAATTCTAAGAAGTTAAGGTTAAAAAGCTAAGCCTAGTATGATAATTTTAAACACACGCCTAAAGGGTTAAGCCTAAAGAGCTAAGCCTAAACCTAAGCCCAAGCCCACGCCTAAGCATAAGCCTAAGCCTAAGCCTAAGCCTAAGCCTAAGCCTAAGCCTAAGCCTAAGCCTAAGCCTGAGTCCTAAGCCTAAGCCTAAGCCTAATCCTAAGCCTAAGCCTGAGCCTAAGCCTAAGCCTAAGTTTAAGCCTAAACCTAAGCCCAAGCCCACGCCTAAGCCTAAGCCTGAGTCTTTAAAAATTTTATGCGCAAGCCTAAAGACCTAAGCCTACCATGATATTTTCATACGCCAGCCGAAACATTGAACCTCTACGAGAATTGTGCACGAGCTCGCGCATCCATCAGCCGCACAATCCTCATGCCCTTTTAAAACCGCCGACGTTTCAACGTTTTCAAAATCGATTAAAATTAACCCCTTCTTCTAAACCTTAAAAACCGTCCATAAAACTCACAACTAAACCTGTAAAAAATCCAGGCCAGGTCCAATTTTTTTGGCCCGTCCCACAAGACAAGCCTTCGTTTGGGCCCTTGGACTTACTTACACCGACCCGGCATCTTTCAGAGTTGTTTCGGCCTAGTCTAGCCCGCCCTTATCGAATGCCTTTTAACACCGGCCCGTCTTATTTAAAATTAGTTTTGGCACGGCCTGGTTCCTTAATTTTGTATTTTTTTGCAAGTCAAATCTTTCGTTGCGGGACCTAAGCTGTACTCCTGAAGCTTTAAGTTAGGCCCGGCCTTGAGGCCTAAATAGTTTTAAAATTTGATATGGTGTGGCCCGTCATCTTTAAAATTTGCTTTGGCCTGGCCTAGTCTTTTCTAAATTTTCAGTTTTTGCAAGTCAAATCTTTCGTTGTGGGACCTAAGCTGAGCCTTTGGGGTCGTAGGTTAAGCCTAGACTTGAGACCCACATATGCCGGCATGGGCCTTTTCAAAGTTGTTTTGACTCGCCTTGACCGTCCCTTTAAAATTTTCTTTGGTGCAGCCCTAGGCCACAAAAGTCAATCCAAGCCTAGCGTGCCGCCTTTCAAATCTCTCCCCCCCCATAACCTTCAAAAACCTTAAGAAAAACCCACAACCCAAAATTTGAAATTTTACCATCGGCTTTAGAGCCTCCAAATCCCAACCCACAAAAGAACCGCCTCCGGCATGTATTTGCACACAAAGATAACAACAAGATATGCCATAAATATAAGCGCATTTTCGAGGCGGTTTTAGTAGATTGCCGGCCGAAAAAGACAATCTCTCTTCTGGTCGAGTGCCGAAAAAACGTTTTCGCCGAGGTTTTCCCTTCCCCCCCCTTATTAAATAAAAGCCTTGTGGGTTTTTGGGGCCGCCAATTTTTTTTTTCAAAATCCTCTTGGTTTGTTAATTAAATATTCGTCTACGTTTGGCAAAATACAAACCCAATGCTTAAGGGCCTTAAGGCGGTTTTATATTTCGTTTCAAATTATTGGGTTTGGGCCCGAAATTTGAAGAAAAGAGCTGAAATTTCGAAGAAAAGATCTTTAGGCATGAAATTTGGGGGTTTATAAAGGTTTTTAGACAAAAAATGGCCTAAAAAAATGTTTTTAACAATTTTGTAAAAATGGAAGTTGAGTGGAAGATTTGTAATGTATTTTGCACTAAAAATCTTCCACCAAACTTCTATTTTTTAAAATGTCTTAAAATGGCCTAAAAACACGTTTTTGACACTTTTTAGAAATGGAAGTTCAGTGGAAGATTTGTAATGTATTTTGCACTAAAAATCTTCCACTCAACTTCCACTTTCAAAAAGCCTTAAAATGGTCTAAAAACACGTTTTATCAATTTTTAAGAAGTGTTATTTGACTTTTGGTACAGTAAGCAAATAAAAAATTTAATCAATTTTAAGTTTTTTGCTGAGTAAAGTTCAAGCCAAGTCTACAGAATGAAATTCAAACTTACTGCGGATCTTGTGAAGCCACCGAGCTGGCCCTGGAGACGGGTCGACAGCCGGACGTTGAGACCGGTGCGAAGTCGCGTTCATCGTTCAGCTTGTACAGAAAGGATTCACGTCGCGCGTGTTGCCCGGCCGTGCCCACACCGAGCATGTGGGCGTGGAAGCCGCCGGAGCTGGAGCTGGCCGGGATTCGGCCCGAGCTGCCGGGCATTTCGCCCTGCTCCAGCTGCGGCTTTGGGACGGCGGGTTGGGGACTGAAACGGCGTGGGTTGCGGGAGCGGTGGAAAAAGTTGTGGAGGTGGAGTTCGCGCCGCAACAGTCCGCCGAACGGGTACTTTTTGGGGGTGGAGGAGCGGCTGCTCAGTTTCGAGTCCCGACTCTCACCGCCGACCGACGGCGCCGAGGAATCGTGCCGTGGACGCATCTCCCGCGATCAGCCATCACCATTCATGGTACGGTGGGCGCACAGCTGGCGGTTGAGTTGGTGGAGGGCGGTTGGGTTGGGGGTGAGAGTTGGAGGCTTGTGGGCTGGGCCAGGTGGTGATAGTGGACTGACAAAAGCAGTTATGGACTAAAGAGAGCAGTTATAGACCGAAGGCTTCAGTTATTGTACAGATGGTACTGTATCAAATAGATGAGTCGTAGTAGCCTCGTATGAATAGATCTACCGTAATAGCCTCGACTCAATACAGCTTAGACCGTAGTACAAATGGTGCAAAAAGTGGTATAGTACCAAAAAAATGGTACTACTAGTACTAATTTCAAACTTCAAGTACTAATAGCAAAGTGACAGTGAAATATGCTACTAGGTACAGTAGGTATGACACTATACTACTAGGTACAGTACGTACAAAAATAGATACTGTAGGTATAGAAAATATCCTGCTGGTAGGTACTGTAGATACAAAAATATGCTGCTTGGTGCAGTTGGTATGGAAATGTGAGTGTACCAGTAGGAGACGGCAGTCAGAGCAACGGTTACCCTGAGATTAGATGGCACAAACTGTTTATGGCACTAGCCTATACGAAGTGGTCCAGCGGCTATGGGCGTTTCGTATCCTGTCTTACGCCTGATACATTGGTAAAACCAGTACTGCCTAAGGCGAGAAATTTAAATTTAAGTATGGAAATTCGCGGTATTGATCGGAATGTGTATTAAAAATGGCAATAAAGAAAAAACCGGTCGATGCAAAGATAAAATACTCAATATTAAGGTCTCCGTACTAATTAGTACTAAAAAGTCATTCGTACTAACAAGTATTTTTTACAGTACTAAAATCTAAGACTAAAAGTTCTTAATAGAATGGCAGTATCAACAGTACTAACAAAAAACGTCAACAGTACTATATAGTACTAAAGCTATCATTATCAAATATAGTACTAAGGTCAACATTACTACCTAAAAAAGCTAATTGTACTACATATAGTAACAAGTTCAACAGTACTACCTAAAAATGTCCACAGTATCAAATATAGTACTAAGCTCAATAGTACTAACTAAAAATTTTCACAGTACAAAATACAGTACTACAGTCAACAATACTAACTAAAGATATCCACAGTATCAAATATAGTACTAAGATCAACAGCACTATTTAAGAATGTCAACAGCAGCAAATATGGTACTGGGGTCAACAGTACTAACTAAAAACTCTCATAATACCAAATATAGCACTAAGCTCACTAGTACTAACTAAAAACGTACACAGTACCAGTACTGCGTTAAACAATACCAAGAAAAAATGTCAAGATTACTCAATATTGTACCAAGATCAACAGTACCAACTAAAAATCTCCACAGTATCAAATATAGTACTAAGCACAACAGTTCTAAGCACAACAGTACTAATAATGACAGCACTACTCATCCCCTCTTAATACCCAAACAGTTTGGGGTGTTAAAAAATGGATGAAGTAAAGAATAACAGAGCAAAAAGACAAGAACAATAGGATCTTTCCGTGCCAAAAGCAAACACCCCTCGAGGCTATCGCTGGCCGAAACAAAAGCTCTCGAAATTAAGCCATATTTCATGTGCCATGAAAAACGTGGACCATGTTATATAACATCATTATTAGGCTTAAAAGGTGGTCATGGTCTGGGGGTAGGCCAGGCCTGAAAATAAAGAACCGGCCCAAAAAGCACGGCCCGTGCACGTAAAAAAGTTCATTCCGGACCTAAGCAAAATTTTGATAGTGCCAGGCTTAAAAAATGAGCCCGGCCCCTTCCTCATGTCTAGCTAAAAGTTGGAATGGCGCTGGGGCAACATCTTAAGCTAAAGCTTCAACATCAACTACGCGACTTAGGCTAAAACTTAGGCTGGGCTAGGGCTAAGAATTGGCCTAGGGCTCTAGGCTAGGGCTAAGGCTAGAGCTCTGGGCTAGGGCTCTGGGCTAGGGCTTTGGTCTAGGGCTCTGGGCTAGGGCTCTAGGCTAGGGCTCTGGGCTAGGGCTCTGGGCTAGGGCTCTAGGCTAGGGCTAAGGCTAGGGCTAGGGCTAAAGCGAGGGCGAGCACTAGAGTTACAGCTTAGACTAGGAAATTTAGGCTACAGCTTAGGCTAGTGTTAAGAATAAAGCTAGGGCTAAAGCCCCGGGCCAACAAAGCTAAGGCTAGAGCTAGGACTAATGCTATAGATAAAGCTAGGGCTATGAGTGAAGGCTAGAGTTAGTGCTAGATCTACGTCTAAAGCTAAGGCTAAGAGTAGAGCAAAAAAAACGACAAAAGGATTTTTTAACCAAATCCACCCCTGCCTATTAAATTTTTTTTTCATACCCAACCGCCAACATTTCTTGTCTATGTTCCATTTCTGCCCTTGTCCCTCTTCATTTCCCCTCTACCCCATAAATTTCATCCCCCCCCCTCTTTCCTTATACCACCCAGTCCAGCTTACAATACTGCACTTTATTACCTAAAAACCAATTCCTAATCCAACCCCCCAACCAAGTAAAGTTATTTTCGCCGCCGACTTTTGTCCCCACGCCCAAAAGTTACAATAAGCAGCCGGCTTTGGCAAAACCGCGATTTAAAAAAGGTTCCCAGTGCCTTATGAATTAGAGCCTTTCCTGTCGACTAATAAGCCCCAAAAACTACGAAAATAACATATATACGTTGTGTTTTTACTATCAAAACAATAAAAATTAATTGGAAATATTAATATTCATGGCGGTAGGACAAGGGTGGGGAGAAGGGGGGGGTTGTGACAAATCGACTGTCATGTTGTTTATGTTGTTCTATGTTGTGAGGAAGGTTTATTGAATTGTTTAGAAAAGAATGGTGTGCAAATTAGCTTTTTGAAACTGTAATGAAAAAAAAAGGTTTTTTGATGAGAAAAAAATGGCGCGAAAATTTTTTTTTGTTGATGCAAAAAGAATAGCGCAAAAAATAATTCTTGATTTTTTTTAAATGAAAAGGGCGCACAAAACCTTTTTTTGAAAACAAAACTTTTGATGCAAAAAGAATGGCGCAGAAAAACAGCTTTTTAAAAAAATAAAACAAAAAATTTTTTCTTGAAGCAAAAAGAACGGCGTGGAAAATTTTTCTTTTTGTTGCAAAAAGAATGACGCAGACATCTCCTATGTGAAAAACGACCAATATTTTGTTTGGTGTGAAAAGAATGGCGCGGATAATTTTTTTTCTTGATGCAAAAAGAATGGCGCAGAAAACTTTCAGGTGGAAAAAATAGCGCGGAAGATTTTTCTTTTTGATGCGAAAAGAATGGCGCAAATATCTCATATGTGGAAAACGGTCAATAGTTTATTGATGCAAAAAGAATGGCGCAAAAAGTAATTTTTTAAAAAACAAAATTTTTTTTTCACCCTGCCTTACTGGAAATCACTTTACCCTACCCTACCTTACTTTACCCTACCCTACCCAGCCCTACTTACACGAAAACCCTAGTACATTATGAAAAAAGATTACTGGGATAAGCCGGTGCGTTTTCCTGCAAGGCTTAAATAGGAGGGGGGGGGAGCAGAAGAAAGAGATGAAGACGCCAAAAACATTGTCATCTCTCGCTGGTCCAGGCTTTTTTGCATGTTTTGAGGGGCCGAAGGGATGTGAAGAGATAAAAAAACATTTCCAAATGACATTACTGTTTACATGGGAAAAGACCCCGCCGGCATGTTCAACGGGCTCGGGTTTTTACAGTCCGGCTTAAAAGTGCAGGAACAGAACGGTCACAAAAGCGAAGACGGAGCCGGGGGGGGGGGGATCGAAAGGGCATGATAGAGCTAGAAAAGTAAAAAATTTTTGAAAAATCAAACTAATAAGCCTAAGGCCAGATTTTGGGCCTGGGTTAGAGTTAACGTCAAGGCTATGACTAGACCTTGATCTAAGGCTAGATATAAGATCCGAAGGAGGGTTAGGGCTAGAGCTAAGGCTAGAGCTAGGGCTAGGACTAAGGCTACGCTAAAGTTAGGGCTAGGGCTAGGTCTAAAGCTAGAAGCAGGGATAAGACTAAGGCTGGGAGCTAGGGCTAGGACTAAGGCTAGGCTTAAGGCTAAAGCGGGCTTGAGCCAAGGCTAGAGCTACGGCAAGATCTAAAACTAGGAATAGAGCTAGAGCTAGGACTTCGACAAAAGCCAAGGCTAGGAATAAGGCTAACAAAAAAATTTCAAAAATAACAAAAAACCAGACAGGTCCCATATAAAATGGCAGAAACTTCTGAATTTTAACAAGTTTTAAAACTTTTTCAAATCTACAGTACCTTACCGTAACCCCACATATAACCTTTAAATCAAAAACATAAGCTCATATAAGTCATAATAAACCGTACCTAGCTCAATATCTAAAACTCTTACATTGATTTAAATTTATGACAGTTTAAAACCCAAAAATGACAGCCACCTCTAAGAGGAAAAAAGTTATAATTAAAAAATCAAGCCTAACCAGCCTTTTTTGCTTAAAACCCCCCTTTTATTTGTCTCTGCCATTTCAAATATGACCTTTTTTTTTAACAAATCGTAGTTTAAATCACGTTATTTTTTAAAACCAAAACTTTTATTTATTAAAACGCTGATCTATTAAACCGTTCACTTAATTCTGAGCCCTTATCTATTAAACCGTTCACTTAATTTCACGCCCCCGAATACATCATCAGTAAACGTATTAGATACGAACGAATACAAAAATCGACTATGAACAACATTGGCAAGAGAGCTTTTAAGTAAATTAGAGACCTCGTTAATGGTAAATAAATAGCCCATCGGTTTGTTAAGGCAGCTATGGAACAACAAATTTTATTTCCGAACCTCAATTTGTTTTAGAATTAGTAGACCTTGAAAATTTAAGTTTTTTCTCAAAAAAAAATTTTTTTTGAAATTTTAAAATTTTTTAAAAATAATTCTTATTAAAGTATTTAAACTACTAAGTATACTAAACTACTATAATACTAGGTGCCGACATAAAGAACCCGCCAGTTTTTACAG